TATATATATATATATATATATAGGTTATACTATATTATTCTAAATAATTCCAAACACAGAATAAAATATTCTAATAATAATTGCCATTCCACAGCGATGAACATAAATAATAACAATTAACAATACCAGAGGAATAAAGAAACTCCAGACTACACTAATACTAAACCACTAACAAGCAAGCAGCACGAAAGACTAAATAAACAATACTATTACAGAATAAATAAACATGTAATTGATTAAAAGACGGACAAAACGACTAAAAGAAAAACCCCGGGCACTAAAGCGATGCGCCTTCGCGTGTTCTTCGCGTAGAGGGTGATGAAAACGAGGCCTAAAAAACAAACAAATCAAACAAACAAATTATAAGAAAGTATATATGATATATATATATTTATATAGAACAAATTATAAGAAAGTAAATATATAATATATATAACAAACAAACTATACGAAAGTAAATATGTATATATAATATATATGTGCAGAAAATGAAAAAAGTCAAAATATTTAGGATACAAACAAACAAAACACGAAAACTAAAGACAGATAAAATGCATATACTGCGAACAAAAAAACAAAACATTAATAAGTAAAATGTAGTAAAATGCACCAAACAGAGAAACAATACCCCACATCAAAGCAAACAAAACGGGAAAACTAAAAAGATGAATACCAGACGACAAAACCAACAAAAGATACAAACGGCAAACTCAGGCCCAAGAGTACTAAAGCAAACACTATATATATATATGCGCTGTAAACAGACGTAAAGCAAAAAGAATATAAATAAAAGATAAATTTTATTCCTTTCAATTTACCCGTTGTGTGTACTTCTCGCCAGCCTCTGTAACTCCCCCCATCTGGCTTTAAGAGCATTTCTTCTCGCTGTTTTTCTTTCTGTTTTTCTTTGTTCGTGCTGCTCTCTTTTTAATTCGCGCGTTTGCTGCAGCAGCTGAGGATGCGAAGCAGCTGCAGCAGTTTATATAAACAAACAAAAGAGAAAGAAGAAAAATAAATATCAACGACCAATACGATAAATATAATAAATAGTAACTGCAAAAGCTACAATGCAGCAACAAACAAACGAGAAGAAAAAAAACAACAAATAGAGCAAACAAACAAATAAAACAAACAAGCAAACGAAAGAACACACCGCAACAGAGACGTGAAAGCAAAGAAGAACACAAAACAACAGAAGCAACAAAAATGACGAGGAGAGAAAACATAAAAATAAAAACCCTCCGCTCTGTACGTACACCACTCAACACACATCGATATTTCAAATAGAGCTGCTGGCGAAGGCCCCCTAAACCCTAAACCCTAAACCCTAAAACCGTAAACCCTAAGCCCTGTATGTTTGTGTGAGGCTAAGGAAATCTGCGAGAGGGGGTTTGCCTCCACTCTAAGGACTAGGGTTTAGGGTTTAGGGTTTGGTGAGGACACTGGAGGTTACCATCGAAGCCCGTGTGGCTGTGCGAGTGTTTGGACAGCCCCGTCCTCTTCAGTGCAGCCCAGCCCCTTGATGAAGTGAAGTCTATCAATCTGCTGCTGCTGCTGCAGTTGTCTTCGTCTGAAAATGCATCTACGCTGTACTGAGAGTCTTCTGCTCCGAATAAAGAAGAAGCACCAGCAGCAGCAGCAGAAGATGTTGTTGCTGCTGCGTACACGGGAGAGACAGATGCAACTGACACACACCCAGGTGTATATACACCTCAACTTCCCTTCAGTTAGTATGCTGTTGTTGCTGCTATTGTTCTTATTTTTGTTGGTGTTATTGCTGTTATTGCTGTGCTTATTGTTGTACACGCTGTAGGGGGTTTACATACACCTCAACAAAAACACGCAGCCGTTTGCAAAGAGAAGCAAAACAGTTGCTACTAAGCAATGCATGTCTTTGTTGTTTCTCTGTCTCTCTCTGTATCTCTCTCTCTCTCTTTTCTTCTCCCTCTCTGTTCGTGCCTCTCAGCTTCTCTGTTCGCTTTCCGTCTGTTTGCCTTTCTGTTTATGCGTTTACGTTGATGTTTGTTTTTATGCTTATGTTTATTTTTTTCTTTCCTTACGAGGAGCTGCTTCTTCTTCTTCTTCCTTTTGCTGTGCTCGCCGATACTGAAATCCCTTACTCCGCTCTATTAAACCGCACTGTTCAGCGCGGAGCAGCAAATGTTGCATCTGCAACACAAACAAGTAATAACAAACAAACAAACATACACATATGCTGCTGTTTGTGCTGCTGCTGTTGCACCAGCAGCAGCGCACACAAGTAAAAAAATAAACCCACATACACACACGAATACAGACGCCGCCGCTGCTGCTGCTGCTGCTGCTGCAAGCCGAATATAAATGCACAGAAACGAAGAGATGCCGCTGCAGTAGAAGACGGAATTAAGGAAGACCGAGATAAACAAACGCTGTTAATGAATAAAACTAAATCCAAAGATACACACACAAACAACAGAGACAGAAAAAAAAACAGAGACACAAGCGCAAACGAAAACGTAATGGGAAACAAATAACAACAGCAACAGCAGCAGAAACAACAACAGCAGCAGCAGCAACAACAGAAACGAGAACAAGAACGAGAGCAAGAACACCAGCAACGACAACAGCAACAGCAAAAGTAAGAACCACAACAAGGACAACAACAATGAGAATAACGACAACAACAATAGGGGCAGCAATAAGAAGAAGAACAACAATAAGAACAACAGCAAGAACAACAACACCAATAGGAAGAAGACCAGCAACAGCAGCAACAACAACAAGAAGAAGAACAAAGAGGGCAAATGAATCTGTTCAATGAGCAAACATTCTACGGTCGTTGTTTTGTCTGACTTTTCGCAGTCCTCTGGGTTCAGCAATTCTAAGATGAAACATTTTATTGATTTTCTCTTCTTGAGTTATAAAAAAGCGTTTATTTTGTTTAACCCAATCTTCATACGATCGCCAGGCTGTCTGCTGCATTGCTGCGCACTTTAATAAATTCGCCAGCACTACTCGCCTACTTCGGGGCTCTACTACGCGCCTAAAGCATACATGCAGCAGCATAATCAGCAGCAAAACAGAAAGTTTAAATGTGCAAGCAATGAAGAACAAAAAGATCTACTAATTCATCTATCGTAGTCCTGATGCTGCTGATGATACAACATTGGTGCGGCTCGGTCTTACGCTGTCTTCGTCTCTCTGTTTCTGTCTCTGTATGCCTATCTGCCTCTCTCTCTTGGTCCCTCTCCCTCTCTCTCGCTCTCTCTCTGTCCTTCTCTGTCTTTGTCTCTCTGTCTGTTTGCCTCTTTCTCTCGCTCTGTCTTCGCTTTTGTCTGTCTATGTCTGTGTCGCTCTCTCTCTCTCTCTCTCTCTCTCTCTGTGCGGGTGTGTGTGCGTGAGTGTGTGTGTGTGTGTGTGTGTGTGTGTGTGTGTGTGTGTGTGTGTGTGTGTGTGTGTGTGTGTCTTTCTTCTCCCTCCCTCTCCCCCTCTCCCTCTCCCTCTCTCTCGCTCTCTCTCAATAACTCAGTCTGTCTTTGTCTCGCTCCTCTCTCTGTCTCTTTCTTTCTTTCTCTCTCTCTCTCTCTCTGTTTCTGTGTTTGTTTGTAGAGTGGGATGTGCGTTGTTTGGGGCGTTTGCGTACAAGTGCAGAAACTCAGTGCTATATATTTGGTTGGGGAAATCGAGGAAAACAATTTCTTTTTCTTCGGGAGTCGAAGCAAACAAATGATGAATTCCTAAAGGACGAGTAGGCTCACACATAAAGCCGCTAGCGAACGGCCGCTGAATACAACAAATACAACAAATAATAATGCATTTCAATAAGGCAATATATATAAACATATATATATATATATTTGTGCATATATAAATTTATTATTATTGTTATCAAATTCATTAGGCTAATTCAATAAATTAATTCAATCAACAAATTCAACAAATTAATTCGATAAACAAACTCACCAAACAAATTCGGTAAATAAATTCAATATATTAATTTAATAAGCAAATTCAATGGACAAATTCAGTGAAGAGATGCAATGAACAAATTCAATAAATAAATTCAACAAACATCGCTATAAATAAATGCAGCGAACAAGTGCAGTAAATAAAGTAAATATATATTGAATCATAAAATAAGTAAAAAGATTAAAATAAGGGACAACGCAAATAAAAAGGACGAAGATAAAAAGAATGCATAAGGTAAACACAACACTCAGACCAACTGCAACAAATATAAAGAAACCCGAACAAATGATAAAACAAGTAAAGTAAACAAAATAAATAAAATAAACAAAAACACAAAATAAACAAAACAAATCAAATAAACAGAACCAGCAAACTAAAAAAAACAGAGGAGTGAAACAGCAAACAAAACAAGTAAAAAAGATAAATTTGCGAAGCCTCGGAAACTCCACAGAGAAGACAGACGAACAAAAAACAACAGCAACAGGCATCATCCCTAAGCCTAAACCCTAAACCCTAAACCCTTACGGTGCCTCCGCGGGTGAGTTCATCGTCCCACAGAGCGATCTCCGCCTGTCTTTGTTCTTCGCTGACGGTTGTAATCGCCCATTGTCTTTCTGTTGTAATCCAATTCAAGCACCAGTCCACTGCCCCCTCAAAATCTGCTGCTGCTGCAGCAGCAGCAGCTGCTGCTGCTGCTGGTTCGCGTGGAGGAGATAGAGAAGTGCGGCTCTCTTCGTCGCTCTCTGTGCTGCTCGATGGTAGAGAAGCGCTGCTGGCGTCTGTATCTGTTTCTTCTTTCTGAATGCAACAAACAAAGACAATAGACAGACGGGTAGTATACGGCAAGAGGAGACAAAGCTGCACGGAGATAAAGCAGCAAAGCAGCAGCTGTCAATACACCCCACGCACCTCCTCGGATGATGATGCACTCGAAGAACTCCACTTTGATTTCCTTTTTCTGCTATTTTCTTCTTTTACTTTCTTATTGACTTGCAAGGGAGAAGGGCGACGAGGAGAAGCCGCTTCATATTTCTCTCTCTGCGCTTTCAGCTTCAAACGATGTAAAAGCGGAGACGGAGTCCTCGGCTCCTGCTGCTGCTGTTGCTGCTGCTGCTGCTGCTGCTTGTCTTCGTCGTCTTCGCTAGACTGTTCAGGCAGCTGGCTGCGTTCGTTTGAAGAGTGAAGACGAGCACGAGGGGAGCCTTGAGGAGGCAGTTGCTGTCGTTCAGGTGTACGTACAGCTGAATCTAATGGCTGCTGAGATGCAGACGGAGATGGAGGCCTACTTTCATCATCGCTTTGAATGCGTTTCCGCAGACGCCCCCTCCTGATTGTACAACGGCATACCATACAAAACCCTAAACACTAAACCCTAAACCGTAAGCTTTAAACTCAAAAAATTCAACAAGACAAAAATAATAACGCCGCGCCCGGTAGTTCCCCGCCCATCTGCCTGCTCGTATCTGCTGCAGCGCATGCGCTGCAAATGTAGCATAGAGTTGAGGTGTATGTACACAAACAGAGTGAGGGAGACTGCCGACACTCACCGCCTTGCAACTGGGGGCGAAGCTGCTGGGGCCTCCTCCTCCATTTTCCCCCCAAATGAATGTTTAGAGGCCGCCAGGTGAAGCGGCCGGTGTTACAGGCCCATAAGAAACAGAAAAGAAGGGTTGGAGAGGGGAGAACGGAAGGAAAAGGAGAAAAGGGGGAAAATGCACAGAAAATTGACGATCAGGGAGACGACGAGATAGCTGGGTAATGCCTACGACTTGCATGCATGCCTCTTTGACTTTAGGAGAAGTACATTACAAGGTGGAATTTAAATATATATCTAGAGAGATAAATTGTATTTCTAGAAGAATAAGATATTTCAATTCAATAGATTATTCCCTTCGACTTCTTCCCTCCTTGTAACGGAGGCCGATGCAAATGAGTGCTACCGCCGCTGTCTGTCTGTGTTTGGAGGTGAAGAAAGCATGTAAAAAGAGGCGAAATGTCAAATATAAACCTCAAAACAAAACGCGTTTCTGCATATTCAAACGGGGTGTACGTACAGCTACAACTACATCTACCACCCTCGGGGGGCGCGGGTGTTGGTTGCTCTCGGGTCGGAAACCACTTCATTTTTTGGGGCTGGGGCCCAACTGCGATTGCATGCATAACTACATTGTTATTGATGTTTGCCGCAATCTTGCTTTTTATTTAAAAGAAAATACCCGGCTTTTCACCTGATTTCCTCGTGCGGAAGATGATCTGCAGCTGCCCCTACACCCCACGGTGACGACGCAAGTTGCGTCGTGCATTCGGCGGCGCTTCATATTTGTTGACTGTTGAAAACAATGCATGCGATTATTTTTTGTGTATCTTCGATATGTTTAAATCTTCTTTAAATCCGTTTCGTGTTGGCTTCCCCTCTCGCTTGATGAAGATCACAAATGGAGGAGAGGCAGCAGTTCAGAGGCGAGCTGAGGCGCCTGTTTTCCTCTCTCGCTCTTTTCATTTAACTCCATCTGCGGCAGAAAGCAAATCAATTCGCAAGTCTGGCTTAGGGAATTGCTTGTCTATCTTAGGGCTCTGTTCTCCCGCTGTTTTCCCTGGTTTGAGTTCCTCTTTCTCTCGTTCTGCTTACCACCACTCGGCGCAATTGCAGCGGTTTTTTACGAATCGCTACCACAAAAAGGTCTGTCCGAAGTGCACGCGAACGAATATTTTGCCCGCAACGCGCTGTTACTTCTGCGAGACGCCTCTAACTGATTTGCACATCCAAAGCATTGGCAGAGATCCTCTCTGTGAGTTGGTGTTGTCTCGCGGCGCCCATCACGACCAATCAGCGGCCTTAAAGGCGAAGTATGTTGCTATTAAGGAGAAGAAATATGCAGAAAATGACTACAACTCCCTACAGAAGATATTGAAAGACTTTCCACAGCCGCTCGCAAGCTCCCCGTGTCTGCCAGCAGCGCCAGCAACACCAGCAGCAGCCGCAGCGGCAGCAGCAGCAGCAGAGAGGACAGCAGAGGGAGCAGCATTCTCTGTCTGGGGAGGTGGATACACCGAGTTGTTTCGTTCTTTCGAATTTGTTGTTAGCACAACTCCTTTTCCCTCCGGCTTTATTCACTTAATAGCAGTGCCGAGGGCGTCTGTGTACGATATAAAGCAGCTGCGGAGGTCTCACGTGCCGCTACTGCAGGCGATGAAGACGAAGCTGCATGCATTTGCAGATCTATTGCTTGATTTAAAGCTGCAGCAGATAAAAGACTCTGCATTAGCTTCTTGTGTTAACTCTTCTTTGTTCGACGGCGAGGGAAAGCAGAAGAAAGAGAGGGAACAGCAAGACACCAGCGTCGCAGCTAGCATAAACAGCAACTCTCCTAAAATAAAGCAACAAATACTTCAAAGGATTATCTTCGGCTTTAATTACCCCGCAGAATACCGACAGCTTTGTTTGCATGCAGTCGCGCCGCCCTTTATAAACTTTTATCTTTTCGAGTTTCCTTACTTTTACTCCTTCAACAAAACCATCCAAGACATCAACAACCTCGGCTCTGTGCAGCCCTTCTCCCTCGCAGAAGGACTCGGGTCAGTTCGCTCGCAAGGGTTCAGGGTTTAGGGTTTAGGGTTAAGAGCTTTTAGTGTCGAGGGTTTAGCGGGGTTAGGGTTACGGGCCTAGGGTTTAGGGTTTAGGGTTTAGGGTTTGAGTGGAGGAGGGGCGTTAGAGGTTAGGGTTTAGGGTTTCTTTCTGGTAGTCTCAACAGGTGCAACGCTTCAATTTGTTTTTGAATGCGCCTCCGTTGCTGTGTACAGTGGGGTGTTTGGGTGTGCGCGTTTTGTTGAGGTGTACGTACAGCTGGTTAGATCAGCGTCTCTGCTGCAGGCTGCATGCGGCAATTACCCTAAGAAACAAAAACTGTTAGACTCGTGCGTTTGCAATTTGCGTTGCAGAGACGAAGAAGACTGCGGTGTACAAACAGCTAAAGAGAGCGACGCGACTGCTCGCCGTTTGCTGCATTTGTCTCCTTCTCGCAGTGAATAGAATAATGAGTTTAATATATATTAAAGAGAAAAGAAAATGTCTTATTCTTTAGCACAGCTGCTTACTCTGCAAGCCACACAAAGGACGAACAACGCCTCTTCAACGCTGCCGCTTAGCTGTACGTACACCTCAGCGGTACGGTGAGGGGCTGAGATAGTGCTGTCTGCTGAACGAGGAAAAAGGAGGAAAGAGACAAATAATGCAAAGTGCTGTTGTTTGCGGCTGTCTTCGCGTGTGTACGTACGCGCGTACCCTCATGCATGCAGACGCATTTGCATGCATGCATGCATGCATGCAAGCAAGGCAAGCAAATGCGCCATTGCTGCTTTTTATGCTTTCTTATGAGGAAAATGCAGTTTCAAGGACTTGCAACGACTGGTTTTAGGGTTTAGAGTCTAGGGTTTAGGGTTTTTGGGTTTGGGTTTTAAGGGTTTAGTCGACAGTTAAGTAGAAAGAAAATACTTCGCTGCGCTCAAGAAGAAACAAAAAACAGGGAAAAGGAATTCAGCTGTGCTATGTATGGACGCCTCGAGCTGCTTAGAGGGACCGTTGCTGCTGCTGCTGCAGTTGCTGCTGCTGCTGCTGCAGTTGCTGCAGTTGCTGCTGCTGCTGCTGCAGTTGCTGCTGTTGCTGCTGCTGCTGCTGCAGTTGCTGTTGTTGCTGCAGTTGCTGCTGCTGCAGTTGCTTCAGTTGCTGCTGCTGCAGTTGCTGCTGCTGCTGCAGTTGCAGCTGTTGTTGCTGCAGCAGTTGTTGCTGCTCCAGCATAAAGTAACCACCAGCGAGGGAGCTTGTTGATTGGTGGCTGTTGTAGGTAAAAGGCAACAATAATATATTCTTGCGAGTGCATTCTTACGAGCAGATTGATATTAAATAAATTATTATAAACATTATATACACGATCTATGCATACAAGAGTAGATCGTATAATTCTATAAGTATGTATTAATGCTAGTTAGAAATAATAAATATATTTTCTATGAGTATATAATAATAATTTAGTGCATAATAAGTAGAGGCACGTGCGGCGCATAACAACGAAGACAAGAGAATAGGGGCAATTGATTTATTTGTTACGATCTGTTTATTCGACTTGAATAGCAGAAAAATATAAACTCCATTAAAAAAGATAGCCCCTAATTTGATTGTCTCTTTTTTATTTCTTGTAGTTGAGGAGAATAAGAGATGTTTACTGGTGAGTAAAAAGCAGACAAAGAGCAGTATAAATACTTGAAGCAGATAATATACCATACAATTAACAAAAGAGAAGATGAATAAAGCAACTTAACTTCGACGGAACAGAAAAATTGTAAATAAATTATTCGCCTTGTGCAATAGGAATTATTTGCGTCTCTCTCTGTCTCTCTCTACATATATATATGCATTATTTATACTAGCATATATAATAATATGCATATTTGTATAATACAAATGAGGCATATATGAACAAAAATATTCGTTTCTTGAGTTGCTGCTGGTGAGAAAATGACGACTACGTTTAGTTGCTGCAGCGGTTGTTTCTACTTTGGTTTAAATCGCTGAGTACTTCATTGATGCATTGCTGCTGTTTAAAGCATAAAATATTGCCGTCGTATTGTTTTCTCCTCACAACGGAGTCACTGAATTATGAGGTGTACGTAGTACACCTCTAGCTCTACTACGTACACCTCAAGCTGTATGTACACCTCAAGGTGTACTACGTACACCTCAAGGTGCATGTATGTACACCTCGAGGTGTATATACACCTCAAAATATATGTACACCTCAAGGTGTACGTACACCTGAAGGTGTATGTACACCTCAAGGTGTATATACACTTCAAAATATATATACACCTCAAGGTGTGCGTACACCTGAAGGTGTATGTACACCTCAAACTGTATGTACACCTCAAGGTGTATTTGTACACTTAAACCTGTACGTACACTATTAGCTGTATATACACCTCAGACTGTATACACCTCAAGGTGTCTGCGTGAACTTAAAGCTGTACATACACCTCCTGTCCACTGTATGCACACCTGAAGGTGTATGTACACCTCAAAGCGTATCGTACGCAGTTGCTTCTCTTCGATTTCTTTGCATTCGCCGATACAACAAAATACCGCCTAGGAGGAAAAGGCCCCCCATGGCGCCTCCAGCGGCGTAGAAATACGTCATGCTGCTGCTCTCTTCTGCAGCAGAAACAAACAGAAAACAAGCAAATAAAACGATAAAAAAAGACTAACAACTGAGAAGAGAGTCTCATGCTTGCAGACAAGAGAGAGAAGAAGAAAAAGACGAAAGACAACACAACAGAATACAAATATAATACAAAAGAGCCGCAGCTTTTTCTCTGTTAATTTCCAATATTCGTTTCCTTCTTCTTTTATTCTTTTCCTCCCTTCTCTTTCTTTTCATTTTCTTTCTTATAACGTCTTCCGTTGTCAACTGTGTCTTGCTGCCTTTCAAAATCTTCCCATGCAAAATATATGTATATGTACATATGAACATATATACATGTATACATACATACATATATACATATATACACACACATCTATATATATATATATATTTACATTTATATATGAAGGGGGAGAACTCAAAGAAGAAAGTCTATGCCAAATTTAGTTCCCCTTTTAGCACTCATTGAGTTGGAAGCGCCGCACAAAACAGCAAAGACAAGAAGAAAACCAACAACAACAAGCAAAAGAAACACACAATAAAACACAAAAGAAACAAAAGGCAAGAGAATCAGAGAGAAGAACAAAGAGGAGAAAAATAGAACGAGAAAGAAGCATCAATCGAAGCAGTCCGAAGCCATATAGCTCGACAAAATCAGCGAAAGAGCACTAGAAAAACAAGCAAGAAGAGAAGGAAAGAATTAATAAGTGAAACATCTTTATACCCGTGCAGTTGGTTGCTTCGCATGCTTGCGTTTCCTTCATCTCAGGGCAAATGGTGCCGCCAACAGATCGCCGCACCCGCGACTGACGCCCTAACTGAGCCCCCCCCTCCTGCGTGCAGGTGCAAGCAGACCAATCCGTCCACTCCAGATAGACGCAGTCTGAAGCTGCAATATAAACACAAACAGAAACAGAAAGGGAAGGAAATAAACATTCAAACAGAAACAGAAACAGAAACAGAAACAGAAATGAAAATACAAACAGAAACAAAAACAGAAACGGAAATGCAAATATAAATGGAAATGCAAACAGAAGTAAACATTCAAACAGAAATGCAAAAAGAAGTGGGAACAGAAACAGAAATAAAAATGCAAACAGAAACAGAAATGGAAACGGAAATAAAAACAGAAATAAAAATAAAAACAAAAATGCAAACAGAAATGCATACAGAAACAGAAAAAAAAGAGAAATGGAAACAAAAGTGGAAAAATATATTAAAAGAGAGACGGAGACGGAAAACGGTGGAAATACAAGCATAAACAAAAACCGCAACACAAGTGAAAAACCGAAACAGAAACCGAAATCGAAACAGAAACAGAAACAAAAACACAAAAAAGAAGAAGAAAAGGAAAAAGAACAAGAGATACAACAGGGCAAAAGAAAGGGAAACAGAAAAAGAAATATAATACAAAGGAAAAGGGAAAACGAAACATAAAAAGAAAAAGAAACATAATACAGAAAAGGAAAAAGAAAAAGAAAAAGAAACTTAACAAAGAAAAGAAAAGGAAAAATAAACGCATTAAAGAAAAGGACAGTCGAGGCGGAATTTTACAGCTAGTGGCTGCGTTTTGATTTTCAGTGCGTAGATATGCATAAATGCATACAAAGTACAATATACATAATATATATATATATATATATATATATATAAATATACATATATATATATATAAATATACATGTATAAATAGCATGCTGCACATGCAATATATATATATATATATTATATATATATACATTATATATATATATATATTACACAAGGTGTTTTAAACGCCAACTGCATTAGTTTTCTTGCGATGGACATACGTTTGCCGCATTTGTACGAAATTGTTGTGTTGTTTATTAGTTGAGTGTAAAAAATTATCATTCAGAATCCTTATGTATATATAATATTATTTATTTGTCTTTCTTTCTTTCCTCCTTTCTCTTTTTCTTTTTTTCTGGCTTACTACATTCAGGGGCATCTCTGCACTTTCTACTTTCCGCTTTTTCTTCTTCTTGTTTGCATTTTTCTTCATCGCAAGTTGCGTCTTTCTCCTCCTCTCCGCCCCCGACTTTAGGCACTGGGTTCTGTAGACGTCTTCGTCTTCGAATTTGATATCGATCAGAGCCGCAAACAGGCGAGCAGGCGACAGCAGACCATTCAATAAATTCTCCGAGAATGCAGCAGGTTGCTGCAGCAATACACCTAGTAATAACATCTTATATAATATCTTATTCTATAAGAAGTTTGAAGTAATTATCATGTGTTGTGGAATGTAATACATTTTATATGAAGGTATATATATAGAGTTATTTATATATAAATGTGCTCGGTGAGGTAATGATGTACGATATGCACAGAGAGATAACAGGCGATATACATTCAGTGATTAAGCAAATTATTACAGAAACCCTAAACCCTAAACCCTAAACTCTAAGCTCTAGAACACAACAAACTGCGTCCAGAAAATAGAGAAAACAAAAGAAAATATTTGCATGCAAGCATGCTGCGCTCACGCTCACACTGTACACTGCAACTCTATTCAAACCTCCAGGTAGCTAGCTAATTACCTAGCTAACAATCTTGCTAGCTACATAGCTAGCTAGTTGGGAAGCTATCTCCTAGTTGGTTAGCTAGCCACTAGTTCGTTAGCTAGATAGCTAGCTAGCTAGCTAGTTGGTTGCCTAGCGATCTGATTCTCTAGTTAGAAGATGTTTGTTTATCTTTGCATCTAAACTGCTCTTTGTTTAAATGCCTAAAGGCCTCCTCTACGCCTCTACCCCAAGTGTACATACCGCTGATAGATTGCGTCAATTCGGATGAAGGAACTGTTCCCCCTTCCTTGCAAGAATCTGCTTCTATCAACTTCGTCTCTGCCTCCAAGTTGTCGTCGCGGTAGCCATAAGAAACAACCTGAAATAATAATAATAAAGATAATAATACTAATAACAGTAATAGAAATAGTACTAGTACTAGTACTAGTAATAATGAAGAATAACGAAGGAAAGGGTAAATGAAAAACAAAAAGAAAAGACAGACAAGGAAGAAGAAAACGAAGAGGATTCAAAAATGTGCGCCAGTGACAGAGCAAAATATCAACGCAACGACTTCCTACACTCAACGACAGCCATCGATAATAATAATAATAATAATAATATTATTATTATTATTATTATTAACAATTATAACAATAATAATAATAATAATAACACTATTAACAATAACAAGTTATAGCCGGTAACGATAATAGTCATATCAATACTAATAATAATACTCCTAGTATAAATTAATGGTGATAATCCCTACAATAATATTATTATGAAAAACAACAAAAAAGAGAAACAAAAATTGCAACTATGAAAGAGAAAAAACAACATGGTGAATAGAGAAGGCAGAAGAAAGGCGAAGGCGTCGACTGTAGCAAATAATTGAAAGGACTTCAGCAGCAAGTACCCAAACACTATTGCGTGTAATAATAACAACTGTTTGTTTTTATTTGCATATCGCACCTGTCTTCTTCTCTTTTTCCACCCCTTTTCAGTGTCTATACCCTCGCAACTACTCCATGAAGACCACGAACTCCAAGCTACTGTTGTTGGAGCTTCATTAGCTGAAGTCAGGATATCTCCTGAGAGCCAGGAGGCATCTGTTGTTAGTTTGTTGCTGCATGCAACAAGTGGCTTCAACTCGCAAGCCAGAGTGCTGTTATTAAACGAATAATGAAAGCAAGAGGCGTCCCCAAACGTACTGGGGTCTTCACTGAATAAAGAAACAACAAAAACAATAGACAGACACAACAGCACAAACAACGCCGCATGCAAACAAACACAAACAACAAGTATTTCGTCTTCTCTCCTATGCTTCATGCTATTTAATAAAGGGGGTGGTGCATTTAATGCATTTAATTAGTTGTCTTGACTTCGTAATATTGCAATCTTTGCTGCTCTCCATTTAAAACAAAACAAAAAACAGCCTCTCTCAACAGATGCCGCACTTACAGCGTCGCAGAAAAAGAAAGGGTTTGAGGGTTTAGGGTTTAGGGTTTAGGGTTTGCTTGATGTTATTCACATGTATAACAGTGTATTACAGTTTACTGGGGTTTGCTGTTTATTACTGTGGTTTCGTAGGGCGGTCATTTAGAAAAAATTAAGGTTTATTATTGGCGTTTAATAAGGATTAGTAAGGCTCAGTAGGGCTTATTAGGGTTTATTCAGTTTTTATGTATTAAGAAGGCGTATTAGTTATTAGTGACTGTTAATATTCTTATATAGGCTTCCTATTGGGGTTTGCGCTGGGGTTTATTAAGGTGTATATCTGAGCTAATTAGGGTTTACGCTGAGGGGTAAATTCGCGTTAATTAAAAATTATTGTTTAAATAGGGTTTATGTTTACGCGTTGCCTCCGCTTGCTTTGAATTCTTCTAGACAGGCTTCACCGCACTGTCTCCACGTCTCCGTTTCTTTTGACTTTGTGCTCTGCACGTCAGGGCAGTAATGTCTACCCGGCTGAATTCCCTTTCCTAAAAAAGAAATGAGATAAAGGGAGAAGAGGCGAACATGCAGTGCCTTCTGAGGTGCCTGTACACCCCAGTACTACTCCACTGCAAGACAGGAACAGACCCTCTTTCTTTCTACTTTTGTTTCTACTTCTATATTTTTTAAGGCCTTGAACTGGGAACCCTAAACCCTAAACCCTAAACCATTTCTCCGTATTCCTTTGCAAGCCGTTTTGCTCTCGGTGTGTTCATCTCTGCACTATCTATTATTACTATTATTATTATTCTGCTCGTTCGGCTTTTTAAGGTTTTTTCCCTCCGCTCTCTCTCATCTTTCTCTGTTTCTGTCTGTCTCTCTCTGTCTCTCTCTCTCTGTCTCTCTCTCTCTCTCTCCCTCTCTCTCTCTCTCTCTCTTTCTCCCTTTCTCTCTCCTTTTTCTTCGTTTTATACCTTGAGTGAGTTATCTTAGTGCTTTTGTAAATAATAGTTAAACAAAATTATTTAATATTTCCTGTGAATAATTTACTGACCGCATTTGACGCCTTGATTGCATTTTTCAATATCCCAGAGGTAGGGGCATTTATCGCAGTATTTGTCTTCTCCATTTTTGCAGTGTTCTAACCCTACATATTCTTCTATACTTCTATAGCGCCCAGAGACTCCAGCTTCACACCAAGTGCTGCAGGGCGTCTCTCTCCATGTACTCACACGACAGGAGGTGCAGCCCTCGACTACTCCGGCCCCAGATACAGCAATTTCTTCTTCGGTAGCTGCTCAAAGAAGAAATAAAGATGAGGGAAAGAAGGAGAAAAGAACACAAAATATATTTTAAAACAAAATAATGCACATTCGCATCAAGCTACCGACATGCATCGCACGGCTGCTAAGCATATATTAAGTGATGCTGCTTCTCTTCTCTCTCTTCTGCATGCACAAGGAGGGAGTTGGTGAGTAATGAATTAATTAATTAATCAATCAACAAACAAATAATTACTTCAATTAACTGTTAATTACGACACCGTTAAATAATAATAATCAAATCAACAGAGGAATTAATTATTATGCCAATTAACTGACCCATTACGGGTTAGTGAAAAAACAAAGAATAAAAGGATTAATGAATTAATCAAGTAAATAATTGATTAACGAATTAATCAAGTAAATAATTAACTAGTAAACAGGATACTTAGCCCGAAAATTAACTAAATAATTATACAATTAAATAATGAACGAATGAGTAAATGCTCACCGTCTCTAAGGCAGTTCAGGAGCGACTCTGTGTCTACTGTAACATCTTCTTTAACAGCAATCAGCGTACAAACTCCCTTCGTCTCTCCATTAGGCTTAACCCACGAAAAGAAGCGGAGATTACCGACGACCTGCGACGCGCATTCTTTCCAGGTGTATGTTGAGCCTCCGTCGCTAAGAACGAACTTCGAAGTGCTGCAAGAAGAGAACCAGTTTAAACTCTTTGCTAAACCTTTTCGCTGTTTGCGTTTCGTTAAGCTCTCCGCTTTCCCCCATAAGACGGTGCCGCAGGCTGCGCAGCACCAACAGCAGCAAAAAGCAACAACAAAGGTGATGGTGTTCATACAAAGGAGAGAAACAAACATACAACCTTCTCCTATAAACAACAATAATAACTTCTACTGTACAAGCAGATATAGACAGCTCAACTCGCGCACCTCCATCTTGTAACTGTTTCAGTGAAACAGTCGCTTCCTTCGCTACCTGCAGAGGGTTTGCAAACGCCTGCTTAAAGTTCTCGTTTAAAGCAGCCACTGATGCAACGCCATTGGGAGTGACAGCAGCAAAAGTTGCTGCTGCTGCTGCCGTTGCTGCAGCTACTTCGGTTTGCAGGAGACTGCCAGCTGCGCAGAAAACACAAAACACACGCAGCAATCGATGCAGGGTAGCAGCAAAGACTAAACAAAAAAAAAACAACACAAAGAAAGAACGCGACGAGGGGAAAGGTAATGTCGCCGAGGTAAAGGAATGCAGCAAACGTCTGTTCAAAATCGCCCTCACAAACCGACCTCGTGGAGCTCCCTTGTCTTGAGAGGTGGCATCTGACCAGTGGTCCACATCCCCATGAACCAGTGGTCCCTGGCTGCTGCTGAACCGGCGCTTCCAACGAGCAGCTGGAGTTCCACGGCGACGGGCGGGAGCAGTGGATGCGGCTGTTTGAAGAGCGAAGAACAGCAGAGCGCTGCACGGCTCTATAACCTTCAGGCAGCCGACAGCTGCTATTAAGCAAACGGCAAATAAGAAAGTCGACCGCCCGCCCAGCCGTCTCTCCATCACCGCCAGGTGAAGAAAAGGAAAAATGTACGGGTGAAACAGCGCCAAAAGGAACCACTATAAGAAATGCAAACCGAAGGAGCGAAGCCTGGCCCCCTGCAGCTCGCAGCAACTCCTCGATCCTGCAGGAGGGCCAAAGCCGTTGAGTTTCCTCTTTATATCATCAGAAAACTCATGAAGCGGCAGAGTACGTCTGTACGATTTGCACACGATGGCGAAATGCAAGAGTCCTTCCCAGGACGATCTGCCGGTTCAGGCTACATTTCAGGGCGTGAGATGCATAGAAGGAGAAACCTGCGGCTGCAAATATCCAAATGAAAGCGAAAAAAAAATGTCGAGATGATCTAAAGAGAACTCGAAACCGGGCGGAATTGCAATGGGATACTGGGGCGTACAGACGCCAGGCTGGCGCGCGGTGTGGAAAGCTGCGGGAAAAAGGGGCTAGACAACCGTTTTCTTTCCTTCACCCAGTCATTTTAAATATGAAACTCAATATTAAATACAACCCCCCTGAAAGATCATTGATTTCCTACTTCTTTTCCTCATATCGATGCTGCTCGTTGTGAATTAGTGGCTTCCAATGGCCCCCCCAAGGACATGCAAGCGTTCAGCTTTCCCGAAAAAAAATAATTATTTTGCGGTTTAGATTCTTTCGATTGCGCTTTTCTCATTTAGCAAGCACTTGGAAAGGCCAGATGGAGAAAGAGGCATAACTCGATTTTCTTTCTATTCCCTGTTGTTTCACTTCGGCTAGCCATGCAGTCCCAGTGCAGTGCTCGCGGCGAAAAGATGCAATTCCGATGCGCCATCTTTGCTTTGAGGCTTTTTTCTTCAAGGCAATTTCCACTGTGAGATCTTCTTCCCTTTCTTTTCATCAGTTCTTCCACTTTCAGCTGCGCAGGCGGCCTGCAGGGGCTGTGCCGGGCCTTGAGTTGAGTCGATCCCGCTGCTGCTTTCTTGTTTGCCGGTTTTATTTTTCCTTTTCTCTCTTTTTTTCTCTTTTTATTTCATTTTCCTTATCAAGACTTCTTGTATCCCGGGGCGCCCTTGGGCTGCTGCTCTGCACATCGTCCTCGTCTCCCCTCCTGCGTGTATTGACCTCTATTCGCCTTCTTCTTCTTCTTTCCCCCCCCTCTTCTCCACTTTCCATACAGCGAAAGGCCAAAGGTAGCCTCGAGCAGCAAATGCACTGCTAAGGAGTGTCAATAACCTCCGGCATTATAGCTGGCATCGTATGACGGGCAGTTGCTGCTACTACTGCTGCTGCTGCTGAGCAAAAGCAAGTACAGTCGCCTCTTAAGAAGATGAAAGAAGTGAGAGGCCTTAAAAGGGCCTCGCGCTGCCTTCAGGGGTTTCTGCTGCTGCTGCTGCTCTGCAGCACCAGCTGGCTGTCTGTCTTGGCAGACCTGCCGATTCATGCGACTATTAGGGACGTCAAAGGGAAATGGTGAGATGCGCGAACAAAGAAATATATAATGACTCATTTAAGTGTATATCTGAACACAGAATCAGACTCTTAGCATGCAACAATAGAAGGACGGTTGCTGCTGCTGCAGCAGGCTGCAGCAGCAGCTGTACATACACTGCAGCAGTGGAGGTTACGCCATAGGATGTTGTCTTGTATTTTCCTTTCCAGTTAAATTTCATGAACATTATATTATCTGCCGATTCAATGCTTGCTGCTGCCGTTTTATTTGTTTGATCTAAACCGCTGTAAGCTTGCTTTCTCTTCTTTTGTTCGTGTGTGCTATCTTCGTGCGTCTGTACTCACTCTAAAGAGATATGCTGCATGCATACTACTGGTGCTGCTACTGCTGCATGCATGCTGCTACATATTCCTCTTACTTCTCCGGTGCGGTTCTTTTTGCTGTTATAAATGGCTGCTCAGCTGTCTGTACACCTGAGGTGTATTGGGTCTTAATTTTTTGTGTGTTTGCATTGGTACATTGTAAACGCCTGCTGTATCCAACGGCAACATCTTTTGTTTTGATTGATTTCTTTTTGTCTGTTTGATTATACGATATGCTGCTGCCTTATTCGTTCGTTTTCTTCTGATTTGTTTATTTTTTGCCTCGTATATGTAATACGTTCTGCTGTTTTACTTCCTTTATCTGTATTTGCTTGGTTTGTTTGTTTGCTAGTGTAATATTTTGCTGCTTTCTTCTTCTATCATATTATTATATCATTCGATTGTTGTCTCCTATTGAATTCTCTTGACCTTTCGCTGCTGCTTTACTCGCTCAACAATTATTTCGTTTTGTTTATTTTTTCTTCTGTTTCTTTAGGAGATTTATGATGACTCCTCCTACTTCAGGTGTAATTCAATCCTGCGGCTCGGGGACTCCAAATCGAAATACAGAAAATCTGCGAGAGGAGATCGCTGATCCACAAAAATATTTAGATAAACATGGAGGTAAAACTGCATTTGCTGCTGGTGGCTGTTGCTTGCTGCTGCTGCATTTTGTTTGTTGCTGCTGGTTTTCGCTTGCTGCTGCTGTCTTTTGTTTGCTGCTGCTGTCTCTTGTGTGCTGTCGCTTTGACTCGCGTTGTTAGACAATTTTCTCGCGTTGATCTTGTTTATCTGTTTATTTGTTTGTTTATTTGTGTGCTTGTTTGTCTATTTGTTTGTTTGCTTGGTTGTTTGAATTTCTTTTTCTGGTTTTTGCTTGGGTGTATGCTGCGGTTTTCGTGTTCATAGTTGTGCACTGCATTGATGTATTATTATTTACTTTACTGTGTAATTATATTTTTAAATTGATTATATGATCTGTTTTTTAATTCTAATTTGTTCATTTGTATTTGTATTAATTTATTTTGCTTTGTTTCGGCTTGCTGCTTGTAGAAATAATAATCCCTGCGGTGTTGCTCACTATTGTTTATTGCACTTGTTTGTCTTGTTTTCAGGTGTATCGACAGTTATTGAGGTGGAGCTAACGGATGAAACGATGCCTTTTACTTCTTTCTTCGATTCTGCAGCTAATCCACATCGACATAGCTGGCAGAGTTTAGTAGTAAAAGACAGTAACAACAATTTGGGGGGGACTTGGACGATGGTCTACGATGAAGGTAAAGTAAACAAAAGCCTTCAAAACGCATGCATGCATGCATGCATGCAGAGGGGTTGAAGGATAGGGGTTTAGGGTTTGGTGCTTGCTGCTCACTCTTCTGCAGAGTGTAGGCTGTGCGATGCTTACGGTTGATTAGGGTTTAGGGTTTAGGGTTTAAGGTTGATTAATGCTTAGGGTATAGGGTTTAGGGTTTAGTGCATGTGTGGGGTGTACGTACACCAGGGTATGAGGTCTCTTTAAGGGACAGGACGCACTTATTCGGACTTATGAAATATTCAAAAAATGAGGAATGCCCAGCAGCAGCAGACGGCGACTTAGAGGATTCAAACGGCCGCACCGCCTGCTACACCACTGACTCCACCAAGACCCAACTGGGTAGGAAAATAACGTTTCTTTCACAGATATATGAATAATAAATAATAATGAGTGTATATATATATGTAGTTATCCATAAGCATATGTGCAGAAATATACGTACACGTATATACTTTGTATATACTTTGTATATGCAAGTGTAGGCGTATATTATATATGAACAGATGTAGAAAGGCCTATTATTTGAATGCTTGAGTTGGGTTGGGTTTTGTTTGATGTTGTGTTGCGGTGTATTGACAGGTTGGTATTCATCGATTGGTGTGGACGGCTCGGTATTATCGGGTTGTTTTTATGGTGAGAAGCGGCTAGAAGGCGAAGATAAAGGAAATGAAGCTCTTCCTTCTTCTTTTGTCTACGTGCGGGGCACTGCGAGTTCAGAAGGAAATGCAAACAAAGAAGCAGCAGCAACAACAGCAGCAGCAAATGCAGCAGCAGGAGTAGGAACAACCCCAAGAGAAAGTGCAGCATTCGACTACTTTCTTAGTGAAGACTTTGTTAATGCACATAATTCAGACGAACACAAGAGTTGGATAGCTTCAGCCAATTCTTCTTTTATTCAACAACACCGAAGTATACTGCCATCTCTCATCAAATACTTCGGACATTCAAAAGTAAATTCCACTGGTGAGGAAATACAAACACGCAAAATTAAAAACCTGAGGTGTATGTGCACACCTCAACTTGCATCGGTTTCCTTTCTTTTTCTTCTTTCATGTTTCGTTTCATTTCATTTCATTCAGCATTTTAACTTCAGTCCTTTGAATAAAGAATTTTTTTATTTAATTATCTATCTATTTATTTTACTTTATTTTGTTTATTCATACATTTATTTAATTATTTATTTGTTTGTTTATTTATTTGCAGACGGGACTGAGGCTTTTCCTTCATTCTTGCAAGGAGCCAGCGGGTCTTCTAACTCCACTTCATCTACAGCTCAGCTGTATGCGTGCCCATGCAAGGAAGGTAATAATAATAATAATAATAGTAATAATAATTAATAATAATAATAATAATAATATAATAATAATAATATAATTTAAATAGCAACAGTGAATAAACGCAAACAAATAAACCGTTTCTAAGAAAACAAATACACAAGCATGCAGCTTTCGTTAGTGAGTTGGGCTTCACCTACTTTCTCTGTCTCCGTAAATAGACTTCCTTTTATTCATTCCTCTTTATTCCTTTCAATATTTGCAGGCGAAGTGCCCGAGGACACTCGCAGACACGTTCCAGAGAAGGCTACCCAGCCGGTGTTGTCTCCCCAAAGTTTAGTGCAAACAGCAGCAAAAACTGTAGAAATCAAGGCCCACGAACAGGAGCAGGTGCTGCAGCAGCAGCATGTGCAGCAGCAGCAGGTGGAGCAGCAACAGGTGGAGCAACAGCAGGTGCAACAGCAGCAGGTGCAGCAGGCGCAGCAGCAGCAGGTGCAGCAGGCGCAGCAGCAGCAGGTGCAGCAGCAGCAGCAGGTGCAGCAGCAGCAGCAGGTGCAGCAGCAGCAGCAGGTGCAGCAGCAGCAGGTACAGCAGCAGCCGGTGCAGCAGCAGCAGCCGGTGCAGCAGCAGCAAGAGGATTTTGAGTTGCCTGCTGCTTTCGCTTGGCCCAATCCTTTCACCGATCCTTCCTTCAGTGAGGCACCCACAAACCAGGGGGGGTGCGGCAGCTGCTACGCGATCTCGGCTCTGTATGCGCTGCAGCAGCGGTTTGCAATAGCTGCAGCAAAGGCGATCGACCGCAGCAACAGCAGCAGCAGCAGTGAAAATGCGCAGGAGCAGCAGGGTGTATCTCCGTCATTGCTGCAGCAGGTGCAGCAGCTGCAGAAAACTGCTGTGCCTAAGCTGTCTCCGCAGTTTATTCTTTCTTGTTCTTTCTATAACCAAGGCTGTAATGGAGGCCTTCCGTACTTAGTGGGAAAGCAAGCGAAGGAAACAGGTTAGTTAGTTAGTTTGTTTGTTTGTCTGTATGTTTGTTTATATATTTGTTTATATGTTTCACTCTAAACCTAAGTTGAAGCTAGGCAGAGAGTGCTTCAATGACGCCGTAGAAGAACATGAAAAATGGTATTAAAAAAGGAATCAAATAATATTAAAGAAAATAATATTGAAGAAAAAGAAAGTAGTTTAAAAAGAAGAGGAAAATAAGTTGGGTCTCCTACACCGCAATGCAATAAACAAAAACAGCGACAAACAAACACTCAAACAAACACAGATGAAAAGCGTGAAGACGAAGATGAATAACATAATGGAAGAAGGAGAAATGCAAACACCAACAACAAAAACAAAAGAAAGAGACGAACAGACAGACAGACAGAGACAGACAGTGGATGAGGAAGAAGGGGCCACCCAGCGTTTGTTGTTGTGTCTCTGCTTCTCCCTCTACTTGCTGCTGCTGCTGCTGCTGCGTCTACCGCAGCAGCAGCAGCTGCTGCTGCCGCTGCAGCATTGCATGCATTGTTCTTGTTTATTGTTTGTGTTTGTATGTTTTGTTTGTAGGGGTGCTGGGCGAAGAATGCATGCCGTACGTTGGTATGGATACCTTGACTTGCCCCGTGCTGCAGCCAACCAGCAGCAGCAGCAGCAGCAGCAGCAGCAGCAGCAGCAGCACAGATAGTTTTGTTTCTTTCCTTGCAGCAGACAATGGGAGTGGATCCTGCCACGGGCCGGAGCAGCGATGGTGCGCTCTCTCTTATTAAATTTATTTATTTTATTTAAATCTAATTTTGTTTTATTTTGTTTTGTTTCAATTTATCAAGAGTTTATTTATTTTATTATTTTCAGGCTCTCTCTTCCATTTGTTTGTTTTATTTCCCGGTTATGTTTGCTTATATGATGATGTTTGTTTGTTTGTTTTTCTGTTTGTTTGTCTGCCTGCTTGTTTGTTTGTTTTATTTTTCTTTTTGTGTTTTATTTGTGTTTATTTCTTTTGTGTTTTGTTGCACTTCCCTTTGCTTTCACTGTTTTTTATTTTCTTTGTTGTTCGTATGAATTGCAGCTGCGTGCATTTGTGGTAGTAAATTTCTTTGAAGAACAATATAACCTAATATTAATTTTATGATAAAAATACTAATAGTGTGCCTTTATGCATTATGAATTATGTATTATATATTATATTGTATATTATATATATTATATATTTTATATATTATATATTATATATTATATATTATATATTATTTTATATATTATTTTATGTATTATATACTATATACTATATATATGTGTGTTTCTTCTGTTTTAGGTTTGCAAAGAGCTACGGCTACGTGGGCGGCTGTTATGAATGCAGCCACTGCTCTGGAGAGGAGCAGATAATGCGAGAGATAATGTCGAATGGTCCGGTGGCGGCTGCATTCGATGCTCCAGCTTCATTATTTACCTATGTTTCGGGTGTATTCACTGCACCTGCCTATACACCCCACGCCCGTGTGTGCGACAGCCCTTCTGCTACAGACAGCCGCCGAAGCAGTTTAGGAGGCTGGGAATACACCAATCATGCGGTTACAATTGTAGGGTGGGGAGAGACAGATGCAGCAGCAGCAACAACAGCAACGCCAGCAGCAGCAGGAGATTCAGGTAAATTGAAATATTGGATAGTGCGCAATACGTGGGGTTCAAGCTGGGGTAAAGGCGGATACTTTTTGCTTATTAGAGGCGTTAATGCAGGGGGTATTGAATCTCAGGCTTCGTTTATTGATCCAGACCTTACGAGAGGGAAAGGAAAGCAATTATTCGACAGCCTTCTTGCTGCACATTCAAACAAATAAACGGAAGTAGTTTACATTCTGTTGTCCCTTTGTCGTGTATCCAAGCGCAACTCAACGCACTTCAAGGAGCTGCAACAGGTAGAAATCCACCGCCACCAGCGATGAAACATTGACACCCGGAATAGCTAGCCGGAATAGCTAGCGAGCTAGCTTGCTAGCTAGCTTACTTGCTTGCTGGCTAACTGGCTGGGGAGGTGGTATAGCTTGCTGACCAGCTAGCTGGCTAGCTAGCTAGATGGCTAGCTAGCTGGGTAGTAGCGAAGGCTACAGCTAGCTATATCTAGCTAGCTACCTAGCTACCCGGTTACCTAGGTAGCTAGCTAGCTAGCTGGCTAGCTAGCTAGCTAGTGCGTTGAGGGTTAGGTTAGAATGGTTTTGTGTGGCGTTGATTCCACCGGCGAGTGAAGTCGGCGGCCGCCGTCATTTGAAGGAGAGCGGCGGAGAGTTGCGAACTGCAGTTTAAACAACAATAAAAAGAATAATAAAAAGAATTAAAAGAATAATCATAGAATAGTAAAAGAACGTAATAATAATTATTATAGTTATAAGTAATAACAACAAAGATTTTAGTTACAACCTTTAAAAAAAAGAATTATTTCGATAGTCGTACTTCGAAATATAAAATTATAATTCAAATTAATTTTAATATTTGTAATAATACAAACAGGCGGCAATAACTACTACTAAAAAAAATATATCGGGATGATGGTTATTCATATTCTTAAGATAGACTAACAACAACTAAATAAATAACATTTATTATTATTACTATTAATATTACTTTTCTTTCTCCCCCTTATATAAACTATCCTTTCTCTGCTACCGGACGACTCCACACCAAAAACAAGCAAAAAGCAAACGACAAATAAAAAACAAACAAAACAAAACAAACAAACAAAACAAACCAAATCACCAAATAACAGAAATAATTTCTTCGTCGTGAAGTTGGAGTTGGTGCGCCGGCTATAAATGTATATGTTTACTCGTTATATGCAATTCTACAACCATATATACACATCTACTATACAATTATATATATATATATAATATACATAATATATATAGTACATATATGGTGTATATATATGTGCTTAAACGTATAATGCTTGAATTAAGCGCCTACATATATATATATATATATATATATATATATATTGGTATACGCATTCGCTCTCTATATAGAAGTAATATCTATATATACAAGTATATGTAAATATATGTGAATAACATATTAAAGAAGTTGAAAAAGACAAGTGTTTGGGGAGAGAAAGAGAGACAATATCTCTCTTTGTTTTTCTTCGCCATCTCTCCCCCTACAAATGCTGCAACTGTTGCGTTGCTAGACAAAATAAAATGCCTCATCAAAGAACAATAAACCCTAAACCCTAAACCCTAAACCATTTGAGGGTTTAGACCCCCCTTCCTTTTCACCTCCATTCCCCAAAAGAAACTAGCAGCAGCAGCGACAGCAGCAGCCGCTACTGGTGCTGCTGCTACTGGTGCTGGCGCTGCCGGTGCTGTTGCTGCTGCTGCTGCTGCTGCTGAACGTGGCTTCCGTCACCTCTTGCTTCGCGTAGCTGCAGCAAAACGCAGCAGCAGACAATCGTCTTCATGTATACACCGCAACTCCAAACAAAAAAACACAAACAAAAAGTAAACAATAGAGCAGTAAGTAGAAAACAAACAAAACACAAAAAACAAACAAGAGAGGACGCAGCGAATATAACGATAAGCGAAGACACACAAAAAGCAAACCAACGATGAAGTAAAGCAAATAAACACAAACAAACAAACAAACAGAGACATATGAACAAAGAAATGAGCATATACATATAAACAAACACACAACAAACTAAACAAACACATTTAAGCACGCAAACAAATATAAAAAAATCTGAAAACAAATGGAGTAAAAAGCAAACAAAGAAATAAATAAATATGCATATAGACAAAAAGATAAACAAACAGAGAAACAAACATATTAAACAAAGAAAAGAATTGTTGCAGCCGTACCCGCCTGATTGACGGCAGCACTTAGCTGCGCTGCTGCTGCTGCTGCTGCTGCTGCTGAACTCGAAGCAGCAGCCGCAGCAGCACCTGCAGCGCAAGCGAAGACAACGCATGCACACAGAAAGCAATGACCAATACATACAAAAGCAGCAACAACAATAACAATCACAGTAATAGTAATAATAATAATAATAATGCAGCAAACGAGAAGGAAGTTGGGGTGTATCACTTACTACTAGCAGCTGCTGCTGCATGCGTTTTGCTGTAAGCAGAGGCACTCGGAACAGCAGCTGGTGCTGCTGCTGCTGCAGCAGCAGCATATGAATCCTTCACCTCTCGCTGCTTCTCCCGCCGTTGCCGTCGCCTATCCTGGCGTTTGGCTGTACATACAGCAGAAAATAAATAAAGAAGACAACTTAAAGAAGAAAAGAACAGCTGAAGATATTTCTTTGTTTTATTACAAACAACGAAGAAACGCAGGACGAACACAAATATAAAATCACTCAGCTTGGATATAAAAGCGTAAAGTTTATAAATAAATAAATATGTATATATATATCCAAATATATATATATATATATATATTTGTGTATATACAATTCTCTTCTCGCCAACATAAAAATTTCTTTTTCTTATACCCACAACACACATGTATCTAATGCACATAATGCATGCAATACAGCTACACACAAACAGAAATAGATATATATATTTTATATACTTAAATATATTTAAATATATTTCTTTACTCACCAACATAAAGATAAAAAGGCGTTTCTTTTTCTCCTTCGACTTCAAACGGAGGACCGACGGCGGCCTCTGCCGAGCCCGGAGGAAAGTTTGAGGAGTATGGGTTAATACCGAAGAGTTTCATAATTTTCTGTAGATCAAAAAGAAGTTAAGTAAATAAATCTAACTAATTAATTTATTTAGTTATTATAATACAGCAAAGCAAATGCACCTAATGCACGCAATGAAATGCAATATACTGCTAACAGAAAAACAAACAAAGATATAAAAATTAAAGAGAGTGAAACAAAAAATAAATAAACTAACAAACGAATAAAAAATAAACAAATAAGCAGAAACAATTAAATAAACAAAACAAACAGACAAACAAACAAACAAACAAACCCAACACCCACGGCGAGAAAAAAGAAGCAAGAAGAACGAGAAAAAGAAAAGGATAGAGAAAAAGAAGAAGAAAAATAACAACAATAACAACAATAATAATAATAATAAAAGAAAATAAGAGAAGAAGAATAATAAGATTTACTTCTAAGAGGTACGGGTTTTTAAAGTCTAACGAAGTGTTGATGTTGGCGTTCACAGTAATTCCGCGTCTCTTCAAATTTTGCAGACGAGTTATGGTTGCCTGCATACAAACAAACAATAAATAAATAAATTCTAATTAATAAACAGGTATTATAATAATTATTATAATAAGCAACAATTATACAGACAAACAACAATAAATAAACAAATACTAATTAATAAACAGGTTTTATGATAATTATTATTATAATAAACAACAATTATACAGACAAACAACAATAAATAAGCAAATACTAATTAATAAACAGGTATTATGATAATAATTATTATAATGAAGACTAATAATAATAATTATACACACAAACTACTATCCATCTATTATGGAGGCAATGTAATAATAATACTGAGACAAACAACAATTAATAAAGAAAGATTAATTAATATGAAGCTAATAGAATAATAATTATAATAATAATTATCATAATTATTTCTCTCAACAGCAAAACATACCAACAATTCGGGAGGCGGCGGGCCCTTAGGCAGCCGCTCTACGAAGCTGGCGACCTGCAGCAACACAAAAAGAAATAAAAGAAGCAAAATAAATAATTAAGACAAATGTTTTATTCTTCTTTTATTAAGTACGAACAAACAAAACGGAAAAATGAAACTGCTGCTGCCGCTAGGCAGCAACAAACAAACGCAAACATAACACAACCCTCACCCTGGGTAGCTCACGATAAATATATAAATAAATATAGATAAGCATATATATATAATGCATACATATATATGCATATATATATGTATATATTATATATTTATACATGAAACCATGTATACACATGACGCACTTGCATAAATAGCCAGATATGGGACTTATGGATATAATCATACAAATAGCACGGCTATATATATATGTATATATATACGTATATATATATATTATATATATACGTATATAAATATTATATATATATGTATATATACGGGAGCTGGGGTGTGCATACACCCCATGTCTCAGCGACGGACAGAAACTTCTGCTGGATTTCCTTTGAACCCCTTTTTACTTTATTTTTTCGTTGGGGTATACAAACAGCTGTTGATTGCGTTTGTGCAGGGAAGGCGTGCATGCATGCAGCAGCATCTACGGTGTATACGCACCTCTGCATCTCCCTCTGCAGCAGCTTCTGAGTCTGTTGCGTCTGTCTCGTTGTCTGCTTCCCTTTGTTGCAAAGTATCTGCAGGAGAAGAGCTCCTAAAGGCGCCCTTGCTGCTGTCAGAGAGAGAAGCAGCAGCAGCAGTAGCAGGTGCAGCTCCACCTGCTACTGTTGGTGTGTCTCTTCCTTTGCTGCTCCTACCTGCGGGAGAAGAAGGGGTTGTCTGCAGTGTATACTCTGCTGCGCGCGAAGCTGCTGTTGCTGCTGCTGATGATGATAATGAGCCTGGTGCTGCTGCTGCTGATGCTGCTGCAGAGGCAGCAGTGGAGTTTAAAGAAGTATTTGTTGACTCCCACTCAGAAAGAGAATTCTCTGCATTACCTGGAGAAGAATCCGGCGGATGCTGTTGCTGCTGATTGTCTACCGCACAGCTGCTGCTGCTTGCCGCTGCGCCACTACTGCTGCTGCTGCTGTTGCTGCTGCTGCTGCTGCTGCTGCTGTCGGTGAGGGAGTTGGGGGGCACGGAAGAGGGGTCTGAGTTGTCGCCGTCTGCCTCCTCGTCAGAGTAGAAGCCGTAGTCGACGAGACTCATGCTCGGCTAAGCTGTAAAAGGAGCATTTCTTTCTCTTTAGGAAGGAAGGGGAGAGAGCAAAAGAGAAGCAGAAACTTGTGGAGCGGTAGAGGCGGGGGAAGCGGCTTGTTGAGGAGGAAACAGCCGATGAGAAGAGAAAAAGAAGTTAAGTTGCAAATAAAGGTAAATTACAAAGAAATAGATCAAAAATAAAACAAAATATCTACGCAAAGTGCATGCATGCATGCATAACGAGTACGCAGGCGCTCTCAGCAGTAGCACTGGCGGAACGAGGAGAGGAAGGGAAGAGCTGTCGATACACCGCAAGACAAGCATTCATTTGAAGTATTTGTTTTGTTTTTAATGATTTCAATGTATTTTAAATGATTAAAAATACATTACCTTAAACAATTATGCAAAAGTAGTGGGAACGGCTTCTGCCAGCAGAGGCAGAGGCGGCAGCAATGAGGTGTACATACACCTCAAGATCGCGTGCAGTGTGCAGAGGGTAAGACAGGTCAAAGAGATTCATTTGAGTTGTAATAAGGGCAATTTAATATACAAAAGCATTTTTAAAAACATTATTTTTTCCTTATTAGAGGCTTTCAGAGCAGCATACATAGCTACAGCAGCATGCAAGACTTAGATACCCTGTTTCTGCTTGTGTACACTTGCGCAGGGGGAGAGGAGGAGAAGTAGGGAATAAAATGTTTTGTTTCTGGATAAATTTGTTGAAAAGAAGTAAATCTGGTTTGATTTTCTAGTATTTATTGCGGTGTATGTACAGATACACTGCAATATATACACGTATTCCGTACCTACTTAGACATATTAGTTTGATGCCCTGTACATGCAGCTCTCGTGGGGGTAAAATAGTATAGTAGTCTGCCGCCTCCCCACGGCGATTGATGTTCTGGGTCTTTCTGTTCGAGTTTCTTCATTTGTTTTGTTTATATTCCTTTTTCGGGTGTATTGTCAACAGTTAGGGGCTTGCATCTATTGTTTTTCTTTCTTCTTTCCCCTTTAAAAAGGCAAGAACCACACAAACAACTGAAGGCAGCAACAGCCGCTGCAGCCTCGGAGCCTCCCTCCTGCCGTTCTCTGCAATCGGTGTACAGCGGCTGTCCCCTTTGTTTCTTTTCTTCTCGTTATCTTTGTTTCTTTTTAATTGCAGCAAACAATCAAACAACTGACGCCCCATTAGAGCAGCCTCACCTCCCCTGCCCGTGCTGCGCTTCTTCAGGTGTATGTACACTCTGGGGCCTGCTTCCCCTTCTGGCTGCATTTGTGTCTTCTCCTTCATATTTTCACTTACTAGGCCTCTTCCTTTGAACATTTAATCTTTTTATTTGTTTCTTTACTTCGTCTTTGTCTTATTTCTTCTTCTTTTCCCTCCCTCTCTCACCCCCATGCAGAACATAGACATCAGCCAAAGGATTTGCAAACACCTCTGCCGCTCTGACGCCGCAGCACAGGGCCTGCAGGAGATGCACTTAAGCTCTTTTGCGGATGCTGCTGCTGCTCCTGCTGCTGGATTAGCAGCAGACAGCAGCGTGCAGCATGACTGCAGCGCCGCAGCAGCAACAACAGCTGCAGCGGCAGAAACAACAACAACAGCAGCAGCAGCAGCAACAGGCGCTGCTCTTTCTGACGTTGAAACAGCAGCCGACAATTCCTCCGTCTGTTTGTTCCCTTCGGAGGCTGCAGAGGCTCGCATGTCAGGCGCAGCAGCAACCCCCAAAGCAGCAGCAGCAGCAGCAGCAAGCGCAGCAGCAGCTGCAGCAGGAGCAGCAGCGTCAGCAGCAGGAACAGGAGCAGGGAGAGAAGGTTGTGAGGGTTTAGTAGGAGATGATTTGTTTGTTTCTACTTCAAGTTGTGTAGCGAAGTTAGGGCTGAGTGCTAGCCCTTCTTCATTCTTGCTTCAAGCAGCTGTATGTACACCTCAGCTATGCGCGCTGCTGGGGGTGCCTAAGGGGGCCCCACAAGATTTTCTAAAGGCAGTTTTCTTCTGGTTATTCCCCAACCTGTTGGTTGTTGCTGCATTTCTATTAACTCTTACAGCTTGTCTTCTCTTTGACGCCACTGTGCAGGTAGACCTCTGTCTGCTTGCTGTGCTGCTGCTAGGCTGGTTGTCTCTTGCTGCTGTAGCTAGAACTAGAGAGAATGCTTGCAGCTCCTACGATCATAAACAGCAGCAGCAGCACCAGCAGCAGCAGCAGCAACAGCAGCAGCAGCAGCAGCAGCGGCTGCAGAGGAGTCACTCACTGCAACTGGAGATCATCAAAAGACATGAGGCTGCCGCAACCACAACTGCAGGCGCCGAGCAGCAGCAGCAGCAGCAGCAGCAGAAACAGCAGCAGCAGGAAGTGCCTGCAGCAGAGTTGACTATGACACAGGAAGACTCCTCGACGGAAGACAGCACGGAGGAGGAAGCGGAAGAGAGCCAGCAGCAACTGCTGCAGCTGCTGCAGCAAACGACGCACGAGGAAGAACCTTCCTCAGCTGCAGCAGCTGCTGCTGAGGAGGCTGCCATAGAGAGTGCACCGCCTCTGTCCTCGCCGCCCTCCCCCGCCGCAGCACCAGAGGAGTCAGCAGCAGCAGCTGCTGCTGCTGCAGCAGCAGCAGGAGGGGATCTGCTGCTTCCGTTTGGACACGAGGAAGGAGAAGAGTCGGGAGAAGAGCAAGAAAGAAGTATCTGCGGCTTAGAACAGACGCAAGACAAATGTGCTGCAGCAGAAGAAGAAGGTTTGCTGCTGCACAGCAAGAGCTGGGAAGTAGTCCCTGTGGTGTCTGCTGCTCCGCTAGGCAGCGCAACACCCAGCACCAGCAGCAGCAGCAGTAGTAGCAGCAGCAACAGCAGCAGCAACAGCAACAGCAATACACCGATGTGGCTGGGAGGCGGAGTCTTCGGTGATTTCTCTGCTACTTCGGCGCTGCCTGTTGACTTGTCTTTCTGTTCAACGCAGAGTCTTGCTGCTGCTGCTTCTGCCGCTGTCTCTGCTGCTGGTGTTGCTACTCACCCGGAAGCAGCAGCAGTAGCAGCAGCAGACAACACTGCAGATGCTGCCACTCTTATAAACCCTCAGGGGCTGCTTCCACTTTCGCTGCTGCAGCAGGAGGTCTGCAGCAGCACCCGACAGTTTTCTTCCTTCTCCCTCACCCCACAGCAGCAGCAGCAACAGCAGCAGCAGCAGCAGCTTTTGCTGCAGCAGCAGCAGGATGTATTTAACAACTCGTTGCTACTTCAGCTGCAAACATTGGAGGAAGCAACAGACTTGCATGCCTTTGACGCTGCAGCTAGCTACCAGCAGCAGCAGCATCAGCAGCAGTTGCTGCACGACCAGCAGCAGCAGCTGTTGCACGAGCAGCAGCAGCAGTTGCTGCATGAGCAGGAGCCGCAGCAGTTGCTGCTTCAGAAGCAGTTGCTTCAGAAGCAGCTGCAGCAGCTGCTGCAGCAGCAGGAACAGCAGCAGCAACAGCAGCAGCAGCAGCAGCAAAAGGAGCGTTTGCTATCTGCACCGCAGCAAGGAGGAAGCGGAATGGGAGGTCGCGTTTGTTCTAATGCCTTATCTCACGGCTGTCTCCCTTCATCTTCAGCAGCAGTAGCAGCAGCAGCAACAGCAACAACAGCAGCAGCAGCAACTACAGCAGCAGGAACAGCAGCGGGAGCAGCAGGAGCAGCAGCAGGAAGCCGAAGAGGAGGGCGTCGATCTCGTGGCTGCTGCGTGGCGGGTGCTGCAGCAGCAAAAGAAGCAAAGGGTGACGGCCGCGCTGCTTTACAGTATTATATGAGTTTAGTAAAAGAATGTTTGAAGAAGAAAGATGCAAAAGCAGCAGTGAAGATCCTTGAGACTGTCGAAAGAGATGGTGTCGTTAAGCCGGACACACAGCTCCTCAACTATGTGCTCTTCGCCTGCGTCGGCAGCAACGAGCTGGGGCTTGCAAGTAAGGCCCCATTTACCGCTTACCTACCTAGCTAGCTAGCTAGCTGCCTAACTACCTAGCTAGCTAGCTAGCTACATAGTTACTTAGCTACCAAGCTAGGCGGAGACCCAGCTAGCTACCTGGCTAGCTACTTAGCTAGCTAGCTAGGTAGATAGAGACCCAGCTAGGCAACTAGCTAGCTCGACATCTAGAGACCTAAGAGGCTATCAAGCAAACTGGCTAACTAGCTAGCTAGGTACTTAATTAATTAAGGTCTGGAAGCTAGCGAAGTTAGGAAAGTAAAAGGCTAGGTATTTGGTTTGTTGCTGCTGCATTTGTATTTAATGCTTTTATATTTGTTTTGTGGTGTATGTACTGCAGAGGGTTTATTTGCATACATTGAAGAAGCAGGCGCAGCAGACTTAGTTACGTACAACACAATGTTAAAAGGTTTTTCTGCGAGAGGCGATTTGAAAGAAGCAGAGAAAATTCTCGAAGTAATTAAAAGAAGAAAACTGCAACCTGATGAGGTGTCTTTTAACCTCCTAGTTAATGCAGCAGTTGGTGCAGGCAATACAGAGCGCGCTTGGTTCTATGTAGAAGAAATACAAAGAGCTAAGATGACGGTAATTTATTTATTTATTTATCTATCTATCTATTTATCTATTTCTTATTTGTTCTCTTGTGCTCTGTTTGCATCTTCTTTTTATTCTGTTTAGTACAAGTGTATCCATTAAAATAAAGAAATAGCCTGTTATATATAATATATATTAATATATATTTTAGTAATACATATATATCTATATATATAAACATACATGTGCATATTAATATATATATATATATTTCTGTTTTATGCTGTCTCTGTACTATTTGTTTGCTGAGTTGTTATTTTTTTACTCGTTTGTTCTTTGTTTTTGTTTGTATCTACCTTGTGTTTTGTTTGTCGTTTACCTTGACGGCTTCATTCAATCATGTTGTGTATAATTAGTTAATTAGTTTTTTATTTAATGTATTTAATTTATTGTTATTTATTTATTTGTTTTATTTGCGTTGTACAGCCTGATAAGTTTACTGTAAGCTCGTTAGTTAAAAGTTTACAGCCAGGCCAAGACCCCAAACTTATACGCCGCACTTTGCGCTTGATGGATGGAGTAAGTGTTTTAAATAAATTAAATTATTTAATGTAAATAAATTAAAGTATTTAATTGAATGTATTTAAATTAAATTTATTAATGCATTCAAATTAACTTTAATTATCTAATTAACACCGAAGGATTATTATAATTAATTATATTTGTATTGTTTTAAAGTAATTGTTTATTGTTATTGTTAAAGATAAAGTTGTTATGATGATTGTCCCCCTTAATATTTTACCGTAGTCGTTTATTTCTTTAACAGTTTATAGTTTTAAAACTCTTTGTTATAGTTGTTTACGATAAAAATTGCATACAATACTGTTTAATCAAATATATATATATATATATATATATATGTATATGTTTATATATATCTTGCTGTCTTTGCAGGTGGATGCATGCGAAGACCTTATTCTTCTTTCAACATGCATTGATGCTGCTTTAAGATTAAATGATTTAACTCGTCTTCGGCGTCTTCTTCTAAATTTTGAGCAGTCTCCGCTTACTCCGAATGCACACGCCTACGGTACTCTTATTAAAGCCTATGGAAGGCTGGGAAATGTAAATAAGGTGCGGCTTTAGAGAGATATATTTTCAATGTTTAATAGTAATATCGTTGTTAATATTCATTTAATATTGTATTAATTTGTTCCCTGATTTTGGAGTAAGTTAAAGATGAATATATTATTTAAAATTGGCATACAGCAAAGAGAAAGAAAATCTTAGGAAGACAACTTCTTACCCTTTCTAAGACATTTAATTAGTATTACTAATCAATATTATGGATGTTGTTATCATTATTAATTAGCAAATTAATTATTATTTATTTATTTCTACTTTACTCTGCAGGTCTGGGCTCTATGGGGAGATCTCCACAGCCGCAAGAACATCGAACCGACTAACTACACCTACGGCTGTATGCTTGAAATACTCCTTGTAAGTAAACAAACAAATAAATAATTTGTTTATATATTTATTTGCTTGTTTAGTTTATTTATTCGTATAATTTGTTTTGTTTAGTTTCGTCGTTTGTTTATTTTTTTGAATTTGCTTTCATGCGTCTCTCGGTCAGCTCTTGTTGTTTTACTTTTTTAAAAAAACTTTCTATCTGTTTTGTTCCTTTATATATTTTCTTGTTTGTCTTTTCTCCTGCGTAATATTCTTTTCTCCTTTTAAAGGCTTGGCTTTTCTCCAAGCAAGAATGTTCTTCTCTGTTGCTGCTGCTGCTGCTGCAGGCGCATAGCCTGTTAGATGAAGCGGAGAGTTTATTTCGTTTTATGATGGAGCGACAGCTGGCGGACTCTGTGCATTTTTCAATATTAATTAAAGGGCTTTCAAAATTTCAGAGTAAAGGCGTTGATATTGCATTAGAAGCGTACAAGACCCTGCACCAAGCAGCAGCAGCTGCTGCAGCAGCAGGAGCAGCAACATCAGCAGCAGCAGGATCTGCTGCTGCAGCAGCAGGCTCAGCTGACAGGAAAACTAAACAGAACTTTATTAATACAATATCTTTAAATGCGTTACTTCATCTTTGCGTTGTAAACGGAAGAACAGAAGACGCATTGCTCTTATTCAATGATGTATGCACATCAAGAGCGGTCCTTCCAGACCTGGTAAGGCGCTTATAACAAAATATAAATAGAAATGGAAATAGAAATAAATTAAATATGAATGTTAAGTATAAATATAAATGTGTATATCAGAACTATATAAATACTAATTGAAGTTAAAAGGTTTAGGTATAAGTTCAGAACAAAATGAATGTACAGATGCCGGGGGAAACGACTTAGAGACAAGATAACGATAAAGGAGATTATTTTTAATTTATTATTTATAACTTTATTTTATTTTTGTTTGTTCATGTTGTTTGTTTTCTCGGAGGTCTTTCGAAGGGCTTTTGTTTTTTTTTGAATTGTTGCGATTAGAATCTCCTTATGATTTTGATATCGATGCATTTTGTTTTTTATTTATTCTTTTATTTGTTTTTTCTTTTGTTTGTTTCTTCAGATATCATTCAGTACTGTTATAAAGGGGTTATGCTGCTGCAGCGGAGAGGCACCTTTGCTTCGTGCGCTGTCTTTGTTGAAGACAATGCAGAAAGAATACAATATAAAACCAGATGCAATTGTCTTTAATACTCTAATCCAAGGAGCTGCAGCAAGGAAAAACCCAGAAATTGCTGAGCAACTCCTGGAAATGATGCAAACAGCAAACGTAGCGCCGAGCAGTTATACTCTCTGCCAGTGCGTTAAACTCTTTGGTAAGCCATTTTATATATTTTTATACTTTCTTTGTTCTCTTACTTCTGCTTCTTGTTTGTTTATTTAGTTGGTTATTTGTTTCTTCTCTTGCTTTGCCCTTTTACGTTTCGTTTATTAAGTAACAGAAAGTTACTTACGCTTTTTGTTTGTTCTTTTGTTTATTTGTTTTATTCATCCGTTTGCCTATTTCGTTTGTTTGTTTGTTCTTGTTGCTGGATTTGATGCATTTTGCTTGTTTATATTTTGTTTTTATTGATTTTCCCCTCTACGACTACTCATATAATTTGTGTATATCTTCTTTTTGTTTGTCTCTCCTTGTTTATTTTTGTTCTTTGCTGCGCTGTTTATATGCATATCTTCCTCCTTGTTGTTTGTTTTGTTTGTTTGTCTATTCTTTTATGTATTTGTATTTATTCTTTTTGTTTGTATATTTTCATACTTCTGTGTGTATTGGCGGCTTCAGGAATATTTACCTCCCTTTACTGCTCGTTGTTTGTGTTTTGTTTTTTTATGCTTGTTTATTTTTCTTTGGATTTTGTTTATATTTGTTTATTTCTGTTTATTTTTCTATTTATTTTTCTTTATTTGTATTTATTTTTGTTAATTTTTGTGTGGCGTTCAGGGCGTTGCAACAACTTACGACGGGCGCTGCAGCTGGCTGAGGAATTACCGCAGCGTTTTAATTTTCCTTTGGACAGCTATGCATACACCGCATTGGTAGCAGCTTGTCTTGCTAATGATGCTGCATTTGTTGCAGGGAAGCTCAGTTTAAAAGCAGCAGCAGAAGGCATTACCTTCCCCCAAGGAGTGCTCTTCCGCATTTTCGCTGCACTCAGTGCAGACCCTATACTTGCACAGCAGCAGCAGCAGCAGCAGCAGCAGCAAATGCAGCAGCATGAGGAATTCCACGCAGTCTACAAAGGCGTTTGGGATCTGCTGCGCCCTCAGAGTGGCGATGCTTCTGCTTCTGCATGCAGCAGAAAGAGAAAGAAGAAGGGAGGGAAGGGTTTTGCTGCGCTGGTAGGCATCAACAAACAAACCTTTAAACAGCAGCAACAGCAGCAACAGCAGCAACAGCAGCAGCAGCAGCAACAGCAGCAGCAGCAAATCAACGGCGGCAACGCGCTTCTTCCAGACTCGCAACAGCTCCTCAATCACCGATTTGCAGCTCCCCCAGGAGCAGCTACAGCAGCAGCAGCAGCAACAGTAAAGGCTGCAGCGGCTCAAAGCATGCAGCTGAAACAGCTGGCCCACGAATCCCTGCAGCAGCAGCAGCAGCAGCAAACGCTGCTGCAAACCTGCAGCCTGGGGAAGGGAGCCGCAGCTCAGGGCGGCTGTCGAGTGCGTGGCAATAGTCCTCACATGCATGCAGCAGCAGTAGCAGCAGCAGCAGGATCGTTGCATGCAAACAGCAGCAACGTGGGGCTGCCTTTGCTGTACGGGTGTGTCGGAGAGACACCGAGTGCAGCGGCACAAGGAGCAGCAGCAGCAACAGACGAAGACAATTTGTTGCTGTACTGCGGCAGGCCATAGTCAATATATGTATGTATAAATATATATAATGATATTATGTACATTTGATGTATATATTTGATGTATATAATGCATGTATGCATATATATTGTATATATGTATGTATGATATGTATATGTGTATGTATATATGGATATATTATATATATATGCATGCATATATATGTATAGTGTTTTCTTAACATGCAAACACTGAACAGAAAGCGGAGAGGCTAAATGAAAATGTCTCCGTTGCATCAGCGACTGCTTGTGGGTGTATTGCCTCAAGTGCATATGTTTCTGTCTAAAGAGAGAGAGAAGAAAAACATCCCAATAAAGAGCAAGCTGATGTGCTGCTGCTGCTGCTGCTGCTGGTTGTTATGGTTGTTGGTGTTCGTTGCAACGCGCAAGCAGCAGCAGCAGCAGCAGCAAGGACTGCTAATCAGGCTCTTTGGAAGAGCAGTTGATGTCTATTATATTGCTTTATTATTAATGTATTTGGTGTTATTTATTAAACAAACCCCTCCGCACAAACGTGTGCAGAGGAGATGGGGTTTTCTTCTGCTTATTAGGTAACAAGCTGTATACAAACGAAGACGCTGCAGAAGCAGCACGAAAAGGTGTTGTTGTTTTTGTTTATTTGTTTGTTTGCTTGGCCAAGCCCCATTTATCAACTTGTGCTGGAGCTGCTGCCAAGTGCATGCATGCATGAACCAACGCATGCATGCATGCATGCATGCATGCATGCAGTCCTTCTTGTGAAGGCGTTTAAATATCTACAGATGTTCAATGCAAACAAATTGCTGCATTTTAAGCAACTGCTTTTCGTATACGCCCCAGGCACCACGGGCCTGCAATAAGGAAACTCATTCACATGATGCGGATACACCCTCGGGTTTAGGGTTTAGGGTTTAGGTTTACATTTTATTTCATGCTGATGAAGGCACTACCTACAGATATTAGCCCCCAATATTTAGGAGTTAGGGTTTAGGGTTTAGGGTGTAGCAGCGTGTATCTGCAAGAGATCGTTGATATAACTGCATCGACGAATTGTATCCGCAAGCTGCCTGTTGGCTATCTGTACGCTGCAATGGGTGTTAAATAAATAAAGAACAAATGCACAGATGTATGTGCCAGTGAGGTATAACGAGCAGCAAATATAGACGCAAGAAAGAAGAGCTGAGGACTTTGTTAGGCGTTGATGGCTTCTGCTGCCCCGTTTGAAAGCAGAAGGCGCAAGCAACGAGGCAAAAGAAGAAAAGAGGGGATCAGAAGGGATAATAAAGAAGTAAAAAGAAAAAACCAGCAGAAAACTAACCTCGCTGCTGTCGACAATCGGAGTTTTTCAAACAGAAGAGAAGAGAAAAGAATGACACTAAAAGAACAAAAAGGAATACAATACAGAAAAAGAGCCAAAGAATATATTAGAACAACCATATGTATAGAATATGATTATACAAATATATATATATATATATATATATATATATATATTCCTTGTCGAAAGACAAGGCACTCCGATATACCAAAACCGTTCTATGCCAGCACTCACTCAAAAAGCGTAAAGTGAAAGAAAGAAAAGAAGAATATGCCTCTGTATCCTGCATGAACCTCAGCAGTGTGCACAGCACAAACCCTAAACCCAAAACCCGTTCAGGGTTTGGCTGAGGGTTTATGGTTAAGGCTCTATAGAGCCCCGCTGGCAAATCAAACAAAAAGCAGATGAATATAATCCGCCTGCGAATGCGCTGCACTGTGATTTAAAAAGCAGTTTCTGCAGATTCTATTAACAGCCGCATACTGAGTGTATATACATCCCGAGATGTACATACATACCCCTAAATAAATAAATAAATATATATATATATATATTTATATATTTATTTATCCCCATGCAGCATTTGTTCGATAGTAGATATTATATTTCTTAGATTGTTAGTGGTTGATGAATATATTTATTCGTCGTCAGGCACAATGAATTCTTCTTCTTCTTTTTGTTCGTAAATCTCCTCTGTCTGCGTTGCTTCTTCATATGTTGCAACTTCGATTTTCCCCGCAACATCTAAAATTCTTCTACGTATCTCTGCCATAAGATTGATGAACGACTTTACGTTTGGACCTCCAAAGAGCTGCTTCAAGCCCCTAGTAATGTGCGGGTGGGGTTTTTCATAGAAAGCAGGAGCTCCTGAGTCATCGAATAGACCTATGAATCTCCTTTGCGATCTATGCGATCTGTTTGCGAATACTTTTTTACATCTTTCAGCGAAGGTTGCTCCATATTCTGCACTAATTGCCTTTTTCACTACCACATATAACATCGGCTCGCCTTCACAAGGATCTTTAGGGCCTAAGTCTATACTTGGTAGCTCTTTAACTGGTGTTTCTTCTTTCTTTGGCTGGAACCACTCCATAACTGCAGCTAAACGACGACCATCAGACCCTTCGCTAGAAAAACGCAATTCTTCAAAATTCATATCATCATCTTCCGCTTCATCTTCAGCAGAGGCACCTGCTCCTCTTCCTGCTGCTCCTGCTGCTGCTTCTTCTGCTGCTTCACCTTCTTTTGCTGCTGCTCCTGCTTCCCCTGTTGCAGCGGATGTTGACGTTCTTCCTGCTTCGTCGTCAAATACCATAGGCACCGTTTCCTCGTCTGTTTGCTCTTCAAAGCCGAGACCCGCGTCGGGTGTATCTGCAGGTGTTGGTGCAGTGGGTCTTGAGGGAATGCTGCTCCCATCAGCATCTTCTTTGCTTTTTTCGTTCGTTGTTTGTAGTTGTTGTTTATCGCCGCTGTCGTTCTCCGTTGTCTGCTGTTCTATCTCTGCTGGTGTTTGCGTCTCTCCTGCTTCTTTCAGGCGTATCGCCTTCTCTGCCGCTTCCTTCAAGTTGTTCAGCTCACGTAGTCTCTCTTCAATTTGTTCTTTGTCTGTTTGAAGTTTTTCTTGCCTTTCTGGAGGCAGTTTCTCGATTGACGTGAGTCTTTCTTCAAACATTCCGATTTGTTCATTCGTCCAGTCGAGCTGTTTGTACGGATCAGCTTCTCTCGCCTTAGCATCTTCCTGCCTAACACCTTCAACATCAATAGAAAACTCTTCTGCTAGGTCCTTCACATCTGCTCCTCGAATAATCATTCGCTTTATCCAGGCCTCGTCGAGGTCGTTCAACTCCTTCCGCAACGCTTCATCTGCTGCATCTACTTCCTGCTGCAGCGTCTCTAGAGCTTCCTTCGCATCCTCCAAGGATTTCTGAATTTCAGGGTCTTCTAGGGCTTCGGGGGGCATTGTGCTGCGGCTGTCTACCAAGAGGGAGGCTTCTCTTACCCTGTCGAGTAGGTCTAAGAAACGGCGCTGGAGGTCCGTCTCAGTATAGTGAAAGAGTTCGTCTTCTATTTCTAGCAGCTGCTCCTCAATATCCATCTTCTGTATGTCAATGTTGGCTACGGCATCGTTCAAATCTTTTGTTCTGCGGTGTACTTTAGGTATATCTACGATTGACTCTCTGTACGCCGCAATATTTTGGAGTGTCTGCTCTAGATCGTGTTTCTGCAAACGTTTCTCCCATAACTCTGAAGGTCTCTTGTCTGCCGACCACTGTTTGCTCCCCAAGATTCCCTCCAGTTTGTCTACCTCTGCTCGCAGCTTTGTCTGCTGTCGTTGCAGCATGCCTATCTCTTCCTTCATCTTCTCCTTCTCCGCAGAAGGCAACTCGTCGATGCTCTTCATTACCCTCTCGTGCTCTTGGAGCTGTCGCTTCTTCCTATCCAAACGCGCCTCTATGCTCTGGTCTAGAGGTTTGATTGCAGGCTCTTCTTGTGCTCCTGGGTTGTTCCCCGTTGAGATATGCTCTTTCTGCTCTCCTCCACTTCCCCCTTCCCCGCCTTCTGCTTTCTTCTGCTCCTCCTCTATGACTTGTTCAAATTCGGCAATATCGCGTTTCAAGATGCGAGACTTGACGCCGAGCTCTTTGATCTGCTCTGCGTCTGCTGGTGTTGGGTGGTTTCCCTGATCGACATATTTCTTCGACACTTCTCTGCGTTTCTTCAGTACATCGACGAGTTTCTTCTCCAGTTTCAACAGCGCCTCTGCGTGTCTGGAGTCTTGCGGCGGCAGCTTCTTCCGCTGCTCTTTTAGCGCCTCATATCGACCCCACATGTACGTGTGCTGCGAAACCATGACGTACATGAGTTCGATGATGCGTTCCGTCTGCTCGTACATGCCTTCAGTAAGTTCGGATTCGCGGAGGTTCTCCCCTTGAGCCTCAAGAGCCGCTGCTTTCTGTGCACTCATCGTTTCATACATCGCTTTCTTGGATTTTAAGTGCTGGTATTCTCCGTATATGTCAACCAATTCCTTCTCGTACAGCCGCAGACGCTCCCCCAGGACGGGTGTACGGGTTTGGAAAGCAATTTCACTTGCGACGCGTTCTCGGTTTTCTTCTTCAAATGCCTCGTGATCTATGTTTAATTCTTTTAGTTTCAGGTCCGCATCCTCCCAGAAATCGATAAACTTCACTGCGCGAGCCGCTTTATTTGTTTGCTTGTGCAGCTTCTTCCCGGTGGGCTTGCCTGTGCTGCTGCTGATGAAGTCAACGATGAGGAAATCTTTGGTGAATTTCAAGCTGGCGAAGCCCGTGGTATTTAATATCCTTTCTTTTACTGTAATCTTCCAGTTGGGGCCCTGTGGAGCGTAGAACTTGTACGCCAGTGCCTGGTCCTTTTCAGAAGGTTTGCAGCCTCCCGGGTCGAGCTTATAAAAGATGCGTCTGCCAGACCAGCAGAGCAAAGGAAACAGTCTTCCTCTGATCTTCCCCAGCCAGCCTCTTCCCATAATTCCACTCATGATGCGCGTGCCGCCGCCGCTGGTGATGAAGGCGAGAGTGCTGTTCTTGTCCAAGTCAGCCATCGTTATATATTCCATTACATCATCGTGACCTGAAACGTACGCGTCTACCTGGTAGGAAGTCAGCAGATCTACTAAACGATGTTCGGGGCCTCGCGGTCTGCTCGCCTTCACCATATCGTCGATGTACGTAAGCCGCGCCTCCTCCGCCTCAGCCCCTGTAGACGTCAGTGGGTGGTGGCCCTGCACTATGATCCAATCTGCCTTCGCTTTCGCCGAGTGATATAACGCGTTGCTCAGCGCTATCATGTTATTCTGATACTGCCCCAAGTTATCGTCTAGACACATACACACACACATGTATATATTCACCCATGAAACACACGCCCACACACCCACACCCACACACCCAAACAGATCCATATATAAACAATATATGTAATAGGCATGTTATATATATATATATATTATATGCATGCACGCAAGCCGCTAGCAGCAGTATCCTTGTAGACCCGTAGAGGGTGTGCCAAGCGCACAAACGCTCCCTGGAGAGTATCATGCTGCATAAACCACAACTTAGTTTTTAAGAAAGCACCAAGTAAGTGGCAGGATGATTCTTGTGCTGTTTCATACATGCAGCAACAAAGCCTGTAGGGGAGACAACTCACAGAACGGAGTCCCCCCGAAGAGCGCCCAGGTGTCGATTGAAATAAGATGTACTGTAAACTCCTGATCTTCTGTGCCTCCACTTGCGGTGGTGAGATTCGCCACCATTGTAAAAACAGATTTATGCATCCAGTTGGGGTTGTGATAGTTTAAGTCTTGCCGCGTGTAGTGGTAGCGATAAGGCGTCGAGCGGCTCACCATAGTCTCCGCCTCTCCGTTCACCATATACCAAGGAACGTTCAGCCCCGCATCCTGCATGCAATCATGCATGCATGCATGTATGTATGCATGCGCAAAGACAAGAAAACAGCCGCTCGATATACACCGCAACTCAACGACACACAGACAAACGCTGCAACAAGGTGAAGATAAATAACGGCAGTTCGTCAATGACGAGGAAACACGTTCTATGGGTCCCTCTGCGTCTCATTCTTGATTCAATTTGTGTGCCTTCAGGAATATGCTGTCCGCGTCTCTCTCTCTCTGTGTGTGTGTGTGCGTGTATGTGTGTGTGTGCGTGTGTGTGTGTATGCATGTGTGTGCGTGTGTTCGTTTGTGTTTCTTATTATTGCTTTCTTCAGCTTCTTACCTCCACGAATATGTCTCGCCACTTCTCCTTGAGGCCGGGTTCCCTAACGGAGAGCATGCCTGGGGGTTTCAGAAAGTCTCCAAGCCCGAGAGCAATATCCACACCTTCGCGTTCATGCCAACTCTTCATGGCTTGTACAGTTTCTTCCAATTCGTTGAGTTTAAGTGCGCCTTTCAGGCGGTTCCAGAAGCCTCGTGTCTTATCGTATTTAGCTTGGCCTGTGTTTCCAATGGCAACGACTTTCAGGGAGTTGGCGGTGGTTTTCTTGATGAGAAGTTCGGTGAAAGATTCACTCGAATGGTCTTTTTTCTTCTCCTCATTCGGGTCCTTCTGCTTGTCTTCTTTATCGATTGGGTGTTCTGCTCGCTGCGTCCACACGCTATCCACGTAGCACCCCATGGTGGGGCACTTTGGGTATTTCTCCTTCGTTGTCTTCTTGCTTGTCAGAGTCTTCAACAAATCTGGAAGACCGCTTCCTAGGGGAATAGAAGGAGGTGTGAGTTCGTTTGCTTTAAACGCCTCCCAGTTCGAAATATACTCCGATAGAATATCAGCTTGCAGGAGCATTTCGTCCATTACACCTGTGGAAAATACAAGATCAAGGAAATTCGTCTTCACAAAGATATCGTTAAGCGTAGTTACTCCTCGCTGCCTCAGTTCTTCGATGAGATGAGCGACGGTTTTTGTTGGAGTTTCTCTTTCAATACCCCTAGCTACTCTGATAATATTAAAAGGTACACTCTTCATAAAGCCAATATCACGATCTGTCAGCTTCTCAGGGATACTGTAATCGCCTCTCTTATGAAACGTGCTCCCATCAAAAAACCACTCAGCGTCTCGGCTCTGCTGCCCGAGCATCCATACATATTCAGGCACTGTTAGATCGAGAGGTTTCTCTCTATCAGGGTCGTTCTCGTAGTCTTGCTGTTCTGCTTGTTGCCTCCTGAGTGCCATTTGAATAGCTCTGGCATGCGACCGAAGCAGAGCGGTCTCTATAGCATACCACTGAAGAGGAAAGCGATTACTTTCAAAGCCGCCCATGCGAAAGAAAGCCACCATGATGTCTTCCATGCTGGTATCAATTAAAGCAGAACGAGCAGCCGTGTGCTTCCCAGCTACCATCACTGCGCTATACAGAAACTGCAATCCATAGTCACACCCAGGAGCCATCGCACGCAGCGAACGCGCGCGCTCAGCCAGCAGCGTCTCAGGCGTCTTCACGAAAAAAAACTTTCGCAGAGTCCATCCAATCAACAGACGACGAGGAGTGAGGCCGGGGCCCCTGGGGCCCCCAAGACCCCGCCCTACGGTCGAGCCATCATGGACACCGAGGAGGGGAGAGCGTACTGCAGCGCTGAGAGGGGGCCAAGAGATGAGGAGAAAGAGATGAATTAACAAAGACGAAAGAGATATTAGACGCAGGCTGAGAGGGAACTGTGAATTAAGCCCCCCTCTCCACAAAGAAGAACGCCCAGTTAGATTCATGAGGCTGCGGTGTATAGTAGGGTAGTGAGTGGCCCGAGGCGGCGGATAAAGCGGATTCCAATTCAAATTAACATTGAACTAAACCCCATAAGCTTCGGAAAACATTTAAAAAAGAAACAAAAACAAACAAAGAAGACAAAAATACAACAATACCCAACACGTCGCCTGCCTGCCCTCGGCGGAGAGCGGCGAGACCGGAGCGCGGTAGATGCTGTTGCTTTCCACTTTCTTCGCAGTTTTTGTTTCTTTTTCTCTGTTTAATGGATTAATTAAGCCATTACCCACATTAAAATACAGAAAAAGCAGGGAAGATAGGGAAGAAAATAAACTGTCTTAGGAGCTGCAACTCGCGAGCAGCTCAAGCCGCAGCGGACCGCTAGAGATCGACTGTTGTAGCTAGCTTCTGAATGACAGGAAGAAAAATAACGCAGTAAAGGAATTAAAAACACAAGTACTGCCTAGCATCAGCTGACAATACACCTGAATTTCATTCACTTCCATACACCTGCTGCTGCTGTGCAGATCGACGCTCCTGCAGCAGAGGAGCGGAGCTGAGAACAAACGACAGCAGTAGCTGCTGGTGTGTGTTGCGGTTGCCCTTAAGTCAGGCTATTATTACTTTTCCCCTCACTTTTCCTTTCTTTTATTGATAAAAAAATAAATATGTAATAAAAACGCGCAGGTAGCTCTAGCTTTCATTCTGTCGCGCCCAATGGTGTTTATCTGCCTCCGCTGTAGAAGACTCGCTGCATGCTCACATAGGAAGCTGCGGGCTGCCCTTGTTGCTAGTATATACCCTAAACTTTTCGTTGTTTTAACCCTTTATTTTATATATTTTCTCGTCTATTTATTTTCTTCTTTATTTCATTCGTATTCCACTGCCAATGATAGTCTGACAACCCGCTATACGGAGAAAATTGCAGCACAACAACGCAAGCACATTCTTCATCTTTTCTTGAGTTCGTATTGGTGTGTTGACTGCGTTCTGCATCTCTTTCATCCCTTAATTTCCTTTTAATGGTTTTTGTCTCCTCTCCTCTTTATTTCTGTCGCTTTCTTTTCCGTACACTCCTTGCCTCACTTTAATTTACCATATGTTAAGATGTTTATCTTCAAACAGGCCAGCGCACATCTTAAATTTTCTATATTCTTGTACGGCGTATTATACACACGCGCTAATCACATTACACGAATAAGACGATATGCATATTTATTTATTATTCACAACAGGAAAGTCAACGGAGGCAGCGCAATACAAAAAAAAAGAAACGCCCGGCACTTCATTCAAAATACACCAAAATACACCGAATCATCGACACGCCCACTCTCCAGCAGCAGCAGTGGCAGCAGCAGTGGCAGCAGCAGTAGCAGCAGTAGCGGCAGTAACAGTAGCAGGAGCGGCAGCAGGAGCAAGGAAATATTTGTTGTGTGTTTTCAAGGGGTTTCTATGCAGCATTTTTTTCGTTTTTCTTCCGGACTTGTCTTCCTCTAAACGCACGCCGCTAACTCAAATCCAGAAGTATTAATATTTTCTTTAAATATATTTATCTAAGTCCGGAGGGTTTAGTATCTTCGGGCTTTGAAAAAAATGCTGCGTGCGCCAACCCCAAGGTCAGGCGTGAACCCTCAACGACGAGTTTTGCAACGGGAGAGGAAAGGGCTCGGCAGATTAATCTGCTGTTGTTGTTGGTGCTACTGCTGTTGCTGCTGCGGCTGCTGCTTCTGTACCCGCTACAGCAACCGCAGCTGCATGAACCTCTCGGCATTTCTAGTGGTGCAGTTGCTTCTGCTCCTGTTGCTGCTGCTGTTGCTGCTGTTGCTGCTGCTGTTGCTGCTGTTGCTGCTGCTGCTGTTGCTGCTGCTGCTGCTGCAGCTGCTGTATCCGGAGGTGTTCTAGCGCCTCGAGTCTGTTTCGAATAATGTTCTTCTGCTCTTCTGCATCTGCGCGTCTCCATTTATTGCGGCTAATGCCCAAGACCCTTGCAACGCCTAGAGATTTGAGGTGTACAGACAGCAGCAGACTGCCGCCACACAACTCCATCGTATTTCTTGCACATTCCTGCGTCACTATCAACGCTGTACGGACACAGCAGATGCAAGCAGCTCACAGGTCGCGAGATAATAACCAAAAACAAATGGTAGACAAAACCAAAATCTTCTCTTCTTCGAGAGCGGATAGACGGGAACGAGGAAAACAAACAACGTGCAGGAAACAAACTGGGACAAGGAGTGAAATATATATACATTATATATATATATGCATACACATGCATATACTGAATATAGAACATGTATGTATAGGTTGCGTATTTACGAAGCAACTGACTGTGGGTACATTGTGTTTATATATATATATATATATATATATATATATATATATATTATATGCGTATACGCATGCAGAGATATATATACATATATACAAATATATATATATATATACATATTCTGCAAACCACCGGACAAGGGAAAAGCCTTAGGAATACAAACAGCCGCAGCGGGCCCAGTGACAGCTGCAACTGCAGCATCACCAGTGTTAGCAGCAGCAGCACAAGCAGCAACAGCAGCACAAAAACAAGTATATGTGCAGCAGCAGCACAAGCAGCAACAGCAGCAGCAGCAATACCTGATAGCGATCCATCCGCTGCAGGAATGAGAATATCGATTGGAAGCGGACTGTTGTTGATATTCACAGCTCTCTTGTGCAAAACACCCAAAGACGTCAGGAGAGCAGAGACCGACATTACCTCCTCTCGAAACTCCACGGAAAATCCCCCGCGGGATATACACCAGGCACGCAAACCTATACAGCAGCAGCAGCAGCAGCAAACTTGCATGCACCGGAGTCCACAATGGCACCTGCAGCACGTTGGAAGAGCAGCAGCAGCAGTATGTGTACGTTGTTTTTTTCGTGCGTACACTGGAGAAGCAGCGGACGACCAGCGGGAGCTCCTAATTGCTGACTAGCCCGTATTTTGTAATTTAATGTATAGTGTATGCGCACCTTCGTGTATACACCGCAGAGGCATCTGATAATCAAGAGGAGGGAATAAAAGATGCTGGCACATAAACAACAAGAACACCTCAGGCCGTCGTCGCTCCCAGGATGTACCCTGACCGACCTTGCGAATTAAAAACCGTAGTAAATATGAATGCTTCGCTGAAAACACGCAAGTGAATGCATAAATAAATACAGAAATATAAGCATAGTCACCAAGTTATCTGTGTAAGTAATTAGTTACTAATGCGGGAAGAGGGAGAGGGAGAGAGAGAGAGAGAGAGAGAGAGAGAGAGAGAGAGAGAGAGAGAGACAGACACAGAGACAGATACAGATACAGAGACAGAGACAGAGACAGAGAGCGAGAGAGACAGAGAGGGAGAAAGACAGAAAGACAGACAAAACAGACAGAAACATAATGATAAGTGAAGCCAACAACACAAATTAGCCAGAGAAAACAAATGAAGTGAGCGGCGTCGCGCTGCATCAAACGGGAGCAGCTGTTCGTCGCAGAGTACAGACACCGCAAAGAAGCACACCAACAAATGAAAAAGACAGCTAATGAAGGCGAAGCACGCAAAAGCAACAACAGCAGCAAACCAAGCAACAACGCAGCACCAATTTGCTGCTGGCTTTCTAGTGTCTCCACGCCCTTCTCTGCCGTTTCCACTGGTTTGTTTATCTGTAGGTGTTTGTGATTGCGTATTTATTGCATTTGTCTGGTGTCTGTTATCTGCGTTTGTTTACCGCAAATGTGTTTGCATGCACATGTCAGCATCCACTTAGTAAGAAACAACGCTGAGGCAATAAATGCATTCCTCTGGCTCCTTCTAATGTTGCTGCTTGGTGCTGCTATGTACACACGGAGTCTCTGCAGGCCCGTTTGTGCTTGGCTTTGCCGAGGAGTCAAATCCTACATAACTACATTCACACCTAAATAACTTTAATTAAACTTAGTACTGTTTTACCTTTAACACATTTCCAATACCCTTTAATAAAATCAATTGAACTTAGTGCTATTTCACTTTTAAAGCAATTCTAACACACTTCAATAGCATTTATTAACGTAGTGCTGTTTCGACTTTGCAACAATTGTAATTTGGTGTCTTCTGAATCCCGCATAAAAACAACTTTCTGCAGGCATACGACCATATAATTACAATCAAATATAATGTTTAATACAAGCATATGCATACATATATACATATATGAAGTTATTATGTTTGTAATATAAACAAAAGTACTTAGTGTGTATTATATTATATATGCCATGTACATAAACATATACAAACATATACATATATGGCTAGCCTACCAGGTGCACCTGGTGATGAGCTGATTGCGAGCAGGGCGTCGATAGACGCCTGAGGCGAAATGCAGTCGATGTAATCCTCCAGGTATTTAACAGCAGCAGAGAGAAGGGCAGCCCTGTTGTCTTTGGTGTTGCTGCTGTCTTGCATCACATGCATTGCACGTGGTGCATGCACGCTTGAGGTGTCTGTTGCGAAGAAACAAATGCTGAAGAGCAACCCGCAAATGTCATCGGGTGTAATGACAGCCCGCTGCTTCACCGTTGCTGCGAGCGAGAGGTGTGCTGCTGCTCGCGCAGCAGCAGCAGCAGCAGCACCAGGAAAATGCAGCAAGCACTGCCTAAAGGCTGCGAAGCAAGTGCACATATCTTTCAAGGAAAAACGAGAGGGCCGCCGCAGTAACTCCCCCGCAGCTGCATGCATGCAGGCATGTACCTCGGCAGCAAGTGGAGCCCCAGCAGCAGCAAATTCTGCTACAGCTGCGACTTCTCCTGCTGCAGCAACTGGCATGTTTGCTGCTGCCTGCAGACACAAAGCCTTAAACACCTCGTCGTTCTTCCGCGCCACACGAGAAAAAACAAATAAAGCGCTGCACAACAGCTTAAAGGGAAAAAACGAAAAAGAGAATCCCCCAGCGGCACCGCATGCAAACCCGGGAGACTTTAAATTTGCAGCAGCCACACCTCCTTCCCCATCTGTTACTGCTGCTGCTGCTGCTGGCCCCGCTGCTGCTGTTGCTGCGGTTGTTAGGGTGTTGCTGTTCGTCGATGTCTGGCTGTCTGGTGCGTTAAAACGCAAAATGCGTCTTGCTGCTAAGAGCAAATATCTCTCAACTCCTTCAAAGAGAGGAGTCTCCTTATACCCAAAGCCTACGTAAGCTTCTGCAACCGACAAGGCCAGCTCCAGCTGCTGCAGCAGCAGTCGATGCTGGAACTCCAGCTGCTGCAGCTCATGCTGCTGCTGCAGTTCGTGCCGCTGCTGCTGCTCATACTGCTGCTGCTGCTCATGCTGCTGCTGCAGCTCACGCTGCTGCTGCAGCTCATGCTGCTGCTGCTGCTCATGCTGCTGCTGCTGCTCATGCTGCTCCTGCTGCTGCTGGAGGGCGTGTGGAGGCAGCGATGGTATAGGTATTGTTTTTAAGGCAGGCAGCAGCGCGGACAAAAGCGGATAATGCGGATGGTTGAGGGCCCGTAGAGACAAAACGACATCAGCAGCAGCAGCAAACGTCAGTACACTCCGATGATGGCGAAGGTCTTGTATCAAGAGCAGATACCTGGAGAAGAACAAAGAATAAGAAGAAATGAAGTAAAGAGGAAAGATGTGTAAAGGAGGGATGACTAACTCTGGGCTTGTGCATGCAGACAACGCCCAAACAAACGAAGAAAAGGCAGCAAGATGCAGAGAGGCACAAGGCAAGTAGAAGAGAAGGGAAAATGAGCAGCAACAGCAACAGCAAGAGCGGCAGCAGAAACAGCAAGAGCAGCAGCAGTACAAGCGACACCGTGCCGGGGGAAGGTTGTTGCAAGAGTGGTGAGCAATGGAAGACATAGAGGCGAGAACAGATAAAACAGCAGTAGCGGCAACAGAAGCAGCAGCAACATCAGCAACAACAGCAGCAGCAACAATAGCAGCAGCAACAACAAAAACAACCTGCCTGGGGTCTCGAACGATGGACTCCGCTTCGATCCGTTGGGACAAACTCCTTTCTACAGCCGCTTCATCTCCTGATAATGTAGAGAAGAAATGAAATACAGATAACGGCTCTTGCGGCCAGGTAGGAGGAGAAGGAAGCTGGAATGAGAGCTGCGAAAAAGGAGAAGCAGGAGGAGCAGCAGCTGGTTCTGTGCTGCTGCTGTGCCCCTGCTGTTTATCCGAGCTACATGCGCTCGTGCTGCTGTTGGGCTGTAGGGCCAGCGCCGCAAGATGTTTGAGCGCAGAAACGAGATTTTTGACAAAGAAAGCCCCTCTATGACTTGCAACAATTCTTAGCACTTCCTCTGCTGAAGCACACGATAGAATGAGGCGATCTAACTGCAGGCACAGATCGCTGCAGTATACTTCGTCCCAACGCTGTTCAAGCGACAGCGGAAACCTCAACGCAATTTCATCCCTCTTGTTTTTCTGTACACTGTGCTGCTGCTGGTGCTGTTGCTCCTCTGCTGAAGCCCCTATGGCCTCTTCTGGCGCTGCTGCAGATCCCGAGGTCGTCGCAGCTTGAAAATGAAATGAGCACCCCGCCGGAGCACCAGCTACCCCGCAGGTTGTCCTGTTGCAGTCAGTGTACAGACAGTGTAGAAGAGGAAATGTGCTGAGAGGAGAGGCTGCACCAGTGAAGGGGGCCCCCCTTAGGGCAGGCCAGTGCGCTGCCCTCCTGAACATATACAATAAACTCATTGCATAGTCTAAATACAACTATTGCAGTCTGCGGACTGCTAAAAACTTTCAAGAACCCCCCATTACGCACACGTACAAAGAGAGAACCAAACGACGAGGCCCCAACAGACGCCGCTTCGGCGGCCTCCTGTGCGAGCCCGGGACGAAGGAAGAACGAAAAGCAGAATTAGAACAATTCTGTTAAAATTAAGTGAAAAGTTACTGGAGGGATGGGAACTGCAGAATATTCAGCCGAAAACGAAGAAGGCAACCATGACCGCCAACAAGCAATGGAACACTCGATCATCGAGGTGAAACCTGGGGAAGGCGAACGAAATTATGAATTGTTGTTTGTTATTATTTTTCGAAACAAAGTATTATCTGTTGCTTGGTTTTACTTTTGAGTTTCTGTCTCTATCTGTTCTTTGCTAGGTGCTTGCTCGACTCTCTCTGCGCCGTTTTCCTTGTCGTTCTCACCGCGAGCCATTGTTCCTAAGACATTAGTCTTCTGCCCTATATTTGCTATGTACATTACTATTGTACTTATTTTTCTGTATTATTTTCAATATTTTAATTTTCTCTGTTTGATTTCTTCCTCGTTCTCCTTTTTCGCCCTGCCGTGCTCCCACTGCACACTGCATGCCACAGTTTCACATTTCAGGGCTTTCTTGCGAGTTTCTTCAGGTTTTGTTGCAAACAGTCTATGCCATTATGACGGTGTTTTTGTTTTCCTTCACTGTCCTCAACGAGTAGCGTTAGTAATTTGAGCTTTACCGTACTCTTTTTGTGACAATTTGTCCCTTATTGTCTAATTCATTGGCGTGGTGTTCCGTTATTCATTGGGGTTTTCGTTGTTTTCCTTCTTATTGGTGACATCGTTGCTGTTTTTGTAGTCCAGCATTTTAACATTATTACGCGTATCCTCCTTCTAATTCTTCCTGTTCTTGATACTGCATTGCGCATTCCCCCGTTTTTTCTCACTTCCTGCATTCTTCTTCGTCTGTGTTCTCTCTCACATCCTTTTTCTTGCTTCCTCTTCCTTATTTTCCTTGTTTTGTATTCGAGACTGGTTGCTGTTCTGGGTTTTTCCGCACTGTTCATGTTGGCGTTCCTGCAGTATTCGTTGTCTTGGTGGACTTTGATTTGTTAGTGCAAGGGTACAATGTCCCCACGCCACAGGAAGCACCTCGAAAGCAGAAAATATGTCGTCTTCGTGATATTCTCGCGCTTGTTGCGAGTTCCTTGACTACAACTTTTAGCAGAAAAAAGACAAGCTCTCAGTTGGTCTAGAGCAGAAAATGGTTTCAAGCCACACGCCCACTATATTGTGAATGGCCACAAAAATATGTACGCATCACGTTGGAGCAACTCTTCAAGCAACGCAACACCATATACAATCGTACAGAAGTACCCTTTTGGTGCATGCACTAACATTGCTAGCAATAGTTAAGTTCTGGTTTGATCTTAACTATCCAGACTGCGCATGAGCAGAAATATATGCTTCGACTATAGGCTGTGCATGCCCCAAGCCTAAGCCTGCTCTCTGCACCCGCCTCAGGTTTTATGATGGTGTTTGCAGGAAGGCTTGGATACTGCGAGGGGAAGTTGATCCTCTTTTAAGATCGACGACTCTCCTTACAACGAGGATCCTCGATCATATCAGGAGATTGTCATAACCTACGGTAAAGTTCATGCACTTGAGAGTTTCCACAAAGACATCTGACTACCCGTTCTGTCCCCAGACGTCCTAAGCACGGCGAGCCAAAGGCCTGTAGCTGGGGGAGAGCAGATCTGATCAGAGCTACAACTAAGCCCGCTGCAACCTGTGCCACAAGGCAATGCCGGATGCAAGCACATTCATGTCACCTTCGCTGCATGCACAAACCCCTTAGATAATTGTCGACAACTTAGTTCGTCCTTAGTAGGCTTCCTGAACACCAGTAAGGATCCATGTACCAACTTCACACAAGCCTTGCTACACTCGTTACTACGTGCTACAGTCTAGGGCTGCCGGTAGACGGGGGCTTCATCCACCACCAAAATAGTAATTCAGTAGCTTTCATGGTTGTTAATTGCGCATGCATGAGCAAAAAGGGATAATATGTACAACACCAACCGCTCCACCCGTAGGGGCCGCAGAGGCAGCTCCATAGACGTGCATGTGCAGTCTTTCCGTCAGTACGTCAGGCCCAGAACTCAGGGGGAACTCTACAGGTAAGCAAAGAAATGCAATTAGAAACATAAACTTCTATGACTACCTGGCAATACGATACAGGCACTGCTCCCCCCTAATACGAGCAAGGCACTAGCAGTAGTGCTTGTTTGGGGCTGGATGAGCCAATGGCGGAGCAACGCGCCAGATTGGAATAGGAATATTGATTAATGCCGAAAACTAATTACTTTCTAAAGTAGTGAAATCCAACATTTGATATGTTTTCAAGAGGTATTGAGCTTTAATCTGAACTTTGCACCAATAACAATACCCGGGCATTTGCAGGTCTGTAGGCATTATTAGCTCGGTACGGCAGCGGTGTTGGCGTGAGGGAGGGAGCCCCGTGGGCCCTTGGGGGTTGAAGTGACGTTGCATTTTCCTCTTCCTGTAAAAATAATATATTGTTGTGTTTTTGGCTGACATTTTCGCCTCCATCTGCCCTGGAAATGGTGCGTACCCTCCGGACACTCCCCGAGAACCCGATTACATTTCAGTTGCCAGGGTTTGCCAACTGTACATGCGCAGGATGCAAATGTAGCCGATGTCCTCTTTACTTCTCTCTTCACATAAATTTGCTCCACAGACAATGGATAACACGATATAGATCCGTTGAAGGCTGCATGCACACGCAGCCAGGGGAATGTGTCTGAGGGGGGCGGCACTCGATGCCGTCTCTCCTCTAAAATAATGCAAGAGAAATACTTAGGCCATATGCTTGCATGAATATGGATGATGCGGCGTTGTGTATTCACCTTCACGTCTTTTTAGTTGTCTACAGATGCACCTCAGCAGATGAACTGCGACGAACATGGCAGGGTGTGTATATATCTCGTGCAACTTGCGCAAGGAATTGCTCATATGCCGCATTCATCTTGAATGCGGATTTATGCTTTTCAGTTCGCCGCGCGTCACGGCCTGGGGGCCCTTCTTAAGGATGGCTATCGCACCTTCACGGGCATCGATGAGGTGACAGCCAAAAACATCGAGGCTTGCAAAACCCTCACAGACATCATAAAGACATCTCTGGGTGAGTCAGTTCAGTCCTCTGAAGCTGATAAAGGAGCTCTGCAAGTGTTTGCAGCTGCAGGTGCCGCACCAAGAGCAGCAGCAGCAGCACCAACAGCGGCCGAAGCAGGTCGAGCGAGAAGACGGCATGCATGCGTGATCGCAGAAAGCCGTGTAGAGTGGGTTTAGGCAGCTTAATGCCTGCCGTGGTGTGCATCCTTTTAGTTATTCTCGTCACTTTTGCACTTGCTGTGTGTCTGCCTCAGGCCCTTACGGGCTGAGCAAGTTGGTCGTGAATGCCTGGGGAAAGCGCTCCGTTACAAATGACACCGCCGCGATCCTGAGAGACCTTGAAGTACAGCATCCCGCGGCGAAGCTGCTGGTGATGGCCGCTGAAATGCAGAAGCAAGAGATGGGCGGCGGTTGCAACTTCCTCCTCATCGTCGCAGGCTGTCTCCTCACGAATGTAAGCAGACACAGTTAATGCTCGAGTATCATTATTATCGCATTTGCTAGTAATTATTTCCGCACTTATTGTTCGGATTATCTGTATTGCCAACGCTATTCCCCCTTCAAGTGTGCTTGTTAATGCTTTGTGTCGCATGGTTGTTGTTCTTTCGCTGCTTTTGCAGATTATGCTGCGTGGCATGCTAGTACTTGGTCATGCGTTGCTTTTGCTGTGCGTGCATGCACTTGGCTGCACGTGCCTATGACTGCGTGAGTGCGGCGCTGGTTTATTTGCTTCCTGTGCGCTGCACTTAGGCGGATTACTTGCTGCGCCAGGGGCTGCATCTAAGCGATGTCATTCAAGGATATGAACTCGCGCTGGAGAAGGTTCCGGCTTTTCTCGATGAGGCCGCCTGCCACACCGTCGAAAACCTCAAAGACTCCAAGCAGCTCGAACCCGGTGGGCTTTTGCGTCGTCCTGTTTCCTGCACCCATGCATACTGCATGCATGCACGCATGCATGCATGCTGCTGTCCGTGTATCCTGGGGCTGTTTCTTTGTGTGGGTTGATGAGAAGTGTGGCGTCGTCAGCTGTTGCGTCTGCTGCGCTGTTTTTCGTTCCCTCTCCCATGTGCCCTTATCTATATGGGGATGTTTATATGCGTGCTTGTTGCTGCACGGGCGCATGCGGATAGCTGCCTTTTTGGGGGTTTATTTTGTTTCAGTGCTGAGGACGGTCTTGGCCAGCAAGCCGCTCTGTATAGAGGCGGGGCTGGCTGGGTTACTGGCTGATGCTATTGCGTCGGTGATGCCTCCTAAGTTCGAGGACTTCGACCCCGACAACATTCGAGTCGCCAAGCTGCAGGGTGGCCGCCTCAGCCAGTCCACCGTGCTGAACGGCATGGTCATCACCAAGCCTCCCCACGGTATGTTTTGTCTCTTGCCTTCCTCGCGTCTATCAGCTTAGAGGATTGCCTTTTCTTCTCGCTCTTGCGTGCTGTTCTCCTGGGGCTGTCGCTTGTGCCTGGGGGTCTTGCTGTGCTTCTCTGGGGCTAGCAGATGTGGCTGCCTCACTACTTATTCGTGCAGCAGCAGCCAGTATTGACCACTGACGGGTTACTTGCCGCATGCGTGTGCTGTCTGCTGCTGCATACAGGCACTGTTGAGGCAAAGGGGAACTGCAAGGTGATGGTGTTGGGCTGTGGCCTCGAGTGTGCCACAACGGAGGCTAAAGGGACGGTTCTTATCCATACCGCTGAAGAGCTGAAGAACTTCACCAAGGGAGAGGAGGCACAAATGGAGGAAATCATCAAGGGCATAAAGAATGCAGGTACTTATTTTGCTGCAGTGCAATTCTCCCCCCATGTGCTGCTCTTCCTTTCCTGTTGAAGAGCAGCACATCACTTGCTGCGGCGCCTGCTGCGTGGAGTCGCAGCTGCAAGAGCGCTGTGGTGTGACTTGGGAGTCTGGCAGAGGCAAAGGTCTCTCTAGCACCACAGCTCGCTGCAACAATAGTGGGGGAAGGAGCCAACGACCTCAGGTTATATTTCAGCGCATGCATGTTTAAGAACTGCATGGAGATGGCCGGGTTACTGCGCTTTGTGGCTGTAGGCGTGGAGGCAATAATTGTGCACGGAGGCGGCATCGCGGACATAGCGCAGCACTTTTGCAACAAATACGAAATCCTCACTATAAAGGTGGGGCAGGGCAAAGAAGCCTGGGTTGTCTCCTTACTGATTTGGGGGGCTATGTTCGCTAGTGTGTTTGCCGTCATGCGAGTCTGCCTGCTGGCGTCGTCTGTCAGTCCCACTCACCTCGCGCGTTGTCCGCATCTTGAGGTCTGTAAAGGGACGAAAGTGCTGCGGATGGCATTTTGTGAAGGAGCCGGCGCAGCGAGCAGGCGCTGCAGGAGGGAGTTAATGCAGCAGTATCGGTCTTTGATGATGTCGCCGCAGGTTCCGTCCAAGTTTGAAACCCGACGTCTTTGCAGGGCGCTAGGCGCGACAGCCCTGGTTCGCCTGGTGAGCCTTGCGCCTTTGTGTAGGAAAAGCTTTGTCGTGAAATATTGAGCGTTTTTCTGCTGAACTGGGCAATTAGGGCCTCTGAAGTCTGGTAAAGAACTTCCATGCATCTCTCCTGTCGAATCACTTCAAAGCATGCTTTTTATTCAGCTGTTTAGATCCCTTCCCTCGTCTAAACCTTTATCCAGCTAAACGACGCAGTGCATGAGGGCAGCATGCGCATATGTACCGCTTGAGTCATTCGTCGCATCAAGTGCATTAAAGACATTCGCCTCATCGCCCTTCATGGACCGTTAACCGCTTGTTGCTCCAGTTGTGACAAGACTGTTCTCAGTTGTCAAGGGGCTGTCGCTGCTCGATGGCTTTGTGCGAAATGTTTGCAGGGCGTGCCCATGGCTGATGAGTTGGGGGTGGCAGAGTCGATTCGAACGATCGAGATCTCCAGCACCAAAGTTACCCAGATCCTGTGCAGGTGAGATGTGAACAGTTGCTGCAGTCTTCAGCTTCTCCGCGCCGCTGCTGCCGCTGCAGCTGCTGCTTCTGTTGGAACTTGGCGGCGAAGAACGTCAGTGTGGCAATTGCTTGTTTCGTGTTTCTCGGATGGGGTCCTCTATGCTGAGTACATTAGATGACGGGGTGATGCCTGCATGCAAATACTGAGGTAGGGCTCATATTATGTATGCAAATATTTCTGCGTTACTTTGCGGCAGGGACACCCGCGTACAGACCGTAGTGCTTCGTGGGTCGACCCCGTGTGTCCTGGACGAGGCTGAGAAGGCCGTGGACGACGCCTGTGCCTTCGCTAAGGCACTTACCAAAGACCGACGCTTCGTCGCGGGAGCTGGAGCGGCAGAAATGGAGATCGCCAGGAAGCTGCAGGTCCGTGTGCACACCTGCAGTTGTAGGGATAAAGCTCCACCCGTGGAGACTTCGTTGATTGATCGCCAGCAAGCTAAATAGCGGGCAAGCCAGCGAGCTAGCCGGCCTAGCAGGTTCCTGGCGAGGTGGCTACCCAGGCTAGTTCGATGACTGTGGATGCCTCGACAAAAACGGCGTGACACGGTTTTCCATGGACCCACGGCTCACACTAGTCGAACAGAAGCTCGCCTGTAAGCGCTGCGGTGTAGTAGCCTTACTACTATGTATGTTGTCTGGGGGAGCCGTGCTTTGCAGGCGGTGGCAGAGAAACTGCCCGGTACCGAGCAATACGCCGTCCTTAAGGCTGCCGAAGCCTTCGAAGCCATTCCCAGACTGTTGGCGGAAAGCGCCGGTCTGAATGCCACAGGTAACAGCTTGGTGCCTTTACTTAGGTCTTTCCTTTCTATCAAAGATTGAGTCGTTTAGTTGGCTCCGCTTTTCCCTGACGGTCGATGCATGTACTGCCAGGCGTGCTTCTCCAATATCATCACTTTTTTGCTGTTAGATGCGTCCTTATTCACCTAAATGATTTTAACCTGAATAAGTCATCTGTGCTAGGTTGCTCTTTTTATATTCTGCTTCAGTCTGAAAGGCCTTTGTATTTTCTTCCAACGTGCTTTATTCGTTGTCCTAGTGCACCTGTCTCTAGGGAAGTACTTTGTCGGTGCATACGCATGACCTTTGCGCGCACTTTAAGTTTCTGCTGAAACATCATTTTTGCGCTCATATCTTGCATGTTTAGCCATTGCCTTAGTTGTCCAAGGGCTACACCTCGTAGTGTTGTGCTGTTGTTGTCCCGTGCAAGTCTTCACAAGTGTAGGAGAACGTGGGCTGGATGGATGGCTACCCGAGAGCGAATAAACGCTCTCTCTTGTATGGGTGGAGGGAGGCGAGCTGGAGGATAACGGGACAGCCTTCAGACATTTGTGTTTTGACTGTGACAGCTGGGTATCGGGTGCGTTTGTATGTGCTTATCTACAGAGGTCCTGGCCGCGTTGCATGCCGCGCATTCAACAGGGCGCGTACTCGAGGGGGTGAACGTAGAGGCCTTTGTGGGTGCAGTAGCTTCCAGCCGGGGGTTCTCCGGCAACTCCAAAGTGAACATGACCGTTGATGCGAAGAGCCAAGGCATTCTGGATCACTTGCAGACAAAGGCATGGGCCATTCGCCTTGCATTCGACGCTGCTATCACCACTCTGCGCGTTGACCAAATCATCATGGCGAGACCTGCAGGCGGCCCTGCTCCCCGTGAGTCCTTTGTCACTACGAAAATACACAAGCTACCTTGCCACACAAAGCAGGCGGTCTTATCGAGCCGCACGTGATATGCATGATTACATGTATTTGCCGGCTGCGTGTCTGTTTTACTCGGTTTTGTCTGTTTTATTCTGTCCTACCGAAACGATACGGGGGATAATGATGCATGCTGTTTATTCACCGCAGGCGCTCCGGGAGCTCCTGACGCAGACTGAAGAGAGCACTCAAACTCTGCCTTAGTCCCGTGGGTGTTGGCCGCAGCAGGTATAGTTACATTATTGTGCATAGCACGCAAATGTACATGCATATATAGATATTATATATATGTAACAGATGCAACTATGTTCTCTGGGGGCAGAAGGCATCATCCAGGCGTCGTTGTGGCTTCACCGCTCCTATCTTTAAAGGAGAGGCGTTGGACAGCCGGCTCTTCTGCACACTGGAGCTGCGGCCTGCGGTAGTGGCGTGGGTTGTAAGGGCGGGAGTTTGTGATGGGTCTCTCACCCAATCAAAGACTCTATTTTGACTTATTTTAGAACCATCCTAATTATAATTTTGCAAGCAAAACAGGCAAGCATTTGCAGAGGGCTATAGTAAGCACTACAGTCAAAACGTAGCCCCAGCGTGTTATCCAATCTCGGGATCAGTAGCAGGGTATGTTAGAGGCCCGTGGATATATCGATAGTTGTGCGGGTGCTGGCTGCTGAAAGGTGAGCAAGTGTGTAGCAACGTGTACGGCAATAGTGGATGCAACGAAAAGGAAGATTGGGTGTGACTGGGCGTGGGACTGCATTCCGGCAGCAGTTGCAGCAGCAAGCGCTGCAGCTTAGGAGAGGCGCATCCTCTCCCCGCAGGACGCTGCGCCGCTGCGCTCCGGACGCGTAGATGCAGGAGACGTTGGCTCCTCTGGCAGAGGAATTATAAGACTAAATGCACTCGCTACCTCGTAGCGCTCTACAAATTACATTAGGGCCGAGGCCTCGCTCCCCGCAGTGCGGGAGCGGTCTGGAGTTCGGTATGAATGAAACTGGTACACGCGTATCTGCTTGCACGACTGCAGGCCCATGAAGGCCGGCAGTCGTGCAAGCACTGGAAGAGCCGCCTGGAGTCATCACTGTGCCTTCGCAAACTCGTATCAATGCTCAGCAGTTGCTAGGGCTGACGCTATGGGGAGGTGCAACCTGTCTGGATATTCGCAGCCCCTGCCACTACGTTTCGCCAATGGCAAAAAAGAAGACAAGGACCGGTAGAAATGTGCGTATGAAGTGTGGAGCCGATCCACGAGTGGGTCATATTACCACGGTAATGGGACTTCTACGTTGAAGCGGTCCACTACGGCTAAACCTAATTATTTGTGGAAGTCACTAGAGGGTGCCCATGCATCCAATAGACGACATTGCTGAGGCCTGTGCACGAGGAAGCAATGGGAATGCACCTCTGGGCAGTCCCAACAGGCGTGCTGCGCAGAGTGAACAATGGCATAGCGCTGGTGCGTAGAGGAGCCGAACCGTCACGAGCTGCATTGCACCGCGCTGCATCGAATGCTGCAACGCCGCCCCACCTGCGGGCGCAACCAAGACCCCTTTGCTGCATGCACTAACCTTGCCCACAGTTGCTAAGCACTAGCTTGGTCCCTTGTAGACAGCGTGCATGCGGGTACAAGCATACGTACAAACTTTACCAAGCCCATGCTACACTGCAGAAAGCACGCGCCCCCAACCTAGTAACCCAGCGACTTACGCACTGCTACCCTAGGGGCTGGGGTTGCTTAGCAGTAACCCTAGGCTCTAGGGTAGAAGCCTGTCATGAGTTGAAAGCACCTTGCTGCAACTCCTGCTGCACTGCAGCCCCCAACCGAAGTGTACCCATACCTTCCTTTGATGCATGCATTCACACTGCAGGCAATTGTTTAACGCTTATTTGGCCCTCACTAGCGAACCTGCAAGGCAAGACGAACTAGACGTGCAGTTAGTCTTAAATTGGTGCGACCATTTCTACTGGCCTGCAGTTTGCCAGACGTAAAATGCTGCTTCGGGCATCTATGTGCAGATGACGCTGCATAATGGCAGGCTTCTTATTAATTGTTGGTGTACTGGGAGCAGCTTGTTGGCAGGTACCAAGAAAATGAGACTAGCATTCAGATGCGAACTCCGCAATTGATTACACATTTCAGCACACCCTCACAACCCCTGTTGACTGGCAGACAGGTCCTGCATCGTAGGACTGGAACCCGTGTGTAGTTCCTCTGATTGTTGGTATTCCGAAATTTAGGAGAAATGACGTTGAATACCGTGAGTTGCATTAAAACCGTATCTATTGCCAGGAACACCCGTGCCGCGACCACCTGAACAAACCCCCCCAGCCCTAGCAGCAGCAGTCTGCGACGGCGTTGCGGCGGTGTGGCTGGGAAAGAGAGGGGACGTAAAAGTACATTCTGTTGTTTTTCTCTTTGTTTGTATTATTTAGAGTGAGGCGCACTGAAGCTTGCTCGTGTTCCAGTGCCTGGATAGGGCGGCAGCTTTGCGTTTCCTGTCTTGCGTCGTTTCTCCGTGTGGCGTTGCTGTGACCCCTCATTATTAAGATGGCATTCAGCATCGTTGGCCCCTTTCTGGGGTCGCTGTTGTGTTTTTGTGTCTGCTTTGTATATCCAGCGTCGCTGAGCTTTCAGCTGCTACTTGACGAGAAGGCTGCGCCTAGTGGCGCTCTGAAGAACGATCATTTGCAGCATGTCATGTTCTGGGTATTATGTTCGTGGATATGCTGCATTGAGTCTTTCCCTCCTCTGGCGTTGCTACTTCAGTACCTCCCCTTTTACTACGAAATCAAATGCTTGCTGTTCTACTGGCTCGCTTCCCCACAGTTTAAAGGGGCTGGATGGCTCTGGCTGCACGTCATCTACCCCGCCTACGAAAGAGCCGCACCCATGTGTGCTCAGCTTTACAACGAGCGCTGCCCACCGCAAGTCAAAGCTGCAGTTGAGAAGGCCATGGCGGCAATCGTGGGGGTCAAGTCACAGCAGTCCGATGCGTTCAGTAAGAGTCGCCAGCCCTCCAAAGCAGCAGATACCACCCAGAAGGCGGAGTGAACAACGCACTCGCTGCCGCTACCGTCTCTGCTGAAAAAGCAGTGCATGCGGCACACGCGATTCACACCGGGTAATCGGCAACCAGCAACGCGACGTGAGTGCATGGTTCTTCTTCCTTGTTCGCACGCTAGCGAGAGGGGGAGAGTGACAAGACCTCTTCCTGGACAGTAACTAAAGAGAGATGCAACGTGGAATAAGTACAGGACAGGGCAACTGCTTCATCTGCTGTGCTGCACGGGCAGGAGGCCCACAGGACCATCTACGGCTGGCGAAGCGCTGTGGTGCATTCAAGCGCGGATTGCTCGAGGTGCACAGCGCGCAAGCCGGGCAGCATGCATTGCATCCTCCGTGGAATTTGCAGTGCGTGTTGGCGCCTCTAGTTGTGGAGAGGAGCCAGCTGGGGCCTGGCTGGCATAGTAAAGAAGACGGCGAGTAGGGCCACCATGCCTTCGTGCCCCAGCGGACGTGGCCGGCAGGTGTTGCCTCCTCGTGTGCATTGTATCCGCTAATCAGGATTGAACCAAAGCATCCTGAATGCCTAAGCTGGGGTATTCACCGGTGCCTTCGCATGCTGATAGGGTGCTGTGCATCAGGTGGAGGCGTGCTCTGTGCACCAAACTTTCGCAAACCAATAGGTTCGACGTTCGTTCCAGGCAGGAAACTGCCGAACCCGAACCTTAGAGGTCCGTAGAGCAGCAGCAGCAGCGACCGTCGCTGCTGTAAATAAAGTATGACGTTTTGCGTTGCGTTTTTCGTTTACCATCGCCATTTGGATACTTCTATAATTTTGTAAACAGTCATTGCGGCGGTACAGAGTCCCATGAGGAACCACTGACACGCGTAGTTGAAGTGGGTATGCTCGTCAGCATAGAACAGAAGGTAGTCATCTTTTTTCTTTTGTTCGTAGCTCACAAACCTATTCGCTACTTTCAGGTCCCCTCCTGCGCCATCCGGTGGGTGGAGCAGATCTTCATCATACACGATGGAGTAGGCGTTAACCATAAGCATTGACGCCTCTCTCCTATTTGGAATGCCTGGTGTTGCCTCTACCAGGTCTCCGGGGTGCAGCACATTGAACTGCCCCTCGTGAGGCCGGTTCTTCAACATCAATGCCTTGAAACTCGAATTAGCGACTTCCCCAGGCTCCAATACTCCCCGAACTGTCACGGAACCGACGGGCTCTGTGCGGCAGCCAGCTACCTGCTGCAGACGCTCCAGATACTGCTGTGCGCCGTAGTTCACGTATTTCTGCTTCATACGCTGCTGCTGCATCGCTTCCAGCTGCTTATCCACATGCTGCTCTGGCGTGGTGTTTGGGGGCTGCAGTGGATGCTGCTGCGCAATTGCAAGTAGTTCAGTTTCTTCATCGACTGCGCTGGGGAAAGCGGGCAGTTTGGCCAGCTTGAAAGACAAGTGCCCCTTATTAACGAGAATGACGCTGCCATCCTGCAGCCGCAGCGGCGACACGATACAGTATCCAGGATTTCCCATTTCCAGGCCCGGCCGAGGTCCCACGAGCAGCTCCGTGCTGCTGTCCAAAACCCCATGAAGCACCACTGGAGTGTACGCCCATTCTCGTACTGCCGTCTCCACGTCCTCCTCAGAGGCCTGGGCAAGCAGTTGGGCGCTGCGTTGTGTTCGTCTCTCTGCTGCCCCCGCATCCTTTGCTTTTTCCTGTGGTTGCTGATGCTGCTGCTGCGCAGCAGCAGAATGCTCAGGAAGGGCAGCCGAGGCGTCACTCAGCTGGCGCTCTCCTTCTGCAGAGCTGGGGCCTAGTGAGGGAGGCGGGGAGATCTGGCTGGTGGGAGAAGCAGCAGGCAGTTCACAATGCGCTTCTGTCGTGCTGCTGGTGGGGAATTTTGCTGGGGAACCCTCGTTCTGTTCACGCAAGCGTGCACTGGCGTTCGCAGCAGCGTCCAGGGTCCAAGGGAAGGGGGAGTTGGTGATGACGGTGGGCTGCCTGGCGAGGTGGCTCCTTCTATATTCAATGAGTTCTTGTTTTTCATGCATGCGGTGCAGCTGCCAAAAGCCGAGTGAGGCCAACACGCTACTGAACAGGGCCCCACCCAGAGCTAGGCGCAGCCTCTCTCCCTTCCGGATGCCGTACTGGCGGTTCCTAACGACCCTCAGGACTGGGGATGTGACTTTCTGCGCATCCTTCGCTGCAATAATGCGCACAATTATTCCCCCCTCCACCTCCTGCGGGGACGGATACTTAGCCTCCGCCTTTGCCAGGATAGCTGCATCCTCGCGGGTGCACGGCAGCAGCCGCTGCCCAGGCATCGACCGCCCAGAAGCCACAAAGGGGATGGGGGCAAAGCCCCAATTAGGGGCCACAGGTTCACCCCCTCCATCCACCGCAGCAGGACGAGGTGGCCTGTTTCTGCCCCCTGTAACACTGATTTCCGCTTTCGTCCCAGGAGAGAGGGAAGTAGCACTTGACCGGCTCGTTTCATCCACAGATGCTGCGCTTCCGTCGTTGCCTCTCTCTGTCTCGCTTCCGTCCTCTCGGGGGGTCCTTCCAGGCGCCCCGCTGCTGCTGCTTCTGCCAACTATGCAGCCACCCAGACCCTTGTGGTGAATCCATTCAGCTGCACTCCGCCGCTGGAACGCATGGCAAGCCATTGCTGCCTTGATCCTTCGAAGGCTTCGAGTAAAGGCTGCAGTCCCTTCCCGATTCATCATGCTGCAGGATGCTGAGGAGGAACTTATTTGTCGCTGCTGTTCGACTTTGGTGACGACGCGGCCTTGCGAGCTGTCTCAGTGGCTTTCTGAGCAAAGGAGAGGACAGAGAACAAAGAAGAAATAAACCACTTTGCAGCCGTCAATGCATGAGCCCCCTGCACTTCCTCCAGGACTCCCGTGGCACCCACGCACATAAATGCACTACAATGAGCCTTCAAAATGAACCCTACAATTCCGTTACAGAGCTTAATGATCATGCCTCTGAAAAGAATTCTAGTATCAGCAGCAGCAGAAGCGGGAGGGTAGGTAGCAGCAACAGCAACAGAAGAAGCCCCAACAATTCCTGCAGCGGAGGGCCTCGGTCTCACGAGTGCTGCATGCGTCACTCTCTTCATCACTTCCTCGGCGCGCTGCGAAGACACGACTGCAAACCTTTGGAAAGCGGGGCTTGTCTGATTGCACACAGACAGAGCAACATGCTAATACGAATAATGAACACACGGTTATGGCAAATATCAAAGCCTGTATGTAAGCGAGGGAGCAAATGAAAGCTATTAAAGTGTAGTTGGAGAAGGCAAGCCCAAACGTACAACAAGCACTCGATAAACGTGGTCGCTCAGGTGACGCTGCGCCAGTGCTTGCAGCGTCCTGAAGAAAACGCCCATATTCATTTTGGATCTGAAAGTCGCAGCAAACATAGCGGCAACAACACGCAGATGCAACGCTTTTAAAAGACATATGAGACGCACAAAGGACATACTGTTTCTACAGCAAAGCAACACTTTTCTGAGGGGTTTACGGAGCGGTTTGGGGTTTGGCGGGGGTTCAGTGCTTTGCGCTGTGAGTTTACTGTGTGTTTGCTTGCCCTCAAGCAAAAGCGGTACATGGTGTAGCCGAACAGGACTAAATTCCTCACTGAGAAGATATGACGCGAGGCATCAGTACGCATGTCCGCTTACCGTGTTCTTTCAAAGCATTTGCTCGCAAGGCCCTGCACCGCACAACACTAACTCGGGTCTGTGGCCAGAGTCGTCGCCCAATCGTGCTTCCTTCACTGAGGACTTCCCGCAGTTGGCTGCAACTCAGTGAGTCCGAGTTGCCCGATAGACTTTGCTTATCTGGTCCGACAGGATCCAAAATAAAAGGCAAAAAGCTCTTCACAAGCCAAAAAGCACTAATGGATACAAACTAAAAATGCCACGGCAGAGCAGGCCTTTGCGAATGCAAGCGGATTGCCGATGTCGGCCATGAGGAGCGATTATAGATTGTCAGCGAAGCTTCATCACCCAGGAGCAAGCAATCACTTAACTCTCTACAAATTGGGCAATAAGTAAAAAGTAGAGGACAGTACGCTTCGAGACAGGCGTAGCGTTTTTCAGCCCCAACGAGCAACTGTGCCGGCGTGCATGCAGCCAGTTCCTCAAAACTCTAGAAAAGCAACGCTTGAGCATCTCCGCTGATTCTTGGCTTCATGAGCTATCATATCAATGCAAGGTAGGGTGTGCGTGAAAAACCGCACGCAGGCAGTAGTACCGTACATATACTACCGGTAGGCGAGTAGGCTGCTGTGACGTAAGCTTTCGACCCCTATTGAGGAATCCCTTGAGCTGCAGTAGAGCCGACGTACTTCAGTACCCAGGCCCTGCTCAGAAGTTGTTTTCGGCGTTACTTCACGTATCAAAGGAGATTGATGCATGCACTAACGCCAAATGCAACTGTTGAACACTTACCTGGCACTTAGTAGGCAACCTGGACGCCAGAAAAGATGCACTAACTAACTCTAGTGAGGTAACGCTGCAAGGTTGGATTCGCGGCGTGAGTTCCCCGCAAAGAAAGCAACGTGCCAAGAGAGCCCTCCCGCTCTTCCCATTCTCTCCAGGGTCCCGTTTGTTTCAGGACGCCTACAGACGGCAAGGAAGGTTACTTGCTGGTGGGGAGACCATCATCCTAAAGGTTGCGAATCTACTGCGGTATCCGACGAGTGTAGGCTTTAGCCGAGGACGCTCGTTACGATCACTCTACAACGCCAACTGTTGCAGCTAGCCAGCCGGACGGTGTTTCAGCGCGGTTAGGTATCATTCAGAAATAACAATCATTCCGCAGGAGCATTGGAAATTCCTGCCGCGACACGCAACGAAACGAAGCACTGTTTTTTCTCGCACGGTACTTAGTGTATTTGCAAGACTGCATGTGTTCACTGCTTGCCCACGATTATTTGCTTCGCTACTTCAAAAACGACATGCGGCTGCATGTGTTCACGGAGGGTTTGAATGTTCTTGCGGAATGGTTGCGTTGGCAGCAACAGTTGCAGAAACAAGCGCTCGCAACCAGAAGAGGGAGATATTTGCACTCCAGCCCTGCGGAATCTGAACTGGTGTGCCTTGGGAGCTTGAAGGGAAGGACCTGGGAAACTGAAAGATTTTACACGCATTGTGAATCAATGGAGGATATTACAGAACGATTGTCTAATGATCACGTCAACCATCGTTATTACACGTTGAGCGTAAGCCCCTTCTCCCGACGGGACATCCATGCATTCCGTGCGACTGGCGCCCTCCTATCGGTGCTTAGAATACATACAGTTGCAGCATGCACTAGACCATTGCCGCCTTCTCAATACACTAGAAACTTTCCAAGTGATCCCTTAAAAGCTCCGGTGCTAAAAGTCCAGTGGTGAACGCACTGCTCCTTCATGCGGAATGGCAAATGCTAAAAATTCAGCAATGAACCCACTGCTCTTTCATGCGGAACGGTGAAATCCTACTGATCAGCAGCCGCAAAGTGACGATGCTTCGATGAAACCCAGTAGGGCTCATGCACCCGCACGTGGAATGCGGAAAGTAGTTAGTGCCCCAAGTAGCAGCAGCAGTAACGGGTAGGTTCGACGACAACGCACGAACTGCTGAACGCTTCACTTGTCACTTATCCTCACTCTGTGGTACTAAGGATTTCACTTACTACTGCACCCTGCGGTTTTGTCCAGACCTAGATTTTACCGCCTGCAAGGACGAAACCAGTAAAACTCAGAAGCGAACTTGTAGAAGCAAAAAGATACACCGAACCGACAGGGATGCGATGGACATTAAGCAAATTGCAGTCTCGCCCATTTACTCGACGATCACAGGATTCTTCAACTGTCGTCAGATTAGCTGTGCCTGCAAAGTGACGGTGCCTTCCCTTCCCCTTACATCATCAGGAGCTGAGTGAGGCGCGAACATATGCAAAGGGGGGATTGGCTCAAGTTTTACTTTCCCTCCTATCCATCTGGCTTGTCGAAGGTAGCAGCTTAGCCTCACACGACACGAGAGCTTATGACGCTTTGTTGGGGGCTACACCAGCCTCACAAGCGCAACCTGCTTTCTCAAGCGCCTGTGTACACGAGAAAAACAAGCGTGCACGCGTGCCGCTTGTTAACGCGAAGAGCTGTATTCAAGTCAACGACAAGATAGACACGAACCCCAGCACTCCGCAATCGAGTCTTGCATTGAATGCTAGACAGCATTTGTGGTGTGCCAGCGGGTCTGGGATAAGCTGCAAGGACTCACTGGTATCTCTCCAGTCCGAATGCTCTTTTTCTGAGCTACATACGAAAAGTGAAATCATATTTACTTTATTTGACATGTTAGACAAAACCGCCATTGCTGCGGTAAGCCGTGAGCGACATACGGGCAGTGGGAGCAGTCGCTGCTAACTGAAAGCGTCTCCGAAGCACAGGTTGGTAGTTGGAATGCGCCGAAACACGTAAATTATCCTACATTTCTGAATAATTACACGAGGAGTGAAGTTGTATTTCATTACATCGGGGAAGCCCGAGTGTAGCATGCATCTGTCCCACCGGGGGTCTTCTACTGCACCAAAAAAGTGCACAGTTGCACCAGGTTTAGTTCTTCTAACTCAATTTGAACTAGAATCCAGGGCTCGGTGCTCAGTTTATCTTACTTTGGAGGGTGCCCATCAGAAATCGCCGGGCTCATCAGTGACGGCTTCCCTCGAGCGCCATACAACAAAGCAGCGCCAAAAATTGCTACAGAGACTGCAAATCCGCCAACCTGATGTTATTTACATGTTCAGACATCCATATTGTGGCAGGGTGACTGCTGCCGAACTTGGCCCGCGCCGTAAAGTGCGTCGTCAACTCCACGATACCCAGCGCAAACATTGAAGCTGTGCACCACAGGAAGGCAGCGGCAGCCCATTTATAAGTGACAAAGAACAAGGATTCTTTTTGGCAGTGTACATCCAGCGACACGCCAACACCACAGGGACCGGAACCCACCGAGTCTACCACCATGCCAGCTGCACACCCGCCGGAGACAGCTGCAGCAGAAACAGAGAGTCCTGCTCTTTCTATTAGCAAGCTTGAAGGTGGTACGCTGAGCCCAGATCGGGCCGTCGTCTTGCCTTCAGACCACACCTCTGGTAAGGTGTCTCCTGACATTCTGGCAAATATATCGGGCACCTGCAACAACGCTAGCTCACCGCCGTTGCCTAATGAAGAACACCGTGGTTTGATAATCTCGAATGACGATGCATCTCGCAATGAAGCAGAACGGGCTACTGGAGGAGTGCAGCCAGTTGTGCTGCGTTGTAAAGACATTACTTGTGAGCTCAACGACCGCGTGCTGCGTCTTCCTTGCCCCATACATGCATACACATACATACAGACGCACATACACACATACGTGCATACATACATATATACATACATACATGCACATGCATACAGACATATACATACATGCATACGTACGTACATACATATATACATACGTACTTTCATAACATATATACCATACATACATACATACATGCATGCATACATACAGACATACATACCTCAACACACACACACACACACACACACACACACACACACACACACACACACACACACACGCACGCACACACGCACGCACACACGCCTTATTATATGCAACGGCTTGAAACGCTTCCTGTTAAACACATGTTTCCCGTGGGGTTTCACGGCTATCAAAGGCTGCTGAGCATGCACTGCAGACTCTGTCGCTCTTCCCCCCGACGGCACCTGCCTCACGAGATCGTGCCATAAACTTTGCACGTGTCGCAGAGGAACTGGTGATAAAGTGAACATAGAACCCGACGAACGCCCGAAGCTCAGAAAAGATATTCTGTGCCTCGACGGCATAGAGCTCGTATTTAGTCCAGGAGACTGCGGTACGCCCCGAACCCTTCTGCCAGCTTGTCGCCTGCACAGGACTGTTTCCATCATACACTCCGCACAGGACAGGAGTGAAGTGAGTACAGTAATATGATACGAGATCCTCGCTCTGTGTGTGCAGTTGCCTTGATGGGCAGCAGCGGTGCCGGCAAATCAACGCTTCTGAACTGCCTAAGTGGTAGGGTTTCGACGGGTCTGCGGGGGGAAGTGGAAATGAACGGCATGCCTTGCACGCCGCAGCTGTGCAAGGAGCTCGGCTGTTTTATTCAGCAAGAAGACATCATTTTTGGATACCTCACAGTGGAGGAACATCTGTTTTTTCAGGTATTTGCTCAATACAACATGATTCTTGATGTATGCTACAGCTGGCCAACTTGTTCCCCTACCATCTCCTTCTCGCCAGTGATTTCTGTCGTAGACTGCGAAGACTTTACCGTTGGACTTTCAGCTAGCTTTGAACCTGCCGCTTCGCTCCTTGGTGCGTTGAAAGGTCTGATATCTGGCAGCGTCTGTTTCATGTTGAATGCGCTCATATGTAGGCATGCCTCCGTCTGCCCAAAGGAACAACAATGAACGAGGCAAGGCGCACTACAGCGTGCCTTTTGGAGTGCTTTGGTTTAGCACATATATCAAAGTCATTTATTGGGGGTCCGCATGAAGCTGCTCGGGGGTAAGCGGCTGATTCTTGTTTTTTTCTCCATAAGTCACAGCCTTCAGTAACGCACGAAGCATTTTACAGGCGGAGGGTCCCCGCGCAAAGTTGACGGGGTGGGCTCAGAGCTACCTACTTTGAGCTGCGTGCAATGGCAGATCAATTTCCGGAGGGGAGAAGAAACGGCTTTGCATTGCCAGCGAGCTCTTGAGTAACCCATCGGTTATTTTCGCCGACGAGCCCACGAGCGGTTTGGACTCATTCATGGCTAAGGCCGTCTGCGACCAGCTGGCAACTCTCGCGGCAGCTGGTTGCACTGTCGTGTGTACTATCCACCAACCTAGCAGCTCGTGCTTCTCTTTGTTTAACAAGGTTCGATGAACTAGGAACTAGTTCCCCCTTCGGATCCTCTCCCTCTCGTGGTGGCCATTTGTCGCCTCCACGTGGCACTAGAACTCGGTCACTACTGCGAAATGCGCGATAACTCAGGTACTTCTGCTGGGCGAAGGGCGCGTTTTATACTACGGAGATCGCCTGGCTGCGGTTTCTTGGCTGGAACACTTGGGTTGCAGACCTTGTGGGATCGATGCAAACATTGCTGAGTTCATCCTTAAAGCCACGTCGCTTCATCATCTCGATGCACAGGCTAAGGCTGCACGTCTACAAGAATGGGCAGACGCCTGGCGTCTTGAGGGTGAAGCATTCCTTAGGAACTGGGTAGGTTTGCTTAAGACTGCACTGTGTCGCATCCATCGTTACCTACTGCTGAGCGGGATGCGGGATTCGAACCCTCCCCATTCATCTCTTTCGCGACCCAAAGTGTATTTTATGATTCTCAAGTTTCTCAAGTTCGTCATACACCTTTGCACTGCGTTTGCTTGCGATGCGTGCAATGCAAACCTCCGCTGTCTCTGGACTGCAACTGGGGCCACCCTGCAGGCTCTTCTTCTTGTAGCTGTTCTCGTTTGCGCTGACAGGAGGAACAGGGAAGAGATCTTTTTAAACAACGAAGCTGCACATTTTCCTCCATACTTGAGCCCGTGGTAAGCATTGCTACAGGAAGAATTGGAGCCCGTCTTTGCCGATTACTTCGTCATTTTGATTAAGTGTTGCAACGATACGGGCTTCGAATGTTGCCGCTTATAGTTAGCTCCTGTTGAACGTCATGGAGACGCACATGAGTTGACTTCAGTCGTTATTGGTTTGTGAGGAAAGGGCTGAGCTGCCTCACAAACCCTCTAAATCAGTGAGATTATCGTTGGAGAACGGGTGGCCATCATGTATGGTGCTTGTTGCTGTGTACCCAAGGGCCCTGCGCATCCTCACAGGCTTGAGGAATGTAACAGGACCAAATTGTAAGCTAGAAGTTAACCTAAGCAATGCCCTCGCTGCCCGCCCCTTGCTGTCAATGTGTAACGGAGGCAGTGTAATTACCCTCCTTTAGCCCGACGATTGGCATACAAGCTAGGATGTAGATCTCAAAATGTGACGTCTACAAAACTTGATTGAGCACGAGCATGCGCAACCAAGTAGAGCAGTAAGGTTTCAAAAGCCCACCCATCGCACCGGTTCTCATTTGCATGCGTTGACTGCTCTATGTCTTCCCAGGAGCCCGCGCGAATCGGAGTCGGAAATTCTTCGTTTGAGGGAAGCATCCGGCCGGACTGGCACCATCGGGCAAGGCAGTAGGCCCACCAATGCAGCTACGGTCCAGCGCGACGCGGTTCATGCCCTTGCGTCCGTATGCCGTACAAGAAATTCGCGGGAAAGCGGACGCATATCACCGTTCACTGAAGCCGTAGTCCTGACAAGGCGAGGCCTGTTGTTGCGGTGGAGGGACCCATCTACCTCTTATGCTCGCTTGGCAGTCACCCTGATAACAGCACTCCTGCCGTCGTTTATCTTTTACCGGTAAGCCAGACAGTGGGGTACGGCGTAGGAGACCCTATCCTTAATTGCTCGTTGATTTTTCTGCAATACGCCAACTAGAGCCACTATGCATTCAAATTGGAAGCATTCGATGCTTTTCCTAGGCAAGCTGTCTTTATCTTTTAGGTTGGGATGGAGTCTGGGCGACGCCTGGAATCGGGTGTCGGCTTGCTACCAGATCGTCTTAACTCAGGTGTGCCAAATGTTTTTCCCCGGTGAAAACAGTAGGCCATGCCAGCCCTTGACTTGTTGGTGTTGAGTGCTGGCGTTTTTCTTTCAGTCCCTTGCCTGCATCTTTGCCGTTGCGAACCTTTTCCCGCAAGCCCGACCTGTGGCACAGAGGGAATATGAATCAGGTACGATGATAATGATCGCGTCGGCCCCTCTTACAGATACGTTGACGACTTTGAAGCGTGGCGTTGCTTTGACGTTCCCTATTTGTATTGTCTTGCCAGTCTCCCGACTGACTCCTTGATGCAAGAGGGGCGAAGCCGCTGATGCTGTGGGTATTGTTTTTCCCCGCGACAACTGAGAAGCGCATTTGCTGCATTTGCAGGTGTCCTGCGCATGTGGGTATATTTCATCGGGACATCAACCAGTGATACCATACTATTTCTGATCTTCCCTGTTATCTTCCACACGTAAGGCTGGCCGGCTGCCCAAGTTATGGGCGCAGTCGTCTCGCAGTGGCGTGGCTCTGGGGGGGAAGTGTCTGCATTTCTGCCTGCTTCGATGCATGTGCTGCTTGTCATTATCATCAGGATCACTTTCTGGATAATGGGTTTGGCTGCAACCGCAGCAAAGTTTTTCGCATCTTTAGGCGTTTTGCTACTTTCGGTTTTATCTCTCCAATCATACGGGTATTTCATATCGGCCTCAGTGACCGACGTAAGTCTACTTTGGTGCTTCCTTCGTAAGGCAGCAGGATTGTGCGGCATACCCTAAGATGCATTATAAGAGGCGCGTTTCTACTATTTGATGGCTGCTGCTGCGGAAGTTTGCTGAGGATACCTCAGCACATGTATCGTTTCACCTATCACCAATAAAGTGTTAAAATACTGTAGCCCGCGTGGCATCACGGCTAGGTGACTGGTATATCTATTAATTTGTTATTTAATGCATCTCTTCTCTGCTTTGCGCTCGTTGTTTCGACGTTTGAAGGAGGTCGTCGCACTGGCCGTGACGCAAGTGGCCCAAGTTGTCCTAGCTCTGTTTTCTGGATTCATGACGCAGATCGACCAGTTGAGCCCATTCTTTAAAGTTGTTGCGGTAGGTGGACGTATTGCCTGCTGAAGTTTCTCGTCTTACTTGCATGCCGCTTCAGTCCAATGTAAGTTGGCGCAGTTGCGGGTGGCTGTGCCCCGTTGCAGGCGTTGTCCCCATTTAAGTATGCACTGTCGTCATTTAGCTTGGTAATTTTTGATGACGAGTACTTCATTGGTGAGGGTGGAGAACGAGTGTCTGGAGACGACGTAAGTTCCGAGATGGCTGAGAACTTCAGAAACCTCAAGATAGGCAGAGTATATGCTTTTGAAGGGCCAAACGAATCAGCTTATCCTATTGCCTTTGCTTTTTCGCAGTTCCTCAAGGGGACATTTGGGATTAAAAGGGAAGCATGCGCTTCAGATTTAGGGGCCCTTGTTGCCCTCATCATTGTGTAAGTGTAGTTGCACTTCTGCAGAAAGCGTAGTTGATAAAGGCAACTCGTGATCCACTCAGAGGCTCTCTGCATTCTTAGCAGGCGACACACTTTTCACTCATGGCTCCGTGCAGGCCCCGTCTCCTAGCTATGGCTATTATGGAGTTCCAAGCTCGGCGAACAAAAGAAAACGCATGAATTGCCTTGCCGAGCATTGAGAATACTCGCCTTTTTGAGAGAACAGAGCTATTTATTTCATGCTTCCTTTGAAAGAAAGCGCTAGAGTGGCTTGGCGACACGAAACGGGGCAGGCAGCAGCTCAGTTCATCAAAGGCAGTAGCTCCTTATGGTGGAAACCAGATCCAGCAGGCTTGCAGGACCAGAGCCCTGGGAACGATCTCAGGAGCTCGAGTTCCACGGGTGTGGCTTGCGGCGCCTCGCCACCGATGCCGCTTTGGTGCAGCTTATGTTTTTGCTGTTCCTTTTCGTAACTTTTGTCTGTCAGCTTTTCAAGGTTAACTATGAGCATTTCACACTTGTCTACTGGATCTCATGGCCAGGGAATCGTTCGCCAATGCGTAGGATCTCATTGCTGGCGCTTAGCATGGGCGTCATGTAGAATTTTTGGGTTGATCAGCATTTTCTGGGCTACGCAAATTCCAGGCCAAAGGTAGACCGATCTGTCTTGCTCTCGAAGAAAGTCTGGTACTTTTCATCTGGAGTATCGTTGCTGCGCAGCGCACCAGAGCGACAAGAGTTCTCCCCCGAAGGTCGTTTTCATTCCGAAAAAACGTTCTTGACTACACGATTTCCTAGTGTACCTATCTCGTCGCTAGACATGCGTCAGGCATTTGATCCAAGAAGGAGAGGGTGCATTTCCAATAAGAAGAACACGAGATGAAAATCACATGTGCTAGCAGACAACAGATTGGCACTTTTTGAATAGAAATCCTTCGCGCTAACCATCCTATCCTTTTTGCGCTTTTGCCAAGAAAGTGCCCTCTTCAGGAGGCAGCTATGAGGCAGCAGATCAAAGCAGCTGTCTAGCGCTTATTTTGAGAACGATTCTTTCCTTTGGAAATGACAGCACGAATGCGGCGACGGCGTAAGCTTAAACATATATATCTGTATAGGGCGTTGTTGCACAGCTTGCTCGGAGTGAAGGGTTTTGCTCCTTGCCTTTGCTGGCTGACTCCAGAAGTGGGGCTCGAGGCTGACTTGTAGTTGTCTCCATTGATCAACCTCTACTGCTGCCGCACTTACTTGTGATTTCTCGGGTACAGCTCTTGAGGCAGGGCAACGTCAAAAATGCGTCTAGCGATTTGCCCTTCTACATTCACCACCACACCATGTTTCGTGCACCTGTCGGAGCTTGCGCAGTTTGCATCCGTTGGGGCGTGCCGCTCCGGTTTGGCATCCCACAGCAAACAAAATAAACTATCTAGGGGCAAATGTCACAGAAACAACAGACCGGATGGTGTAGGGCATAAGGAATCAAGCAAATGCCAGCAGCGGGGCAACGGCTTGAACGGATCATAATTTGCGCTTCCTCACAGCAGCTTGAGCCTCTGTGAGCTCCCGAGTGAGCGGACGAGGGTCCCTACAACATTCATTCGACAACCCTGTGAGGTTTTGTCCCTTTGCTGCTCGCTACAAAGAGTTAGGTTTTAGCGCTAGCAGGCGCTTACCGCCCACTAGTGGCCATAGCTGCTCCTCCGCAACGTGGAGGTGGTGGAACTGGCTGATAGAGGTGGCACTATACTAGAAGAAAGGAAATGCAACAACTGATGAGGACAGAATAACTAAGTGGGTCAGTTCCTCTTATCGACGCATCGACGGTTTACAGGCCTTGTGGATCGACGGCGTGCAAGCTTGCACTTCTATTTGACCAATCCCAGGGTGACTGGGCCCTCGCCCAATTCAGAGAATCATTGGACTGCGTACTGGATAGAATTTGCAATGCGGCGCAAAAGTAAGCTGCTTCCGCTCTGAGCTACAGAGAGTTGCTTACCCCTTCCCTACAGGAAACAGCCAGTGTCCCTGTACAGACTAGCTCCCAGAAATTACCGGCTGCAGATGCCACAGCGGGGGATGGCAGAACACTGTTGATAAGTGGTCAGGAGGAGCGCAAACCCACGCGAGAGCCATACTTTTTGTGTGCAAAGTGACATGCAAATTCCATTTGTTCTGCCAGAACAGCGAGCCTGCGTCGGCGTTGCAATGAGCTTGAGACTGTCATCTGCCTCATATAAATTACTTGGGTTCGACAAGCAGAAAACTTCTGTTTTCGTACAGGAATCACCAATGCCTGAACAGCCTCTCACTATCGATTCCGAAGGTTGCAATTCGAGTTTCACGAAGATCTGGTGCTGCGCAGCACTTTGGAGAGGTGCGTCATGGGGAGTGGATGTCTCCCTTTCTATCTCACAACTGCGGAAGGCTACTAACCCATGCAAAATATGGATATTGAATCGTGCGCACAAGCACAATAAATACGTCAGATGCACCTTCAGCACTAAGTTTCAAAGGATATGCTCTTGACTGGCCGCTTCCTCGCCGCCAAAAAGAGCAGAGAGCAACTGCCAGTAACAGAGCAACTAAAATGACGGGAAAAGTTCCTGCAATGCGGGGTTCTTGTGTAGCAAAAGCCTCGTTAATGCACAGTGGGATGCCCCTCGTTCTCGTACGCTTCTGCGAAGACTCATTTTTTCTGCACCAACGTGCGCCAGTCCGCCGTTACTTCGATAAAATTCGCGTTTTGCATCCCTCTGCGACTGCATATACACAGAAGATCACAATTCTCGACTGGACGACGCACATCTACAAAGTTATGGGGTGCCATGAGAATGCAGAGGAAATCTATGCTCACACCTTGGTATTCTCAACCATCCAGTGCAAGTGCCGCAATAAAGAGCAGTGAACTATTGCCTTATATGCGCAACGAAGACAAGATAGCATACCTTGCCATTTCCCTCTCCTTCCATTCTTCAATTTTCTTCTGCTTTAATCTCTCCTTCCGTTTGTCATAGTCCTGCACACATGTACAACAGCCTTGGGAATCACTAAACTGGGACGCCAATATAATAATATATATTGGTGTTCGAATTTAATGATTCCCAAGGCTGTGAGCAGCATGTAGCTAAGAAGAACAGTTAGGAAACTGACCTCCTCTTCGGATTCCTCATCCTTCTCCCGACTCTTCTGCCACTTTTCAACGAGCTGCATGCGCTTCCGGACAAGAGGATTGGAAGAGCTGATCTTTTTGACGCCAGAGTTGCCGAGCGGCCGCTTAGCAGGCACCGCAGTCACACCAGACCCTTGGGCTCCATCCCGCGCGACCGCAGGAGCCTTTGGATCTGCTTCTTGTTGACGCTGATGATCTGCAGATCGCCAAACATGTAATTAGACGCTAAAAGTACATTGCTCAGGAAAGAAGACCAGCACTACAGTCTTTTTCAAGCGGTATGCCAATCAGCGGCCTGAAGCCCAACAAGCGCGCCGCCGCAACTTCGGTTTGCGGCACTTCAGCAGCTGCACAAGTACCTGACTCTGCACTGCATCATGAACCTGCCTGAGCACTCCAAGGACCTGCGATACAGAAGTGCTGCATCGCCTTGCGGCGACGCGCCCTGAAGAGCGCTGGCGGCCATGGAGGACCGCCAGCCTGGCAATGATTTCAGCAGCTGCTGCATGCGCGAGCCGCCCAGTTGATGGGTTATGCAGCGGGAGGCATTTTGGTTCGGCAGACCTTGGCGCATGGACTTGCTGTGTCTATGCAGCTCGTTCGAAGGTGCACAACTCAGCAAGAACCCTCCGGAAACACCGTCCTTGTGGGGTTAATGCTAAGCACCTGCCATGCCTAGACTGGGGAAAAATAACGACGAGCTGGAATGCCGCTAACCATGCATGTCTGGTTCGCAAATGTGCCCAACGGGCTACCAAAAGTCCCAAGGTTCCAAAGTCACGCAGATAACGCAGCAAGCACATCAAAAAGCTGTTGTGGGAATACCCACATCTGTGCGGAGGACTAGCCACGGGTTCTTGACCGTCTGCAAAGTATTGAACAGAACCAGCGACATACCTGCTGCTGGTGCTGCCCCCGCTTTTGCGGCTTCTGATGCTGCTGGAGGCACTTCATCGGGAAGCGTCGGTGGGGGCCCTTCAGGGGTAGGAGGGGCAGTGCACACTGCCGTCGACTCCTCGCTGGGTTTGCCGATGCCTCTTGGCACAGCACCAGCGTTCCTGGAGCCACTTGCAGAGCGGCCAGTGCCTCCCTTATCCGGCGCGGATGCGCCCGTCACATCCGCTAGGCAATTCCGAGGAGCTGCCTTTGCTGCTCCAGTGGAGGAGACAGCTGCCGCCGCAGCGGAGTATGGGAATGCGGATGCCAGTTCTTGACAGCGGCCTTCTGCCTCTACGTCATGCACAAGTTGCTTCTGCAGCACGAAATGGTCAGCACCAACACATCAAAGTCTTCTGCTGTGAGAAATTTCACGCATGGAAGTCAGTACCCTTAAAAAGGTGCTGCTGATGGGACTTCCTCTGTAGGATCTCACAGGGCCGCAGGGACTGAGGAGCTCAAATACCTGGAAATCTTGTTGCATTCTTTCAAGCCTTTTAAGGAAAAAGCTACTACTAAGGCCTCCATCTATCCAATCGTCCTGCAGGCACATCCGGCATAAAATGAACAAGCCAAGGGGGATCCAGAGGCCGCATGCGGATGTTCCTATTAATGAATCCAACGGAGCACGGCTAGCAGCCAGCATCTGAGTAGATGACAACCAAGGGGAATGCGACCTACCAACCGGGCTTTCAATGCAGCTAGCATTGCTGAAGCCCACTCCTTCTCCACATTTCCAAGACGCCGTGCAAGCGAAGAAGCCAGCGAGCGAACCTGGAGCGAGTACAAACGAGCACAACGGGTACTAGAGTGAGCTTATGAAACAGAGGCTACTAGGCTCTCTGATTACAGTGCATTTGTGCAGGTGCATAGTCGTGATAGTGCAACCAACAGCAGGCACTTTCAATTAGGTTACCTTTGCCTGCTGAGGCTGTGTTCCTCTGGACTCCGCCAGCCGCTGCCTGCATGCCAGGCACTGTGAAGGGTCGGTGCGTCGATCTTGTTGAAGCTGAAGGTCTATCAATTCCTTTAGAAATTCGTCATCTGAGCCACTAGCTTTCCCCTCTTGAAGTCGTTTTTGCCGCTGCGGCTCCCGCTGCCGCCTCATGGAACGAAACCGCTGTAAGCGCAGACTGATATCAGCCTTTTCACTAGGAACGGCTGCCTGAGTCATCGAAGAGCTATCGTGCTCTGCGTCCAATTCCTCCTCCATGAAGTCTAACTGGAATATAAGCTGCTGGACTTTCTCCGAGCACGTTGGCAGCTCCTGGGTTAGTCGAAATTTTGACGCAGCCCACTGTCGCAGGTCCTGTTGCTGCTGCTGTTCGTCATGCATTTCGCCCTGTGCAGCACTGGTGTGTACCAAGCTTCCAGGCAGCTCCCACGTAACTTCATCAGTTGTTACATTCCAGTAGTAAGTCTTGCCAGTTACAGCATCTACAACCGCTTGCCAAGCGGCCACATTCCCATGTTGTTGCTGCTGCTCACGACTAGCAGTGGTCTCCATCCGTTGGTCTGCAATGTTCTGAGGACTCTCAGAAGCGGATGGACTAAGCACTGCTAGTTGCTGGCTATCTTCCGGCGTATCCGCTACAGATGCGGTAGACGTCGCTTCTTGGCCGCCTGAAATTGAGTTCTTTTGTTCGGCTTCTCTTTGACTGTCCAGCTGCTGAATTTCCTTCATAAAAAGGACGAATTCATCGTCCACCTTGCTGCTGTCACTTTTTGCGGCCTGCTCATTGTCAGAATGTGCTTGCGCCTCCTGCTGTTCTCCCTCTTCATGCGTCTGAACAGCCGCAGTGGGAGTTGTGGACACCAAAGCACTCGACGCAGCAGGCGCGCGTGCTTTGTTAGCATGTCCTGCAAGCAACACAGCGAAAGTGGAAGAGAAGCCAAATATTAACAGCATGCTCTGCGCCAGTGTCATGACAGGCGTAGAAGCTTACGCAACAGCATCGGGCACTGCATGCACCAGGACGCACTGCCCAATTTACTTTTCATGCGAAGTTGGCGCGGTAAGAATGCAGGGGGAGGCATCTCTGAAGCCATGCTTTGGGGGACCGATGGTTCGACCACAGTTGAGGCAGGCGCATCGGGCTGGCTTTGTTCACTTTTGGTGTTGAAGGCTGCGGATGCAGCAGCAATAGCGTCGGCTGTTATTTCGGGCGCGACATCCTCTTCCGGTGGATCGCTATCTTTGCACCTTGCATCCGTTGCTGGGGCTGCAGGCAAAGAATTATGCGTGCTGATATCATTATCGCTGGGCGCCCCCTCTACAGGAGCAGGCGAAGCAAAGTGGCTGGCCGCCTCACGCACACTCGTCCTGGCCTGGTCGGGCAGTTCTGGTTCGGTGCATGTCGGTGCCTGCGGAGGCGCTGTACGGCAACTAGTTTGTTCCACGTCTTCATCTTGCGCCTTTGCATCTGAACTCTCAAGTTCGTCTTCCTGCTTCTCCAGAGTTAAGAGGTCTCTACCCGGTAACCCTTCGTCAGATCCCGTCATCAGTGCTGCGGTGTGGAGGGGAATGCATGCAGGCGGATGATACAAGCGCTTCAATCTAATATAACCATACCCTCATACTTTCTGTGTTGATTGTCTTTGGCTTCCCCATAAGCCAGCACGACTGTTAACTCCGGGAAAGCTGAGAGGCTTTGCACGTTAGGACACCGCGCACGTTCTAGACTGGACCATGCCAATGACACTGGTATTCGCATATATTAAGGTCGTCTCTGGGATATGTTTTCGCTGCCATATAGCAGGTGTAGAAGATAGCGTCAGTGCATGCGGGAAAGCGAAGATCAGAGGAATCAGAAGTTACCGGGATGCTGCAAAGTGGCGCCGGGTACGCAATGCGCAGCCGTATACAGTCCGTTTCAGGAGCAGTAAAGAACTACAGATCCCATTCAAATACACGAAAAAAGGTTGCGGTATGTTTAGGCCTATAATGCTTCTTAACAAACAATGCATGCTGATTTTGTGTGAGCCGCACGTTCGTGGGACGGTTGGGGCTTTTCCTAGGCCCCGTAGTTGCACAGTACATTTCCAGCCTATTTCCAGCATGCATGAGGAAAAAACACCAGCAACACTGATGCAGTAAGGCAACCTCCGTGCTTGCAGCTATCTATAACACAGCAAGACTCCTGCCTGCGAATTCCCTTTGGGGATCTACAGAAGCACCGGGGTCGGACCCCCTTGTCTCCCTTGCCGATCTGAATAATTATTCGGCTGGTAGCCACTCACCTTAAAGTTTCATCTCGCTCAGGGCCTTTTTCTTAGGGGTGAGGTGAACTGGGGACCTGGCTGTTGCAGCGCTGGGCTTAATGCTGCAGCACCAGCCGCGTTCAGCATGAGTTCAACTTACGGTTGGCTCACTGAGAGTGCACTGGCCATTGAAAGACCTGTTCCTCTCCGTGGAGTTTCTCAGCAGTCTCAGCTTCGCTTGTCGTCAATCGTCAGGAAGCAACGGGAGAGTCAGCAAGCGCAAGTGGATGCGCAGCGATCTCTCTTTGTTGAGGCCGCTAAAGAAGGTAGAGTATTCACGCATGATGCCCCGTGTTCCCGCAGATGGACACGTCCATCGAAAAAGGCGAGTCATATGAGCAGGTTGCTCCACCTTCCCCCTTCCCCCCCACTCCCCTCCTCCAGTGGGAAGTGCTTTAACGCAGCTGTGGCTTCTGCACTTTCTGCTGCTTTTGCCGGAATCCAAATCGCCTAAATGGGCTAGCGCATCGATCATATCATGACTAGTAACATTAGAGAGCGTTGTTCCTCTTTCCCCTGCGGAATTGCAGCCATTAGATTGGATTGGGCGGCAGTTAGCGGGCAAGAATGATGGCGTAACCTTGAGGAATGCTGCTGATGAACGCGACAGAGTAGTTAATAGTAAGGATATCAATGATGTATCGATTCACTTGGAGAGGAAGTCAAAGCTGTATGATCGACTAGGTAGGCTTTATGTCCAACACGTGCACAACAACAGAGACGCTGTGGTGCAGTCTCCTCGCAAACCAATCTCAATAGCTATGTTCCTCTGCTTGCGCTTCTTTGCATCTGCCACCCTTCAGTAGGAGGTCTGTCTTATAGTACATCCGCAGTGCAACTCCTACAACTGAATCAGAAGCGCCGCATTTCCCAAAGAGACAATCCGTTGGTGGAGCCAACTGGCCCACTGCTCTCTACCGAAGCCCTCGCTGAGCTACTGAACCTTCCCGAGTAAGAAGCAGAGGTTGAGGTTTTGTCTGACGCTAAAGACTGGGCTCCTCACAAAATCTGTAGTGCTTGTAAGCGGGTGTTGCGCGCGGAAGACTTCGTCAGTCGAACGGGCAAAACTCAGCTGTATAATATGTTTTGTGCTCTTCTTTATCTGTGGTTGTTAATTGTTGTTCTGATTTTTCGTGCAGATGTTCTGACGCTGGTCGAGACGATGAAAAGTACGTTGTGAAGCGCGGGGGGCTAACTGAACATTCCTTCCTTTCACAATGCACAACTGCATCAGCCGTCACATCCCCGCCCCTGCTCTGCTATGTACTTCATTATGTGCAGTGCCTTATGCGTGAAAGACAGACTGCAGTTCACGTCTCTTGTTTTCGACAAAATGGAGGATAGGTTTATGTAGGGCTAACTCTACGCGCTGGATCTCCAACTGAACTGCCACGTTGGATTGCAAAAGGTGTTATCTGCTGTGCTTCATGCTGTGCAGCTGTGAACAACGGCAGGCCGCTCGGTTGGTTTTTCTTCAAGCACGGTTGAATCTCTACCGGCATGCGCTGGCCCAGGAGTCATTTGCTTGAAGCAATGAACGAAAAATATCTTGCAACGAAATTAGGGATTGCGACGGTTTTCTAAGTTTGTGTGCTTCACACATGCGTATGAGGCATGGAACAAGTTATTTCAGGGGTGTGTCAGTGTTCACGGGCTCTTTACTAATTCCTGTGAAGTCATGTGGGGAGCGATTCTTATGTTCGAACATTCCCACCAATTTTTCGTACAGTTTAACGAATATGCACTTGGGGGACAGCTTACAGCCACGGCTTGTTGCCTGGTGACGCAGCTGTTCCGCCGCAGCTGTTCCACGTGCGTGACAATATAAATGTTGCCGGTTGTCGAGTGACTTCGTTAGTTCATCGTTGGAGAAATCTTCATAGGCCTGCAGTTTCGGACGAGCGCCTCACATGTGCGAGCTGCGCAGGGTGCTGATTGACGCTCATGGTACTCAGTTACATCCGTTGTGCATGTTAGCAGTTGGCACGGAGACGGTGGGAAGCGGCGGTCGATAATTCGTTGGGAGGAACTGAGAAGATGAAGGGGTCAATAAGAACCCAACAAGAAACCTTCCGAAGCAGCAGCTGCTTAGGGACGACGGTGCCTGTTGCATAAACATGGAGAGCATGTATCTTTGTATGTTTGACCAGACCAACCTAGGATTTCGAGTGAAACGCTCATCATTGCTTGTTGTAATTTCCTAGCTATCAATCAACAGAGGGCTTTTGTTGGCGCGCTATGGCGTAGCGCCACTTTTACGGCTCTTAGCAGTGAAGTTCGGAGTTGCAGATCAGAAGCATGCTTGGCATCAAATGGCCCATGGGGTGTTATTGCCTTACCGACCTCCCTCTGGACAAGGCAAGACCTGACTAGGTGAAGGAAGTTAGGGGCCGACTGTTTGCAACTGCATCACTGGGTGTCTAATCAGCGAAGGGGCGAACCTAAGGGGCCAAAAGAACACCTGCATACTGCAACAACGCAAAATAAAATTGGCTTCATATTGGAGTTACTCGCTGCAAGCATAAGAGCAAATTACTAAGAGGCTAACCAGATTCCATTCCAAGCAGCAGAGTGTTAAGCCTTACGCAGAGTTTGATGGGGGCGCGGGCTGACCCCTCACCGGTCAACGCTCTGTAAAGCTATGGAGCGATGCAGGGAAATGCTTCAACTTTTAGCTCCATTTGGCGGTTTCCGATTGTAAGACGTTGAAGAAACCTACTATCGATCCTGTCTGCCGGTTGCCATGAACGGGTAGCCCTACAGACATCGAGAACTCGGTAGCCATGGCCTTGCTAGGGCAAGAACGCCAGAATCCGATGCTGGCAGTTAGATCTTTGGTCCGTCTCCCATAGCCAATATTCCACTTAATTCAACAACTTATTGTGTCCCTTTTCAGGTTATTGAAAGCAAAAAGTGCACGAAAATCTTTCGAGGCGTCTTAAACTGTAGCCGATCAGTGGACCAATGGTTGGCCGTGTTGCCCCCTGCGGCGCTAGACTGCTCTGAATTTTGCTGCCTGCGTCCCTATCTGCAAGTCAGGCATACAAAGTAGCAACTTGATCATTGGTTGATTTAGGGGTATAAGTTTCCAAGTAGTGGTGGGCGCCCCGTTTATCTGCAGGCCCCAGCACCGCAGCCTCGCAAATGGAGGGGATGGACCCCTTTCAAGGGAGTACAGATGAAGGCTCTACTTCACCTAGCAAGACCGCTGAAGTGCTGATGGATGATACAGGGAGGAGCATGGGAGGCCTGAGAACAACGGACAGGCTCCTTGAGTCTCCTGTCGTTTCCATGGAGTCGCGTGTGGAACAGGCCCAGTTTGAACCAGTCACTGCACCTACACCGCAAAATCCCTTGGCAGCTCTTGCTGTTTACATCGATATTAACCTTCCCTCTGCTCTTCAAATGCTCCGGACAGCTGCGTCAGCCGCATTTGAAGAGGCGAAAGCCGCCCTTTCCTTTGGCAGCAACGGGAGGCTCAACACAGCGAGAAGGCTGCACCGGACACTGGAAGAGCTGTGGATTCGGCCAAATAGGCAGCTATTAAACGTGAACATTGATAATCTCCGTCTACTGCTTGGAAGCTTACGACACCAGGGTCACCGTTCCAGACTGGGCATACCCACCCTGACGAGCTCAAGCGATGAAGCGCCGACTATTGACTGCAGTGACGTGGCTGAAGCAGATCTGTGTACGAAAGCGGGTGGAGCCAGTCCGCCTTACGGGTTATCGGACGGCTTAATAGACTATGGCTCGTCAGACAGTGAAGTGTTTTCTGCGGACTCTTTGCCAACGGCGTGGCGGCCCATGTGCAGACATGACGGAACATTCATAGCACCTCCAATAGAGCTCCTCGCTGCTTTTGCGGGCTCTAGAGATACATATATTCCCCATTGTGGCCGATATTCCTTCATTCATGAAGGTCTGGAGCTCTGGAGATCTGCCGAGAGGACCACTGTTCAGAGCACCGTGGGGTGTGTCGTGGGTCTGTGCGTACGCAGCCTTCTGGACCTGTATATTCAGGCAATCCGTTCGCTGCAACCCGGGTTGTTGCCGAAGCGTTCTGTGGTACTCGTTACAGCCGTTAACGTGCCGATGATGTTCAGGGTGTTAGAAGAGCATCACTTGATCGTGCAACCACTGGATCTGGACCCACACACGCTGATGCCCACAGAGCAAAGCTTGCAACAGGCAGTGCATTGCTGGGGATCTAGGGTTAAAGCACTTCTGTGTACTCACCTTTACGGAGGTCTCTGCGATTTACAGCCCCTGGTAGAATTCAGCGCAAAACACAAACTTTTGCTCATTGAGGATTGCGCAGAGTCGTTCGTCGGAGAGCTGTACAGAGGTCAGTGGCAGCTGCTGCGTTGTCGTTAATATTTCCCTTGTATTAATATTCGGTACGGTTCTGGGTTTTCCACACCCGAGGTGCAGCTGCTTAGTGTTTCCTGCTCCGTCCGCGTTTTCCATCTTTAGGCCACCCTTGGGCGGATGTCAGCCTATTCTCCTTTGGGCTGATCAAGACATGTACTGCTGCTGGGGGAGGCATTGCAACTGTGAGCTTTATGACCATCTTGCCCACGCTGGTGGTTGAGGCTAGTATATATAGCGTAGTATTTTGTTTTCCCCACAACCTTTCCACGGGTTCGACAAGGGCTTTGGACAGCGGCAACGGAGTTTGTCTTGCTTTGTTTTGCGGGGTTTCTAAATTCACCTCTCTCGCAGGTGCGCAGTCGGCTTGTCGCTGCACGGATGCGTTCTTTGCAAGCATTGTACCAGTTCAGTAGCCGTCGGACATTTTTCAAAAAGCTTTTCGTGACTATAGGGGCATGCGGACTGCAAAATGAAATGTTTATGAAAACGCTCTTGAGATTTTGCTAGTAAGATAGCGCCGTGCACACCAGATTTCGGGGGGCCTAAAGCTGGTGATCAACAGAAATAGCTCCCATCTCTGCAGAAAGTAGGCGTGCGGGTGTTACTATGTTTACTGCTTTTCGCCTGAAGCGTGTTTTCCACTGTGCGTGTGGTCTCGTGAAAGTGCGCTAGGCTGGAATCCAGGAACGTTTCTCCAGTCTTTCGTAAGGTTTTTCGTGTTTGGCACCGCAGGTTATTCAATAAGCATTGCTGCAGGAAGGATAGCGCTTTCAAGGCTGGAGATGAAGCGCCGTAAAATGTCTGTAATTTCGTTGTGAGTGCTATGTATTGTGCAGGTACGCGGGTTTCCGCCCACAGGGGAGCTGTTCAAGCTGCTTCGGTTCCAACCGAGCTCTTCGCTTCTTGCAGTGATCTTGTACGAATTATATGCTCATTGCACTGTATACTCTGTGGTTAAATTTGATGCTAGTTTATTTTGGGGCTATATTAGCCTGTATGCGTGAAAAATCTCAGGAAGAGACTTGACTCGTGGAATTTGAAGGAATTTATTGAGCAGCAGCTGCGTACAACAAGATTTGCTCGGAGGCTGCAGAACTTGGGTTTCCATATTCCAGGAAGTGGCTCTGCTTTCAAGACTTTTTGGTGGGGTGGTGCAGAAAGCTTTCTTCTCTTGTGACCTTGGCCTCACTTTTTCCAGGCATTTTGTGCTGGCCAAGCACCTTGGGATGGCTTTGCACCTTCCCTCACGCCGGATTTGCACCTGATATTTGTCCACATTTGGAAATGAGCATATGGCAGTTGGAGTTGAACGCCATTTATCTTAAAGAATTAACGGCAGAGTTTTAAAGGGGCGCGAATTAACTGGTGTTATTTCTTTGCTGGGCCACGAATTTCAAGGGTTGTTGCGCTTTTACCCTGCAGACAAGAGTGCTATGCATCGTGCGCGCAGGCTATTTCCAGTTGTCACACCAGATGGCTGGACTGTTTCGGAGTTCGCGGCTGTTCTTCGGGAGAACGGGTTGTTTGCTGCTAGCGACGCTACTACGCTAGTCTGCTGTACTGCAATCCCAGGCGGTGCAGGGGGTGTAGGATTTCCGAAGACAGCTGCTGAAGTAATGCGCCGCATTGTGTATTTGCCAGTAAACCGAAACTCTACACAGCATCAGCTTCTGCAAGTTGAGGCAGCAGTGGCAAGGGCATGCAAATGCGAACCAAATATGCTCATGCCTTACATATGTGGTGGCTTGAAAAAGGCAGAGTGTGGAACGCCAAACACGTACAGAGGCGAGAATTTAGCATTGCCGCGTCGAGTGCCGCACAAGGCTAATATTGTTTCTTAGAGCATGGCGAGCTCTACAATTTCTCAAGTGTCTTTATTGGGATTTTGACATAACCGCTGAGTACAGCGGTGCTTCAGCTTCCCACGAGAAATTTAATCAAAAGGATGCGTGCTGCAAAAAGCACTGCAGCTCCTGTCATTTTCATGGATGTAGGGCAAGGCTCTTGATCCGATAGAAAAGATATCTATTAGAGATCTTTACAAAAGGATATGGTGCCCAGGGTTGCTTTCTCGCCAACATTGCTAGACGATGCATGCGCCGTTTGGCACGTGCAAACTTCTCTTTGTTGGTAGTTCGCTGACCAAGTGGTGTTAAACAGGGACTGGGCTGTGCCGCTGGAGGCATGGGTAGATAGTCTTCTCTCCTTTTTTCTGCAGTAGACTTACTTCGGGAGTACCAGAATTTCAAGTGAAACTAGTGCAGCTGCCCTTTGTACATACGTAGCAGATCCTAGGGGTGTTCGTGACCCCGGGCAGCGTGGCACTGCCCTGTTTCACAGAGGAGTGCAACACTGCGTTGAACCCACTTTTCGGGGTCGTCATCTGCAAAGGTTCACAATGAAACAGCCAGGATTGCATATGACTGCCACAGATTGTAAACAGCGTTAAGGCGGAAGAGGTGCAGCTTATGCAAGCAACGCTTTGGTCTCAAACCTGTGGGTAGATCCAAGAAGGTGACAACATCCGCACAAGCCGCCCGGTCAGCCGTTCTGTACACCGGGCACCTGTTTTACGCAACGTAAGATGGGGAGTGCAGTCTTATGGAACAAGCCTGGCTCTCTAGTGGAGTGTTGCTGCCAGTGAGGGACAGAAGCTGCGATTATAATATATGGGCTATGCTAACTTATATCTCCTTCCTTGTTCCGCTGGAGACAGCTTGGGGACCAAGTGAATAGGCGGCATCTGCTGGAACCTTTCATGTGGATTCGCGTCACGAAGCACTCTATCTTCAGCGGACCATGCAGCCCCCTGCAGGGACAAAGTGCGCATTTCATTGTGGACTAAAGGCAACTGTAAACAGCGATTACTGGTGGCAAGATACTGCGGATATTGAGAATCGATACCTGCATAGATTAGGGTGATTTTCCTCGTGAGAGTAGTTATGAAGCTCAGCGTTGGAGAAGTTGCTTACCTGGAGGGAAACTCCTGTGATGAAGATTTCGACATCTTCAGGATTTTGCGGGCCAGATTTGTTCTCGTGATCAGAGAAGGCCGCACACAGTGAGACACTGGACGGGGGCTCCTGAGGCGATCCAAATTTGCCAAGTATTCTTTTGTTTAGGATGTTTCTAAGAGAAGTTGGTTCCATCAACAGTTGTCTATCCTGCACAATAGTCTCATGTAGGTGCCCAATTGCGTACAGATACAACGGATGCTGGTTACTGCGTGATCCGCTAGCCTAAGCCTGCGACAGTTGGGCTTTGTGGAGTGTAATAAGCTTTGATTTTCTTTATTTTGTACCTTTAAAACACGGGCGACAACCCTCAAGGTCGCTTTGAAAAAACTTTGCGGATTGTAAAATGTTGCTATGTTGAAGACCGTAGGTGGGCCGTTTTGTGCCCAGCGCTTCGTGCTAGTAATGCGCTTCCCAAGATCATGAAGCCATGCCCCAAGGCTGAGTTGTGAAGGATAGGATGCAGCAATCCACGCTGTGGGGACCTTCTGGAAGTATAAGTCCTTACTGAGGTTATCCAAATCCTCAGTCATGACGCACCAGCCCCGTAGTGCCTGCAATTATGTAAAACGTATGCACTTATTTACTAACTGGTTCATGCACACAACGTGCATTGTAAACTTGAGGGTTCTGTCGCCTGTTTTTACGCTCCTTGTAGTGACACGAGAAATAGCGGCTCGTAACTGTCCTTAAATTGTGGTCACATTTTTCCACAGTGGGCTGCTGTGGGCGAGCATACCTCGAGAAGCTGGGTGAGGGTCATTCGGATAAATGAGAGGAGCACATTGTAACTGCAAAGCTCTCCTTTGAGGAAGTTACTCAGCGGAGTCAGCTCACAGAGCCCTATTTGGGAGTTTTCGTGGGACTGAAACACCTCCTTGCTAGCTGTTTCCTCAGAAATATCCTCAGGCACTTTGCTTAGTACTTCTGAAACCATGCTCGTGAGGCTTTCCTCTCTGTTCCCTCCTGCGTGCGTTTGCATTTCCCTGTGGGCCCTGACAAGAGAGTCTAGAAGTCGACTGCTCTGCATCTCCTTGTACCTGAGGCATAAAAGCAAATGATGCTGCCTAATGACCTTGTGAAGAGGGAAAAGGTGAGTACATTTTGAAAGTCTGTAAGCACCGCCAGCTTAATACCGCCTTCTTCAAGCTCAGTGCTGACGTACACCAACGCAGCTCCAGGGTCAAGGCCCAGAATCTGAGGAGCCGTATCAGCTGGCAGGCACATGGCGAATTCCGTCATATCCTCGTAACCGTAGTCCGATGGAAGGACATATCCTCGTAACAATGGGTCTGCAACGTGAGACTCAATGTCAGCTGCGGAAAAGCAGCGTTTTAATAGTGAAGCGAGCAGCCTTTGGTCCACTTGATCAGTCACACGACCTCCGTAATGTATGTCTGCTGTCAAAAAGACTATCCTATCCCACGGCATCCTTTCTTCTTCAGCAGCAGATGCAGCCTCGAACAAGCTTTGCTGGGAAACCTGGGGCACCATATGATCAGGGGAAGGTTTTGGACCTTAAGCAGCATTGTTCTCTCCCTCTCAGAAAGAGCGTCTCTACTAAAAGTAATACAGGCTTGTTGGAAGGTGAACTCAGTATACGAAGCAACTGTTCTGCCGCATCGCACTCGGAAGTCGAAAACTGTCCATTCGTAGGCCTTGTTCCAGCCGAGCGCTCCATATTTTCGTCGTTCCGAAATAATGGAGTGGAAAAGTGCTAGGGAGAAAAGCCAGCGCTTGTAGTTGGGGCACTCTGCAATGTCCTCTGCCCCGCAGTTCTCTAAGTCACTGAATGTTTGCAAGATATTATCTCGAAGGCCCTGCATCCATTATGCAGCAAGCAGTATTAGCCACTTATTTACCACTGTGCATAGCATCAACTGCAGTAGGTTAAACTGCTCAATATCTGCAAATTCATTGTTTTCAGTGTTTCGTTGAAGCCTTTCAGAGACTGCTTCATCGAACATTCATCCTTCCATAGCATAGCGTCAGCGATCAGGGTAAGCATACAGTCGGTGGTTCAGTGATAATTTTGATGCTTTGCTTGAGTATGCTGGTTGGAAGGATGTTTGTAGGCTGTGATGTCATGAACAGGCGAAACCGCGGGTGCATTTCTTCCTGGTGGAAGCGTTCATACAGTTGCTGAAGAAAAGGCATGAATGTCTCAGCCAGATGGCAATTTTGCAGGCAAACCCAATGGCCCTGCTCCCTAAGTACCACAAAAAGCGCATTACAAGAGCCAACTTCAAGGCATATTCTTGCTGGGTCTGATCAGTAAGTGGAGGTAAATCCTGGCAAGCATTGCTAAGTGAGTTTGTCAACTCACACAGCCATGCTTGCCATGTTTAGCTCTAGGTATCACAAAAACGCCTACCTGGCTTCCTGCAATACTTTCTCGGCTGCTTTTATCTGGCCCTGTCCAAGCGACAGAAAGTGCAGATGGCCTTCAGGTAACGAGAGACGAGCAGCTAGAACCTTTATTGACCCTAATGGGTCACTTCCAGGAGACAGGATGAAGATTAAAGGCGTTAATGGCGTAGACTCTTCCAATGCCTTCGATAACTCTAGCTGGGGCGGACATGCGTACCGCGTCCCTAAAACGCTTTGTACGTATACTCGGCAGCCAGCATGCAACTCTCTTGCCCTGCTCGAACCGTGCACGAACCAACACGTTAGAGACGTCCATTTATTCATCAGTGAGTTAATCACCATGCTGGCGATGTTAAAGGAATTCAAATACATGCTTGCTGCGCCCACAAATGGGTGAAGAGCAAACCTGATGGCCCTGATGGCAACTAAAGAAGCAAAATCCCCTAGATCTTCTCCGCGGAGTTTGGGCAACTGTGGCGGAAATTCCTCCTCATTCTCGAGTACGGTCCTCCATTCACCGTCCTCATCTGCCGCTGCTTCGGCGAATCCGCGAAAGCAACCGCCAACAATCTTGTCTAAAAAGCAAATATTGTTCCAAATCTCTAGGCTTGTCCAAGGCGGCTGAGATCCCCACAATTCAAGAGAGTGCGCAGCATCACTGTAGCGGGCTCCAGCGTGCTGTAGGAGAGCATTTGTGGCTGCCTACGTTAAATTAACCGACTGTGTTATATAGTGGAGTGCCGGAACCTTACAAGCACAGAGAACCTCGTGTCTGGCTTATCTCACCTTAGAGACATTGACAGGATCCGCATCGCCTTCTGTTGCTCCTCTCAAAAGGAACTCAAGCATTTTCTGCGGAACGTTATCTGCCTCAGAATCAAGAGATTTTGCAATCATAAATGCGAGGACTAGCCTATGTGGCTCTAGCAGCCCCCTGCAAGTGTTGCAGTACACTTCCCAAGTAAGGGAATCTTTGAGTTTTTCTCCGCGGGCTTCGCCAGTATCTTGGCAACGCAGCAAGGTCAGCTGAAGTCGCGCTTTGAAGGCCTCAAGGGACCATAGGTAGAATGGGTGGAGGTGGGACATAGTTTGCAATGCAAGATACAGCAATGCCCCTCGACGGGAAAGGGAGTTGTAGAGTTTCCGGGTTTCTTCAAGCCTGTCAGATGTGGTAGAAGCTTCTTCCATGCGTCTTTCAATCGCCTCATATGTCAAGCGTGAGTCATTCAGAATATCCAAGAAGGTGTCATCCGCAAGTATGTCACCTTCGGCGTTGGCTAAAAGCTTTGCATGCAGAGCATACGGCAATGCGCACAGTCGGGATTTATAAGATTTTCAATGCTTCTAAAGTAACTCGGTTGTCATACAATTCAAGTGCAGTTTAAAACTGAAGACAGAATCTGCATGGCTGGTTGGTGTCATCTGGGAATGTTGCGCAGGAAGAATGCTCTTTCTTAAATTACCGAAAGAATTTTTTCCTGGATTGCAGCCTTGAGTTCCAGGTCGTTTGCAATGTTCACTACGAGCACGCCGCGTTGCTCTTCTAGATATGGCGCTTCGTGGAGAATGATCTGGTTGAGCAATTGCTCTTCAAGGCTTGCCGGCGTAACCCTGAAATTGATGACACTTAGCTGATTATGCATCTCGGGGGCTAATTCCGAGGGATACAATTTCGTTGCCAAGACCATTCTGAAATGTGGACTCCAGAGAGCGGTGTGGTCGCCGACGTGAACAACGGTCCGTCCTTCTGGCTTGACTTTCTGTAAGGCAGCAAGCACGAAGGAGTTTCCATCAGTGCAACACTGGGCATTTGGGTGATCAACGCCTCATTTAAGACGTGTTTATCGTAACTAACTGAGCTTAACTGAGTGACAACTACCTAGCCGCTCAATTTTTACCACCGCCATACCACTGTATTTGTCAAGGCTCCTAGTGCTGGGTCTAGCGCCGGCTCGGAAAGAGTGACAAGAACTATCATCCCAGCAGTGACTGCTTCAGATAGGGATCGCAACAGATCAGCGTCACTGGATGAGACTTCCATGAACTCTCTTTTGAAGTGGCGTTTTCTGAACCAGCGGGTACCCTGGTCGTCAGGGTCTATTATCAAGGGAGGTTTTGGAGAGTTCCAGACCAAAATAGCATTTTCAATTGAAGCTATATCGGATGGCAATCCCTCGAGCGACCACTGCCTAATCTCCGACGGGGTTGACATAGTTCGAGCCAGGGAAAAGTCTCCTCGGACATTCAATCCCTCTTCGAGGCAAGCGGCCAGCCACAGGCGGCTCAGCTCTTCGCGATATTCGCGAGTAAATGGCCCAGCATAAACAAGCATACCTGAGGACCAACCATCAACAGTTTTGTTTTTTTAAGGTAACCTGGAATTCACTTACGGGCGCATGTTCCTTCAGAACACACAATATTGCTTCACATGTTGCGGAAGCAAGGTATAGATGGCGAGAGAAGGGCACAAATGCAGGTAAGCGCTGGCCAGGATTACTTAGAGTACCCGCTGCCAAAAGCACATCGCTCAAAAGGTTGGACATGTCGTCCTGTAGGGCTCTGGCATCTACTGCCCATCTAGCTCCTTCCACAGATACTCCAGATAAGACTTTTGCAGCCCTGGAAAGACGCTGTTCCGTGATCTGCATTTGGTTTTCCAAGTCTTTGACTCTCTCCTGGCATGCATCGTGTTGGTCTGTCAGGGACTGGACCCTGAACAGGCAATGCCAGCACGTGCTGATCACGAATATCACTCCTTGCATCCTAGCATTCCGTCTGCTCGTTTCCACTGCCTTACGGAGCTCGTGTTGATTACTTCGAACTACCGAGTTGGCTACTAACCGTGCTTGGACGTCATCTAGAGATCGCTGCTTATCAGCCAAATTGTCCTCCGCCTTCAGTAAAACAGCTTCCGCCTCCGTCAGTCTCTTTTGTTTAGGCTCCATGACCTTGAGCACCTAAATTAAGCCGCATTTTGACTGGTAGGACTTTGGAACGAACAACTGCCACTTTAAAATTTTTGAAAGCACCTGGAGCCTGTGGCGTTGTGGCATGTGGCTTTGCTTACTTGCGCATAGCTTTCTATAGCTCGCACCCACATGCATAAAGAGGTTGCGGCCTTTGACACATTGGCGACCCTCTCAGGGAGGAAGTCATCAAGAGTGGTATATTTGCTCAGCTGCTGCAAAATCTTTGGCGGAATGTGATCCTTGTCGTACTCGCGCAACGTGATCAACAGTGAGGTGTCATTTAGAACCTTTTTAGCTTCATCCCATGACTCCTTACGCCCCAGAAGGACGCACACTGCATTCATGACGGTTTCGACGAGTGATGGTGGAGCAGGGAATGACTTTAATTCCTGCAAATCTCGTTTGTCTAGGGCTTCAAGGGCCTTAATTGCTTGGTGCAGGAGCGGCATTACTTCATCTATGTCTCGTTGACAGTCATCACGTATGGACTGAGCTTCCAAACGGGCTGCGTCGGCTGCAGCTCTTTCGATTGAGCAGCTTTGTTCCATCAGCGCTGCTTTCTGCGTATTGTTGGCACAGAGCAGAATTTGCAAAGAAAATATCTAACCGAACACACTAAGTGTACAAGTATATCTTTAGGTGCTCCAGGTCATGATGTTTTAGTTCCCGATACACGGGCTAAATTGAAGACCGGACCTCCTTATCTCCTGCCAATGAGATTGCAACGGTCGTCGCCTCTTCCCTTGACTTCTCGAGCAGTGGCTGGTCTGCCAGCAGCTTTGCCTTCATGTTCTCGACTGCGGTTGACGTTTCCTCAAGCTTGCATATTCCCGAGGAATATTTTTGAAGGCGGTCGTCTGCATGATATCATGAGACCTTTAGCGCCTGTGTTTCTTAAAACGCGTTGTAAGCACCCTCCTTCATCCAGTGAGAAAAAGAACACGCTGAGGAAGCTCTATTTACACCTACCTAAGGTCTGTTTCTTCTGTGCGAAAAGCGACAGGTATGTTCGAACAACCTCCACGTACGACGTGCACGTCAAGTGGATAGGCTCTCCAGTAAGAGTGATAAATTTCTCCGTTACTCGTTCAGCTATTGAATACATTTCCGCTGATGCGCTTAGAGCACCACAAGGTGAAACGGCTGTTGCTACAATAAGCTATCCGGTTCACGTAAATACAGCGTACAAAGTAGATGAGTGCATGGCTGTCTCCTCAAGCAGTTCTGCTGCAGCGGCCGACGTGCGTTCGCCAAGGATCTAGTGATTACCATGTACCTCGATAACATACGGGCTTCGTCCGTGCTGAACAGGGGCGATTTGGCCAAAATTTTTGTGCCTATGGCGTGCAATGCAGATCGTGGCCATGGGTCGTAGAAGTTCAGCGTGCAGCCGCTCAACAAACCTGGCAGGCGACGGCATCTTGCTCTGAAAATACAGTATCCATTAGTTCCAGTCTAAACGAGTTTTCCGTATAGAATGAACGAAGCCGTTTTTCTCTTAAGCTGTGCTTTTTTGCAGATGTGGGAATGGCTTCAATCAGATACACTGTCGTCGTCAACGGTAAGACAGCGAGCTATTTATAGTACTAAGCGCCGTGCAGGTTTGTACAAATTTAATTGGTACAGTAAAATCACTTACCTAAAAGCTTCGCCTGAAGCGGACATGCTTATGACAAAGTGAAGTTTCCGTTGTACTAACGATGCCACGGCTTCCCAACCATCAGACGTGCTCGCGGGCTCCGGTTTTTCAGGGGACCTTACTTGAAAAGACAGTTGTTCTCTGTCGGACTGGTCAAATAGTCCAAGGATCTCTCCTGCAGTTTGCACAGGATTTCAGATGCTGCCGCACACAGCTAGAAAGGAAGCATTGGAATAGGAAGTCTCTCAGTCGATGGCTATACAAACTCTGGATTCATCAGTTTACCTGTAGCAATGATGCTTGTTATGTCCTGGAGCCATTCTTCATGCTTAATTTTGCATTCTGAAATGCGGAAGACCAAGTCTTTTCTGTCTGCGCAGATTTTTAGAATGAGATCCCGGAGGTCTTCTCGTGCGTCGTTGGGGCTCCAGCGAGACCTAGTTGATATTGTAACGGTGCTGTACTCCATGATTGAAGCAGCAAGACGTGACAAACTTTCACGACCTGCCAGGATACAGCAAGGAAACAAGGCACACCTGCCGTTGTCCTTTTACCTGAGATGCGGCTTAGGAACTTCACCTGTTTCTCATTCACTAAATATGCCCTTTTTCTGCACCGACAAAAATCGCAAGACACTTATTGGTAAGTTCAAGCAGTTCTTGAGGGTGCGAAAGGCTGACCTGATCCGTTTGTACCGAGCAGCAGCGCATGACCCCCAGGTACCCGGAGTATTCTACAAAGCCGAGCGATATGCTTGTTGGCGTGCTCAAAGAACACCAAGTCAATGGGTGTCTTTGCGTCTGCATTGTACTGCTCCAGGTACCTGTAGGGACAGAATCCTCCTGAATGATTCGGAAGTGACGGTATAGTGTAACGCACTTCTCTTTTTGTGGCTATATTCGGGTGTCCAATTTGCACCACTTTAGAGGTAGGTGAACCAGCAATGATAGGCAGCCAAGGACTAAGTCTCGCCTAGTGAGCAGTTCATTCATTTCTTCTTCCGAAGCGAGAATCTCCGAGTAGCTTTTGCTGGAGTTCATCTGGGCAAAGTCGCCGAACAGAATTTGAGAGCAAACGCAGTCTGCAAGTTCACTTTTTAGCTGCAGAGTAGCCGAAACTTGTTTGACTAGCATGCGCTCCGTCCACTTTCGGTCCTCTATTGACACCAGCCGATCTCCGAATTGCCTCTGCATTTCGTGCAGCCAGAGTCTGTTCACAGCACAAAATCAGGAAGAGGGAGCTTTAGACTTGCTTTGTGTACCCTAGCAGGCGCTGAATGGTGGATATGCCACAGTGGACCGTACCGGGCAATGTCAGTTTTGGTCTTAAGTTTACTAGTGTCAGCCATAAGCATGACTTCCAGGGCTCTAGAAATATCTCGTATGGTAAAAGTGTAGTGGCATTTGAGAGGCGTCGGGAGCAAGTGTGACGTGATCCGTTCATATGCAGCTACAGTGGCTTCAATTATCTCTTCTGCACAACCAGAAAGGGCCGGCAGGCTTCTTGCCCATGCTCCTCGCAGGACTTGAGTGAAGATATTCTTCGTATCTTCTGAAGAGAACTCGTCTTGGAACAAAACATTAAAGTGGCGAAGAAGCCTGGCATGCGCGCAGTCCACATCTAGCAGAGTTCCAGCATGTACTATTTGCATAAGCTCTGCTTGAGATGTTGCTCCTAGCACAATTAATTTCTGCAAGGCGTTGATGCTCAATAACTGACTCACCGCATGTCTGTTATAGTTCCTGCTACGTCCGTTGCGCCGGCAAGAACAGTACTTGTGTCTTCAACATGAATAAACTGGAAACGAGTACGTTCGAAAAAGCCTCCATACTCGACAATTTGTCTCAATAATTGGTGAGGCCTCTGAGCCCCAAATGTATCAGGGACAGGCGATGCGAGATCGTCAATTAAAAACAGCATTCGAGAGCCGTATGGCGGTCCTAACGACCGCCGGTGCCGCTTAACAAAACGGGACATCAAAAAATCCTCGACGTCGTCTGTGGTAGTCCTATGTGCCAACGCCATTTTACAGCAGACCTCTAAGGTGCCGGGAGTTCTCATGCACTCTTGGAGATGTGCACTCTTGCCAGTACCGGGCTTTCCATTAAGCAAGCATCCGTATCCGCCCTGCAGATTCCAGTAGGAGGTACACTCTGTAGCGCGCATGTTTGTGAACGAATGCTCCTAAATCGCTTGCAAAAGTATGTGGGACTTGTCGTTCTAGCTCATCTGACTGCAACTGTAAGAGTGCTCTGCGTGTTAATGAAGGCTCACCTCCACTAATGTGCGCAGAATGAAAGAGGTAGCAGCTGTTCGAGCAGTTGGTACAAAAACGTTGCTAGCTCTTACTCCTCCTTCCAAAGCGTATTTAGGGATCACTGTATCGAAATTCTTGAACTTCAAGGTATCGGCTTCAGGCATTATGTCATATATGGTTGTGGAAGGCAACAAGCCCTTAAGCTGCTTGCATATCTTGCAAAGGTCTGGTAGCAAGGCTTTTGAGAGACCAGCTCGGTGTGCATCACCCAGGTGTCCTCCAACACCCCACGACATTGCAACAACGAAGTACATGCTTGCCAGTTCCGCTGCGTGCTCTGCAGGAATTGGCTGCCCAACCTCCCTACTTAGCACGGCTGTAAGGAGGCGGCAAACTGATGCTGCAAGGAACGAGTCGCTCCATGGCGTCAATAGCTGAGCAAGAGTAACACCCATTCTTCTTGTGCAAGCACTACTGGCACTTTGAAACGCAAGTAAAAGTTTTAGGGGGCCCCATCTAGCTTATCTCTGTGTCACGCACTGCTGCGAGTTGTGACGAAACTGAGCGAAAGTGGCTGTGTGGAATGCCGGACTCCAGAGTAACGCTAGTCTTTTTACGGTTGAAGAACGGAATCTCGCGAAGGCGTACCTTGCAGTTTTCACGTATGTACTCGAGAGCTTTTCGGAACGTAGCGACACACCAGCTCTCTATTTGAGGAGCAAATGAGGCCAACTTGTTTTTCTGCACCTCAAATGATTGTCTCCATGATTGGAACAAGGGCATCCAACCTCGATGCTCAGGCTCAATAAAGACAGTTCCACATCTGCTAACCGTTGCGGGGGACGCAGCTCCCAAGTCCTACACCACAATTCAAATCACATGAGACCAATCAGAGGGCTAGTATTTCTCCACTCCCCAGAAACGCCTATAGATAAAGAAGGCATCGGAGTAACAATTGAGTTCTGCTCCATACTGTTTGGAACTAGTCAAAACTCACAGCAACTTCGAAGAAAAATTTGAGGTTGCTCGGCAGCAGAATGCGCTCGCCATTGCTGAGACATAGGATCTTGTTGTCGTCTAAAGCAGAGTTTAAGTTCTCTGCCCAGTTTGGATCTAAAGGCCCGTCGAAAACAATCCAACTATGGGCAATGCTTTGTGAAGCAAGGGCGTTCCTAACCCGCTGGAGCAAAACAGGAATTCACAGGTCTTGTTTTTCATCATAGCCTGCAGAGAGGGTATATTCCACTGAAGAACTCCAATTAGTTGGGCCAATTGATATTCAACGTGTTGAGCGCACCGTTGCTACGATTCCGTCGAGCCACTCGGTGGTGTTGGGGTCCAACCTGCCGAAGAGGAGCGTCTCCTCCATTGCTTTGGGATTTATCCGTAACACTTCGCATTTACCGTTTTGTTCTTTGGCGCTTCCATGTTGAGCATTCTCAGCAGGCGTTTGAGTCTCGCTTTTCGCGTTAACTTGAGATAATGCCCTTGACAGACCAAGGATCAGGGTTGATTTCCCTGCTCCCGGAGCTCCGACCTAAGAATACGTTTCACTTGGCGGCATTTGACACTGGGATATCCAGCAGTATGCTAGGATGAGCTCAGCAGGCCAGTGAGCCATGAAGCCCTCTGCTTGTGAAATTTAAGGGGATACCAAAATATGCCGCTCTAGGAAGGTTGCCTGTTTCACCCTACCACCAGGACTCCGTGCCTGAGTTGTTGGGTCTGATGTAGCTGCATTGCCTTTTCTACAAAGCTAGGTAAAGGCTGGAGATGCTGTTCTTGGAGAATTTCTTCAAACGCGAATTTCAACGGATCATCAGATGGTCTGGGCACCGTCTGTTGGGGGAACATGTCGGCGACGAGACCCAAATAAGCAGGAACGTCTTCCTTTACAAGTCTTGGCACAATAGATCGCAGCGCGTGCATCATAGCACCTGCTTCATCCAGAGCAGGCAGCCTCTTCTTCACCTCTCCTTCACGCAGATGCAACGAAAGAGCAAACAGCTGCCTTTTTCGTGACCTAATGAGGATATGCAGAGATTGTATCCGAAGCTCGTTCTTTCACCTTTCATACCGAACTCACCAGCATTAATCAACACGGCTTTCATTGCTCTTAGTCCCCAGTCGTAATGAGTCTGGTGGCTAAGTAAAGCGCTTGCGATTGAAAAAACCTCCACCACCTTGGTTGCCAGTGCACTGGCAGTGATGAAGCCGTTGGCAAGCAAGAGAACCTCGGCAATCAGCGTGAAGTCTGGCTTGACCATTGAAATCGGTCTAAAGAGCGACTGCAAGTTTTCAGGAAGCTCCGTCCTACCAGCGTAACCTGGATTGTTGGTAATGCAAATTCCTACCCTGGAAGGTTCCGCACACACAGTGAAAGAGTTCGCGCGCATTCATCTGTAACCACTTTGTGAAGGACCTGGGAAACAGCAAGCCATCAGCTTTCCCTTTCGCTTGCCTGTGATCAACGTGCGTGCTTCTTCCATCGAATTCCATTGTGTCCCTCTGAGCTCGTATTGATGCCTGGATCTTCGAAAGAAGTTGTGCAACGACTGATAAAACTTCTATGTCAATCCTATTGAATTCGTCGAAACAGGCCCACGCCCCAGTTTGGGCAAGGCCGCGGAACAGGCGGGACATTACATGATGGTCCAATTCTTTCGAGCAATTAAATACAAGGCAAGGTACACCAAGGGCCTTCGCCAAGTCCTTCACCGTTTCTGTCTTGCCTGTGTCGCAGAGTATATGGACAGGTTTATGCGTGCAACGACGGCTCCGGCCCTTTCCCTGCAAGGCACGGCGATGGTAATGAAGGTTCTGCGACTTCATCAGTGCAAATAGTTTTTTCTTTGGCGCTATCTGCACGAGAGGGTCCTCCCTACCTGTTCCAGCCGGCCCAGCAGGCGCTCCCCCGTACCCAAGATGCAAGGCGGAAGTAACCGTCATGAAGCACTTATCAGTAAGGGGAGTGATTACAAGTCTCGACGCACAGCCAAGATACTCATGCCTATACCGGAACCTAAAAGTACGATAGCAAGCCTCTATTTGCTGTTTTGAGTAGTGCGGTGGATGCAAGTATATTTAGTGCGTTTTTACAATCTTTCCGGAGAGCCCTATTGGTTCCTCAAGCCGTTTTCTCAAACCAATGCTCCGTTTTTCATATTTAATTGTCTTACCTTGCCTGGAGCTGTTCCATGTCACAGTCTTCATCCTCTGAGTGCCAGTAATAACGCAGCTGTTTTATCCATTCAAAGCATGAAGGGCCTATGTCCTTTGATTGATGCAAGGAATTTAGGATGTCTCGGGCATGCACCATCAAAACAAGGAGAGACTGGGCTAACGTTTGAGATGATGAATCCGCTGTCTGTGCATTAAGCATCGCAAGCCTGAGTTCACGCATGACGACATTCAAGTTCAAGCGTGAGTGTTGTTTCTCACACAAGAGATAGCCCTTTTTCCGGACTTCCAGTCTACCAAAACAATAATAACCATCTACGTGAGGCGAAAAAGCAGTGGTATCGTTTGGACGCCTCTCACTGCTGAATATCCTTGTTCGTTTCTTTCAAACAATCTTCAAAGGCGGCGTAATCTCCATCCGACTGCATGAGTTGCAGAGCATGTTCCGTGTTGGAGCACCAATATATCATCGCTGCGGTCAATACGCACTGTGCAGGGTGCTCATACACCCAGTGTTGCACATCCTGCCCTCCACCAGCTCGGCTTTGTAATGCGACCTTTAGGCGACGCTTCAAGGATGCTACCATGGCGGTTTCAAGTGCTGTAAACCATTGTTGGACGGGAGCTAGAGTGCTAACGGGCGAGTCCAGGTCTAATTTATCCCCGTCCGCAGAATAGAGGCCTTCTATCGTTGTCCCATTTGATGCCACAGCAACAGCGCGGATTCCATCAAAGCACTTTTGAAAGCTGTGCTGCAAAGCGTTGGGCTGTTTGGCCTTAGATACAATCTTAATTAGCTCCTCCCTAGAGAGGAAATAGAACCTGGGAAAGGCCATCCGCTTCAGATCAAGGTAGTCCTGCGCGAAACACCGAAGGGAGCCGTGCCTTCAATTTGGTATTCTCCACCACGAGCAGCGACCCTTCCCCATCCCACTGCTAATCAAATTACCATGTAGTAAGCTTCTAATTTACCTCCAGCTTACGCTGTACCGCAGCTAATATCCCATTTTTTTCCGCAAGAAGTTCGTAGAGGCCTTCTTCCTCCACAACTGCTATGACATTAGACTGCTCGCCTCGGATTCTTCTGAGGTAGGCTCTCCAGAAGCCATCGACCCGCTCAAATGCCTCAGAATCTTCAGGCAGCTGTTCCAGAGCCTCCACATTGCCGAAAATGCTCTGTAGCCCGATCCATTGGCGCTGAAGTTGTGCCAATTCCTCTACAGCGCAGTTGTCACAGAGAGCCTGGCCGTCATCTTTAGGATGCCTCGCATTCAAATTATCCCCGATGCAGTCAACCACATTCGAGCTCAAGTGCTGCAACTACAAAACGAGAGACTGCTAAAAGGGCAATTGGCTCCTTACCTAAGACCTGTTGAGCTACGTCAAGCTTCCTAGCCCAAAATTCCACTTTTTGCTTAAGAACCCCTACATAGGGGTTATGCAGCATGCGTTGGACAGATATTTGATGATCTTCCACCATAGAGAGTAGTTCGCTTACATCCCCTGCGCAAGCGCAAGCACCGCTCCGGTGGAATTGTACGCTAGCCATATGAAAGCCATTCGTCGGTCAAGCGATGCTCCAAATAAGCGCCGTTTGTAGCTTGCGCATCAATCAGCCTTACCGAGAATGAAGGCATTTGGATCTTCATCAAATGGTTTTACCAATAGCTCTCGTGCTTCCCAGACCTCTGTAATCTTGTCCATCGTCTGGCCAAGAGACTGTTGCACAGAGGCCAGTGTGGAGATTTCGTTAATAAAGTCGCGTTTAGAAGAGATGTCCATTTGGTCCAGTTGTCTTAAGCACGTTGACTCTTCCGTGCCAGGAACCCTACACAGAAGCAGCTGAGCCAATCAGTGATTGCCTGCGCAGTTTAATGCGCTGCTGAACCAGAACCAATGTCTAGGTGTTGCTTCCATGTAGTTTGGCTTACTTAAGTTCATCGAAGATTGTTTCCCAGTGCCGTCGCTTAAGTGCAGGATTCCCCAAGTCCAAAATAAGCGGCAGGCGGGAGAGCCAGCTTTCAACTTGTTTTTTGAATTCTGCTGCGACAGGGTCTCCAGGGAAATTTTGCAGAGCTATACAAGCTTCCTTTAAATACTTCTTTATTCCAACCTCAATTTCCTCAGCATCCAGTGAAGCCAAAGGCACGCCAAGCCACTTCGGTGACAGAAAAACACAAGGCAGTTCTTCAGCCTCATGAGTATAGTTGCTTGCTTTCGCGCACTTGCTTAGCTGCATACGTTCATGATTTGCCCGACTTGTCAGGATAGACAATTGATATGCATTTTAAGATATGGAGCACGGTACGGCTTTATACGGCTTTACCTTTTCCGTATCGGTCTGCCAAGAGCAGATCTGGTGCCACATTTCCACTTTGGGTTTGATGAGGCGGAGTGTTTCTTCCGTTTGCTTGGATATGACTGCAGGAGCCTCTGGAGCGAGGAGCCCCGCCATACTTCTAAGGGTCTCTGCCTTGCCATAGGCGAAGGTGATGCGCTGTTCGTAAGCTTTCAATTGCTCGTACGATTTCGTTGCTTCATCTAGTGCCTCTAGCTTAGCAAACTCTTCTGAAGCATACAAGGACTCAATTGTACGAATGCTACGGAGACAGTTATTTGGACGCGGTAACCAACGTTTCCAAAGTGCCTTCAACGGATATGCTGGCGGTGCAGTAGTTCTTTGACTGTAAATAGCGACACACTCACCGTCTTTGATAAGCTTGTTTAGCTCATGCATCTCTTTCTCAACCTCTTCTGTCTTTGACTGTAGCTCGAGTTTCATCGTTTGTAGATTATTCCTGAAGAAGGAAAACAACCGTTTTTTAACGATCGCTTTCCACTCACGTGGAGATTGTTATTCGGCAGCCGAGATGAGAGGCTCTGCCATGCGGAAGGGTGCATCCAGTGAAGAAAAAGTTACATGTTGTTTCCATACCGTATATGCTCCGCTGCATCCAGTAGCTTGAACGTTTCAAACTCATTGGCACTCTTCAACATATTTTCAAGCTGAATTGTATCTTCAACGGCTAGCCGAACACCGTATTGCTTCAAAAGAGAAAACATTTCCTCAGCAGCTGCCTGCAGAATTATCCAGTGCATTGCAGAAGGTTAAAGCCTGCAGAAGGTTTATTGCCTAAGGACGAGGCACGGTAGAATACATCTAGCCAGGAATGCATATCCTATCCTATACCATGTTCTTTAAAAGGTGGCCGCACCTTGTCCCGATCAAGGTCTTCAATTTGAGCCTTGATCTCGTTGCAACTACTCACGAAAGAAGCAAAAGGGACAAGCTTCGTTGGCCGTTCATCGAGGCGTTTGTTTATGGATTCAAAGCGACTGGCGGTACTTCGTACCTAACATCGCAAGCAACAGTAAGGCGAAAAAATAGAGGTTGCTCAAACGAAAATGGCGGCAATCGTAGCAACTAAATCCTATGCTGCTTTGAATATTGCTTGCACGCTTTTCTCACAGGAAACATGAGCGAGTAGAAAGGGTGAAAGTTCCTGTGCATTCAATTTGTACAGATACTGGGGTGTGGTGGGTTGCTCACGTGCTCTTTCATGAGTCTCCACAGAAGCCGTTTCATGAAAGTAAGCGCCTTCTCCGTAATGGGTTGCAGCGACGATTTGAGGCTCCGTGCCTCTATGGAAAACAGCCCAACAACATGGACTGGGTTCAGTTTGTCAAGCTTTTCCTCAAACTCTGAAATAAGCTCCATCTCGGTGGACAATTCATCATGCCCACTGACTGATTCGGCGAATGCAGTCTCATCCCAGTTCTGTCCATACTCATATATCTGCCTGCGAGGCACACAACGGTCGTGCCAGCACACCGGTTTCTTCTGAACAGCGGCAGTATTCATAGGCATTATTCAAGGCTTCAAAGCTTTTATTTTTAAGAGGGCGTCTTGTGCCCATGTTCAGTATTACGCATAATATTGGAAAAGTAGAAGGGCGGCGTGTACCGGTAGATTCCAAAATACGACTCAGAGTATTTCTGGGCACGGTCGAAGTCCTTTAAGATTCTCTCTTCAATTCGTTTCTGCAGGTCGTGCATTGATATTAGTTTTGCTTCGACCGCTTCATATCGGTGCTGTGTTATTATTACCTTGCGGGTTGTTGCACGGCAATCGGAAGGCTACCCAAACTGTGGAAGGCTCAATATCCCATTTTTTTGCGAAACGTGAAGCCATTTATATTGCCAAGCATTTTGGAGTACCTTCATTAGCTGCAGATGCTTCGACTGAGCGAGCAACGATTCCAAACTCAGTGGAGGACCTTGTGTAACGGAGTCTTCAAATTGGCGGCATTGGCTGAGTAGCAGAACGCCGCTGACGGTGGAAACAATTCCTGTATTAGAATGAGATATCATTTCACATGAGCATCGAAATTGGGCAGTGCTCGACGTTAAGCATGTATCACCGTTCTCACATGGCCCCCCCATAGACCAAGCCCATCACCGTGTGTTGTTACGTATTTTCCAGCAAAGTATGTACGTGAGCATTGCTCAGCTACAGCAAAACTACTGCATGTGCCTTCTAGACTTCAAACGTCTCAGCCATGGTGCATGAAGACAGACGCATTTTCGCTAGGCAATTGTCATACCTTCCCACCACTCGTGGTGCATGGAGACGAAAGCTGGACGGCCGGGATCGAGCTCTACTTTTGTACTACCGAAGCAAACATTGACAGAAAAGAGTTTTGCACAAGTTTCCTCAGTGCCAAGGCGCTCCAACATCGTTGCTGCCGCCTTAGTGACAGCCTGTAAAACCACGCAAAACACACACCTACCTTACTACGGCATTTCTTCGCAGTCCCAACGGCATTTGCAGGCACGCATGTGCCAGGTACCGAGGAGCTCCGCAGAGAGACGTGCAGCACGCATACAATGTAAGGACACCATGTTCAGATGCAGCTGTCTTGCAATGCGTACAAGCTCGCCGTGGAACTACACCTTGGCTAGCCGCATGGTGAAAATGAGATCTATCAGGAGGACAAACTGCCCGAAAAGCGCCTGGTTCTTGTACGCCTGTCGGATAAGTCGTTTTTGTTCTACTGCCTCTCGCTTTGCCTGAAAGATGGATTTCCCCTTATTTGGGGAGCAGGCGTGCATCGGGTCCACTTCTGGCAGTTGCGTTGCCTCCTCAAGCTTTCGCATCAGCTCAACAAGCAAAGTCCGTGCTTCCGCCTGTTTGACCTGTACGGAGGCGCCAGAACTCTAAGCAGTTGCCTAATCCAGGTACTGTCACACTGCTCTTCGCTTACTCATACTTACGCAGGCAAGCTACCGGACATTGCTTCTACTTGCGTAGCACGCAGCAACCACAAAATGCAGCAGCAGAAAGAGCAGCAAGTATAATGGACGCAGGAATGCCAGAAGGAGCGACAATAACAGCACCAGAAGGAGCAGCAGCAGCACCAGAAGCAGTATCACCGCCACCAGAAGCAGCAGCACCAGGGGCAACAGCAGAACCCGCTGTAGCCTAATTCGCGTCAATTTGCTCTGTTACAGCGCATAGCTGACCTCTAACGCTTTGCTGGCTCCAATCTTCGGGTCCGAGCGCACAGTGTGCTGCTGTGCAGTAAATTGAGAAATATCGTACAATCCAGGCTGCAGCTCAACTAATTTGACTTCGCTGACGCCAGCGAGGACCCTGTGGATTGGCAAGAGGTGTTTGCAGTAAATGGGTTTTGCTATAAATAGCGTCCTGCACAGCATTTCTCTTCGCTCTTCGAAGACGTGCTTTCTCGACGCATGGCTCCACAGGCACAACGCCTTGCGGGCAACGAAGGTCTTGAAAAATGGAAGGGTTCGCAGCAGGGAGTGAACGAACGCTTGCCGCATCCACTCGTCTTGTCGAAAGCATTCTGACGGTTTACCCGGGCAGACGTGCATTACTGCAGTCTCTGATATTGTGAAATGCTCGGGATTGATTTGATTTTGTGGCACCACGACGAGCTTGTAGGGTTCGAACTCAAGTGGGTCGGTGGGCGCCCTATTGCAGAACAAAAACTTAGTTTTGGTTGTGCTTCCGTGCCGGGCAAAGAACGCCACAGCGTCTCGCTCTGTTCTCACTTTTGTCAGGTCCGCGTAGCCGTTTTCATCCAAATCCTGGTTCTGTGCTGCAGAGTTTTCGTTTTCGGTGTGCACTGCCATCAGGCTCTCTACTGCCTTAGCGGAGCAGGTACTTCCCTTAGTATCGCGATCACCTGATGAAGGCGAGTTGTTCATGTACGTGTCGTACAGGAAGCTCACGTGTTTGGGCACTGCTGCCTCTGAAGTAGATATGCGCTGAAGTGCTGAGAGAGACTTCTCACGGCTGCGTCTCGTTATCCGGGTAGCAGACTCGCGGGCTCTTTGCTCACGATCACTTACGAAGGAATGCAGGATCCGTGGTGGGCGGCGCCTTCTTTGGTACTCAGCGCTGAACTTTCCTTCTGTTAGTGGTGGTAAAGACCAAGTAGGGCTCTGCACTAAGCCAAATGGGGCTGTGCATCGTAGTGCTTCCGCAACAAGGCTGGGCGCAGGCTTTTGCTTGGGTGGCCCTCTGGCAGGCTGCCCAGTGGTTTCAGAATCCTCTAAGCCAGAGTGTCCAACATCACATGCGCGCGAGTTGTCGTCGCTGTCTCCTGGGCCTACATTTTCCGATAAATCAGAGCCTGAAGAAGAATAATCTACCTCTTGAAAGCGAATGGCAGCGCCGCTCGCTGACTCCCGAGCCACTTCCTCACCTCCCCCTCCTCTTCCACCGTTCACTGAGGGAGACGCCATCGGGAGAATATTATCTGCCCAGATGGCACCACCGTGGAACCAGTTCAGTATAACTGTGAATCAGGTCAGTGACTTTTTCACCAAGTAATTGAAATATTTGCACCGGTGTCGTGCTGCTGCATCATTAGTGGAGCAGAGCTGCTAATATCCTGCCTACATCCAACCCTCTATTTCATAAATTCGCAAAAGTGATTATCAAATTTATCTCGTCCAGACACAACTTAACACGGACTTCAGTGTTCTCCGCCGTTTGGACGGGGACTGCCCATCTGAAATGCTCATGCCACCATCTCAAGTTGTGTTTAAAAGGGGGTCGCTTTAGGTAAACTGATCAATAAGACTGCATTTTTTGAGCTATTAGTGGTAGAAAGTTTTAGTCGTGGTTCCGCCACTTCAGTGGAGTGGCCTACGCGCTGCACCTTGCATGCAAATGCTCTGTTCCTTTCCTCTCGCAAGCCCTTAAAGATGACGATCAATCAAGCTGTTGCGGGTATTGTAGTACTGCCACATGCATATGCCGACCACTAGCAAACTATTACACCGCAGCCTACAGGCCTGCTGGAGACGGCCGTGACTGGCCCTGAAGATCGGGTTCCCGCGTATGCACCAGACCTCTAGAAATAGTATTCTTTATCATCCTTCAATAGAAATCATAGACACTCAATATCCTGCGTTTTGTGATTTGCAATCAAACCCCTAACTCGAGAAGTCTGCGCTGCATGACCCAGTATACCGTACACACTCAATCCAGGAGCTGGACAGGTGCAACCTCAAGCTCCCTTTCTTGTCTATTCGTCTTCCCCACCAAATGCCATTTTCTCTCTTCCTTTGAGTTATGTGTTTTATGATCGTATGTACCATTCGAGGAAGGTGAAGAGCACACCTCCTGTAGAGACGAGTTCTCTACCGGTCATGGCTGCTCCCTACATCTGGTGTGGGAGAACACACCTCTTATTTTCTTCACTTTTCTGTCTACACTTGACAGGTCAAACGGTGAAGTTTGAGTTGAGTCACGTACGTTATGGCATACGTGCCGGACAGTATGCGTACCACACTAGCCGTCATCGTCAGTCGCGGCAGTTCAACCTACATTCGCCTCTAGCGAAGGGCCTTATCAAGGTGATGTGTTACTCTGAAACTGGCATATACGTCTTACTAAAGCAGATCATAAAGTTCATAGCCGTCAAATACTTCCCCCCGGCCACAAAAAGGCGCAAGCAAACCGGGACAAAGCGACCGATGGACACGCCTGATTCGAGTGGCCAAACCGCATCACATGCAACGAGCCACACCGCGCAGCGGCATCACCTGTTACATGCTTTACAGCAAGGTCATATTAATGCCGTTGGGGGTGCACTGTAGGAAGGAATGACTGTAAATTCACATTATCTCGGGAACTCTCGTACACCGATCCGTTAGCAGGGGTTTGGCCGGCGTCGATAGACTATGGCCTCATATCTGTTGATGATCATGTTAATCTCACTGTAGTACTGCATATACTTTGCTTTCTCACCGACTGCGCTGTTGACCTCCCTTTTGGTTGGATGGCAACTGCCCCGTCGTCGATGACGATGGTCTTCCTTGGAATCTGACGTGCGCATGTCTTTCCCCCCCTTGCCTTCTAACGTCACAGTGGACCTAGGCAGTCGGCGTAGATCTAGTGTCATGAGAGCAAGTGAATAAATCAACAGCAGCCTTTGGCAGGCTGTTTGCGCGTTTGGCTTCTCTTTCTCCTGCAAGGCTCCTGTGCTCCAGCCGAGGCGCAGGCGCCATAGGGTGTTTTGCTTGCTGGGTAGACGAAGCACTTCCCTCCCTCGGCTTTCGCGATTTCCTCGAGCTTAGTCTGATACTTTCGGATCAGCTCCAACTCTTCTTGACGAGCGATCTCAGAAGCCCGCGCCTCCCTCTCTTGAATTTCCTTCATGCGCCGAACCTCTTCATCATATATCTGCTGCTGTGTCTTGTGAGCATCCTCGAGGAGCTGCAGCATTAAAAGAAACAGATGGACCGATAAGCAACTTTTTGAAGTAACCCCAGCGTTGCTGATTGGTCAAGCCCACCAGGAAGAATAGGTGCGACTGTGGTCCGCATGAATGTGCAGCTCAACTGGTTCCTTAATGGCATCCGTAGTAAATACGTATCGGATTAATGAGGCTTTCCTCACCCTGTTCCAGTCTTGTATCTGTTTCTGTTGTTCCTCGAGCCCCTGTTGGTAAACGGCCTGTTGCTTGACGTACTGTTCCTGAAATTCCTTCATCGCCTTCGCGTAGTTGGCGCTCTGCTCCTCCTGGTCGGCTTTTAACTTTTCCATCCATTCTGCCTGATCGTCTGAGTGACAAACAAATTTAGAGAACAAGAAAGGCAGACTGAATATGCAAGCACAATACCGAGAATAAATTACGAACTTTACACAATACGTGCTGCTTCAAACCTGCTTCCCACTGCCTCAGGAAAGTGGGGAACGAAATATATGTAAGCATCGAAGCACCCAAACAATTCAAGTATACATGGAGGCCAGCACACGTGCATAGGGAGCACGCGCACCTGCATGGGTGTCAAGTATCTTCTTCAGCCATACAACTGCAAGGCTTTTAAAATCCTCGACGCTGAGATTTGCGTCGCCAAAGAGTCGTGTAGTGGCAACTCCGAATTCCGCCAATTCGTGACGCACATGGGCAGGGTCGAGGGCTCCTGAGAACAGCAACGAAATTAGTGTGGCCACCTCAATATGCGTGCATGCTCGAAAGCTTGTCTAGATGAGCTGCACTGAGGTGCCTGCATCGAGGTGCAGGCACGCAGCCTTGTCAGTAATGCTGGTATAGGTGGGATCAGCTGCACCACCCACTCGACGAAGGAAGCACTGCGTTGAACGAAAAGCTGCTTCTGTTCTTTGGACTCACCCGAAGCCATGCTGAATCGAGTAACGTATTCTATTAGCCCATACTGCATTAGCAAATGCCGGATGACGGGCTCGAGGGTAGCATAGGGAAGGGCAAGGGTTCCCTCCACGTCATGGCAGCTAAATGCCATTTCAAGTTGCTGCTCTAGACCGGGATACAGCGTGTAGATTTCACGCTTGATGTTGTGCTTCTCCTGGGTAGTGAGGGACTGGCCCATTTTCCTGGTCTTCAAAAGCAGTGGAATAAGGGAGAGAGCCCTCTTAGCACTGAACAACCGCAATGGCATACACCACCACATGTCAAGCCGCGGAGCTTGCACAAGCAAAGAAGACTGCTCAGCAAAGCAAAGTAAGAGAGTGACATTTGCAAAAGCTAATAATGTGAGACTGTTCGGAGGGACTTTCTCTCCCCGTTGGGTCCGCTGTACTCGGGCCATCGGACCAGTTGTGTTTTTTAGGGACTCCGCGGTTTCCCAGCTCTCCTCCTTACATCTACAGCCTTCCGAGCCCTTTTCCAGCTTTACAAATATACTTCATTAAGGCACAAAGAAGAAAGAGAAACAACTCTTCTGGAGTCTCACCGGGCTGAATGCAGCGAGCTGCGGGTGTCGTCGGCCCCAGTGTTTGGACGATCTCGGTGAGGACGGAGAGTTATTCCTGCTGAAGAACAGAACGACAAGAAGAAACAGCAAGATGGGAATTGCCAGAAGGAATAGTACAACTTGTGGAGATGTTTGGATATTAACGTGCTAGCCAGCGTTAAGCTTTGACCGACGAAGAACAGTGGGCTACGCCCGCTGCAGGGCCGACTGACCTTGGACAGGCAGACGACGAAGGGAGGTATATTGGGGTGTAAATTGTCAGTAAAAGACGTTTGTATGGTATATTTGAATTCATAAGTTAGTGGTGCAGAAAGGAGCAGTCCAGAGGGGAAATGCAGCCGCCTATCGGCTGCGCCTTCCAAGAACTCCGGGCCTGCGCAGCGATGCACGCCCGGCTAGCCGCCATGTACCGTATCTGTATGCTCCCCCACGGCGCTTTAAATCTCTTGCGTTTAACAGCTAACCCAATATAAAATAAAGAAACTTTGTTATGAGGTACAATACAGTGGCTTCACTGCATAGACAGTTGCAACAACGTATGCTTTCGCCGGAAAGCCGAAGTACCAGCAGTCGAGTCTATAGGCGTCTCGATGCAGACGCCGTTAAAGCATGAATTAATTTTTGTATATTACACGGTTTTGTATATCCTTTAGAGGTCTGGGAAAGCAGGCGTTTCGCTGAATGGTAGCAACGCAATACCTAGCTCATGCCTTCTCGAGGGCCCGCTAACCACTCGATATGTGTGCTGGCCTACGCTATCATGATTCTCGTACAGTGATTGCCCTTGTGAAGCTCATGAATGCAATCATCTAGTAATATGGACGACCTTTTCTCAGCCAATAATTTGTTGACTTTTATGCAGTAGGCAGTAACGGGAGGCCCCCTTGCTGGTACAGTTGGCGGATAGGTATAGATTGCACTATCGCCATGCACCTTTTAGTGGGGTAAATAAGCCCGTTTTCATCTTTCGCGTCTTCCATAGAAAGTGGGGAAGGGAAAAAGTGCCGCAACGTGCGCTAGAGATGGGTTGCTAGCCCCACCGAAGTTGGTACGCATATTACTGCATTAGTGTGGGCTGGCTACTGAGGGCCACGAATATGCTTAACGAGTGAGTACGATGTCATTGCATTCATCAAAGGTGGGAGAGTGAGCGTTTGCATATGAAGCTGCCTCGTAGCAGGCGTTGCAGCAAGGTTTGCTGTAACTCGAGACAGACGGCCACTTCTCCGCACCAGCCCTAGGCACCTGGGCTGCTATTCACAGGCCGCTTCTAGAATGGATGGGAGGTCAGACTCTTTCTCTATAACTTCGAAGAATATCAACTTCGTCGCAGCTCACAACGGCCCTCAGCAAAATCGAGGACTCATTTTGCTGCTCTGGTGAATCTCTTTGCTTTGGACAAGCAACTCTCGCTATTTACAGCTGCATCAACTTTAAGAATTCAGTCTAGAGAGCGGCTGAGGAGAAACCGTAGGTACAAGGAGCGGTCCCACTTACTACAACTCCGTCTCAACCTCAGAAAGAACCTCCCGTGTTCACCCGGGAAATTGATAAGCGGCTGTTGACCATATCTGTTTCGAATAGACCCCTTGAGATAGACAGAAATGGGAAATACAGAGCAGCCATGGCAGCAACTACTTCGTTAGCTTCTGCGACAAGCTGCACCTCCGAGTTAATCTTATCGTTCCTCCTGTCGCTGCTGGAGCCGCTGCCCCAGCCTCCAGTAACCAGCTCTTACCTAACACTGGACTGAGGGTAGTAGCAGTGAGGCACACAAATCCCTCACGCAGCAGAAGGCAATACGAAAGCAGCACCTACTGCCAAACCAACGGGAAAGTAACACTTCCTGCCGCAGCACTACCCAACGGAGCCACTAATGTACAGAGTCTGTTGATGCATCAGAGATGATGCTTCTAAGAGAATGCTTGTCTCTGATGCTGCTGCAGGTCTTTCTGCAGTGCAGCGAGCACCGTATCTGCCACCCAAGAGAGTAAGGAGTGCGTTGCGCTCCCCCGCAAAACCAGTGTGAGGGTCAGGGGGGATAGGAGAGATACATACACAGGAAGGCAGGGGTAACCACAGGGGAAAACTGAAACAGAAAAGAGCATAGAAACGAGCAGACTAGCTACGAGAGACAGAGACAGACTGGAAGGATGAGGCAAAGACGCAAGGGAGTGCCAATGCAGCATAAAGACAGCCGGAAACAACTAAAGCGGCAGGTGCCCGAGAGGGAGAGGGCCTGGAATTGGCAAGGAAGGGAGGATCCACGGTCAGGCGAGAAGCAGAGTGAAAAGAGACAGAAAAGGAGGCGTCAGCATGGGGCGGAGAATGCAAGCATGCCAAAGAAGGGATTCGATTTGCTTTGTTGTTTGCTGCCAGGCGTACTGGTCCGCCGTTGAGTTGTCGCTTGTGTGCAGGTTGTCTAGACGTCTTTCTGCATAGCTGCGGTTGCGTCCATGCTGCCTGTCTCTACTCGTTTAAACAGAAGAAGATAAGCCTGGCGGCTGTCGCAGCTCTGCAGCCTTGTCACTTTCTCGTCGTTGTACTGCAGCCAGCCGCTTCCATCTTTGCTGCGCACGTGGCAGATGTAGTGACCCCCAGAGACGCTCGACCCCAGATGAGAAACAAACGCAAACAAACGATACTTCCCGCGGCCATCTTCTAAACCCAATCGGCATCGCTCTAGAGGAGACAGTCCTGCCGCTGCAGCTTCCTCTGCCTGCTTCTCCCGAGCTTCCGCCTCCCGCGCCTCCGCTGCTGCTGCTGCTGCTGCTGCAGCTGCTGCTGCAGCCGCAAGCGCTTCCTCCACTGCTGCAGCAAGCCCCGCTCCCTGAGTCAGCAACCAATCAGCAGCACGCCCAGTATCAAAGGAGCTTCCTTCGGTACGCATCCCTGCTGAACTCGTCCGTCGTCTAGTGGCAAAGAGCGCTGCGCGTGCACTGCGGTCATCGAAACCCAGAGCCATCAGATTAGCCACAGCTTCTGCATCTGGCTGATCTTGCGCATCTGCTGTTCCTGCGCTTCCTGCTGCTCCCCCTGTCGCTGCTGGAGGGGCAACAACATCAGGGAGAGGATCATTGAGATCCGGGTCGTCCAAGTGACCCATCAGCCACTCCACGCAGGTCTCAGCTGCGGCACCTCCAGTAGCACGAACTGCCCGTCTGCAATTAATTAAGTACACAATAGAAAAAGATGAAGGTTTCTTTTTGAGTTACATTCTGTCCTTTTCTGTTGTTCTCTTCATGCGTTTTCTGTGTATGAATTGCTCAGCTTCTACTGGTTGGCTTCCTTTCCAACTCGCTCTCTGTCTACCGAATACTCTGTATATTTTGTCCTTCATCTCCCTTCCGTGTGTATATGCCTATTTCTCCCCCCAGTCTCCCTCCCTTCTGCATGCCTCTTTCACTGCGATTTCTATTTCGCTTGTGTCACTGTTGCTGTTGGCTGTGATTAGTTCCTTCACATGTAGTTCTTACTTGGCGGCGTTACTGGAGAACCCCATCGACTCCAACGTAGCGACAACTTCGTCGCTTGGTGAAGCTGCAGCCGCTCCAGCTGCTGTCTCGGAGGTGTTGCCCTGCTGCTGCTGCTGCTGCCGAGGAGGCTCGTCGGGAAGCTCAACCTCTTCTGGCTGAAGGCCAAAAGCCCGGAGCTCTTCAAACGAGACCTCCTCAGGGATCTGCCCAGACACCGCAAACACCAGATCCTCAAGGCAACCCTTAAACCCCCGCCGCAAGCTAGCCTTAGCAAGGAACTCCAATGCCTAGACGACGCTGCACACACTATTCCCTAAACCCTGAAACAAAACCCTAAACCCTGCCTCACCTCCACAGAGCACTTCAGTTTCTTTGGGATCCACCTTTCGCTAATGTAGAAGCGCTTGAGGAAGACAAGAAGGTATTCTGGGTAGTTGGTGAGTCGAAGCGTTTTTTCAGCGTCGCCTTTTGCGCCCGTGGCAGGAGAAAGGTAATCATTGACAGCAGCAGCAGCAGCCGCAGCCGCTATGCAGCTTGAAAGAGGCACCGAGGGAGCCGCAGCAGCCACGGGCTCCTCTGACTCACCGCGCTGAGAACTCAAACAAAAGCAAAAGCAAACATTGAGAAGCCTGAGACTGCATGCAAAACATTGCACCCCAAGCAGCACAAGCATGCAACGCAAACAAGAGCCACGTTGACGCAGCGTTGAAGGTGGAGTTCCCCACATGGAAACACGCAAAAAATGGTAGCACCAATAAAAGGAACTAAATGCATGCAGCAGAAGCAGAGCAAAGAAATGAATATCAAGCCCCCCCCTTGCCTACTGTCTCGGTTGTGTCCCCTCCTGTTTCAGCCCCCGTGTCCGACTCCGTGGGCGTTCCCTCTGCTCCCTTTCTCCTCTTCTGCTGCCGTTGCTGCTGCTGCTGCTCCTCCTCCTCCTCTTGCTGTACGTGGACCGGGATAGGAAGCGCCAACACCTGCTGCCGGCTGTACGTGTACCGTACTTGCCGCGACTGCAGACACTCCAGCCGCTGTTCTACCTTCAGTACACATGTGCATGCGCAATAAAAACGACAGAAACCTCAGCGAGAACAGCCGAGGAGGCGCGCATACATCGCACAATAGTTGTGTACAGCAACAAATAACATCCTAGGAACAGACGCAGGCGCAGCAGCAGAATGTGCAGCAGCAGCAGCAGCATCAGCGGTGCAGCGGACCCCGAAAGAGAAGAGCGAATCAACTGTTCCATCTCTAAGCCCTTCCTCCGCTTGCTTTAATGTTTCATCCGTAACCCCAAGTGCAGCAGCAGCGGCGGAAACGGCAGAGTTCTCCCCCAACTGCAGCTGCTGCCTGAGCTGCTGCACCTGTCTTCGGTCTCCACCCTCTCTGTCACCGATCCAAGAAAGAAGCAGAGACAAAAACTCTTCTGCAGCCGCACAAGGAGCAGCATTTCGCTCATTGCTTTCAGTTTCACCATGCGAGCAGGCAGTTTCAACGGCATCCACACCAAGGAAGCAGCAAGAGCAAAAGCAGCACCAACAACAGGAGAAATTGCAGTGTCCTCACCCGCATCCTGCTGTCGGCTCGTGGCAAATTCCGCATGCAAGGAGCCGATGATAGAGCGCAGGGACAACGGCGACACCGCATCATGAGCCAGATAAGGAAGATCTGCAGCAGCAGCAACAGCAACAGCAGCTGCAGCATCAGCGTCGTTTGTCACGACAAGGACTTCGCTGCCGCTGCAATTGCTGCAGCAGCCTTTGCTACTGCGGGAAGATGCAGGCATGCACAGAGCATGCCGCGCAGGGAGTAGCAGCAATAGCACTTGAGACAGCATACCGTTGATAAGCTGCTTCTCCTCGATTTTAATGTCTTGCCGTTGCAGTGCCTTCTGCAGCAGCATCATCCCCAAGCCCTTCTGCATGCACACCCGCCGCGTCTGCAGCGCCACAGAGAGAGCGCCCAGCTGCAACGAAAGACACTTCGCTGGACCTCCTGCTGCTGCTGCAGCTGCTGAGGGAAGGCCTTGGCAGCAAATTAGCGGCTCGTACAAACGCAGGAACTTCTCGCAAAACCGAGGCACGCTAAACAAAGCCTAAAAGCAAAGATAAACAACCACAAACTTGTAACCCTAGACCCTTAACCCTCGTTACTGCAGATTCCTTGGCTGTCTGGCTGTCCGGCTCCCCCCCTTTAGGCGCCGCCACGTCAACTTGCCTGCAGCACCGCGTTGACGTAGCAGGTGTTACCCAGGTTTCTTAGGCCAACAAAGCCCGCTCCTCTCTGATGCTGAGGCTGTTGCTCTGCTGCAGAAGCAGTTAAAGAGGCCCAGTCATACTTGCAGTTTAGGTCTATCGCTAACTCATTCGTGCTGCGCTCGGTCTTGCGTAGCTGAACCCACAGACAACCAACAGCAGCAGCAGCAGCACTCAACCAGCAGCAGAAGCACGACGGGCAATGTCGGCTTCAACTTCACAGTGACAGCATCAGGAGCACCCAAACCAGCAGCAACAGCACCTGCCGCACCAGTTCCTACAAGCTTATTCCCCGCTACCCAGCATCATCGACATTAGCAGCAGCAGCACACCAGCAGCAAAACAATCAGCAGCGGCAGCGGCAGCGGCAGCGGCAGCAGCAGCAACAGCAACGGGTGGTGGAGACGGTCACCTGCTGCGTCTCAATTCCAAACCTAGCAAGGTGTTCGGGTAGTTTCGGGTCGATGACGGTGCTGTCTTCATCTGGAGCGTAAGAAAAAACGTCTGCTGAATCTGCAGAAATCGTTCCTAGCTTGACAATAAGGGGATAGATTGAGCCTGTTTCCTAAAAGCAGACAAAGGCGGCGTGCAACACAAGCAAACGCTGCTTCTAAATGAGACGGAAGAAAGGCGGCCGCACAGAGATAGCCAAGAAGATGAACTGCAGCTAATCTGCATGCAAACACAACGCTGTGTCTGTTTGAAACATAACTAAGGTATGTAACAGAATAAAGATATACAAACGGAAGGTAAGAGAAGAGGGGCAAAGAGGCAGCATCGACCAGCAGAGGAATGAAGAAAAACACAAAGGCGCAGCAAGAGAGATTGCCAAATGCACACAAGAGAACAGACAGAGAGAGAGGGAGACAGCGACGGCACAGCAACGAAGTCAAAGCCACACGAGACGACGACCGTGGTGAGGCAACAAGACAGGACAAAGATATACACATCAATCAACAGCACAGGAAAGAAACACTCCAACAGCATCAACTGCAGCAGCAGCAGCAACAGCAAAAACAGCAGCAGCACCTTGTAGTGCCTAATTGCAGCTCCCTCGCGCCCGTCCGCGCAGCCGCCGCCAGCGCCATACAGCTTCCGCCCGCAGCCAATGAACCTGCAGCAGCAAGAGCAGCAACACGCACACACGTTGCAGGGACAGCAGGAACATCAGCAACGAAAGCACGCGCAGCAGTAGACGCAGAGGGACAGCAGCAACAGCAGCAAAACCAGCATCGGCAAGGGTAGCTACAGCAACGGAAAGCCCCTAGCCGCTCACCCGTCTGAGAGATTAAGCCACAAGTTCGTTGAGGCACCGCAGTCTGCACACTTCCAATTAGAAGGCGAAATCTTTGGCGGGTTTTCCACCACTGGCAAATCGTTGGCGTACTTGCTCGGCTGTACGTACACCCCAGCAGCACAAAGCGAGCAGCAACACTTAACATAGGAAGATAAACCCTTAATACTGCCGTGAAGGCCGTTCTAGAGAGAGGAAGCTCCAGCAGCAGTAGTAAGAGAAGCAGCAAACACCACAATCTAACCAACCCGAGCAGCAACCCCAGTTACAGGAACGCATTCAGAAACAACGTCAAGTGCAGCAGCACCAGACCCATGAGCAGAGCAGCAGCAACAGCAGCAGCAGCAGCAGCAGAGGAAATGCTTACAAGAATCTCTTCAACCCAGGCAGCAGACGGAGCGGAATCAGCAACTGCGTGCTTGGTTTCTGCAAGGTGTTTTGCTGCTGCAGCAATAGCAGGAGGAACATCAGGGTCGTCAAGCGCAAGAAAGGACAGCTGCTGCAGCAGCTGCTCCTGATATTGCTGCAGCAGCGTCAAATCACTACGCCACTGTTGCTGTTGCTCCTGCCCCTCCTCGTCCACCTCTGCACGTTTTTGCTGCTGCTGCTTGCTGCTGCAGCGGCGGTAGATATCCGTCAGACCTTTAGCCACAGCAGCAGCTGCACCTGCACTTGCTGCGGTGTATACACACAGGCGGTAGGATATTGTCGGCTCCACCGCAGCGAAGTTCCCTGACGGGTCAATCATGTCCCCATCTGCGCTAAACCTGCACCAGCAGCAGAAGCAGCAGCAGAGATAGTGCTGCCAACAGTAGAGCAACCGCAACAGCAACAGCAGTAGTAGCGCACTCGCTGCAGCTAAAGGTACGGCAGCAGGACCGGCAACAGTAGCACAAGAACCAGCAACGGAAACAACAGAAACGACAGCAAGAGCAAGTCCAGATGTACTGTTAGCAGCAGGAGCAGCAACGGCACCCGTAACAACAGCCCAGGACACAGCAGCAGCACAACGAGGTAGGGAGCCACCGCTGCGCTGCTGCAGCAGCAACAGCACTAAGCGACACAGCAGCAGCCACCCACTGCAGCAACTGTCACGGCAACTGCAGCAGCAGCAGCAGCAGCAGCATGTGGTGTACGTACCCGCCTTCCACAGCAATTGCCATCTTGGTAGGCTTGCACGTTCCTCCTGCACTATTTTCTGTTGTTGATTCATCCTGTCTTTGCTTCCTTTTGTTGTTTGCTGTTGTTGCGTTTAGTTCGTGAACATTGGAGCTGAGGTGTACGTACACCCGAGAGCCGCTAAGGGCAGCATCTGCAGGTAGCGACTCCAGGGATACCGACAAATAAGTCTTTAAGTTTATAAAGAGGCCGAAGGGGCCGTGCACCATATCCAGCCTGTTAGGAACAAGCAAACAGAAGAAAACGGCTGCTGAAGAAGCAGGGAAGCACATAAGAGAGACATAGACGGCAAACACAGACAGACAGAGATAGACAGATGTACAGAGGCATCCAGACAGCAGCAGAACCCCAACAAAGAGGAAGAAGAAAACGAAACCAAGAGGCAATTGGCCGTAAACCCAACCAAAGACAAACAGAAACAGAGAGGAGAAACTACAAGTCAACACAGAGGAGCAGAGTAAAAAACAAATCCAGAGATATAAATGCAGCAGCGTAGACAGAGACGGAGAACCCGGATAAAAACAGGCAGAAGCCCCTTACCACGACAGTGTAGCTACTAGCACAAGAGCCGCAAGCGAAAGGAAGGGAAGAATAATAACAATAAAAAAACACCACAATGAGAGGTGATAGGCTACGTGCTGCTGCTCTGACTGTTGCAGCTGCAGCTCATACAAAACCCTGGTCTTGTTGCTGCCTCCCCACTCTGACTCTTGGTGGGTGTGGGGCTGCTGCTTCTTGTGTTGTTGTGTGATGTCTGCAGTGCAAGCGCGTACGAGTAGTCGCTGCACTGCTTGTTAATCTTCCCTTGAGTTGGGGTTGCTGCTGATGCTGCTGCTTGCTGCAGCGCAGCAAGCGCTGCAGCGCGCTGATCCCCTTGCACGAATTTTATCTCCATTTCCGCTCGAGCTGCTGCGGCGGCAAGGCAGCAGAGTTGCTGTTGCTGCTGCTGATCCCACGGGTACCGGGACCGCCGACTGCTGCTGCTGCTGCTGCTGATGCTGCCGCTGCTACCTTATTGATGCTGCGCGCATGCACAACAAGAACAATGAATAACAAATACAGTGCAGCAGCAAACGATACATCAAAGGAGCATTAACAACTGCTGCAGCAGCACGCTGTGTCAGTGAGCGGTTCGGTACCTGAAAGCTGCTACGGGGCTAATTTGTTGTTTCGATTTATGCCCCTTAACGTATTATTAAAGATGAAACAAATGCAGCCAGTATTGTGTGCTGTTGCTGTTGCTGCTGCAGCACCGCCGTCGGCTGTAGCAGCTAAGGGGCCCCCATCTCCAGGGGCCCCCCTGGGGCTTGTTGGACCCCATGTGAGGAAAGGGTGGCAGGAGCGATGAGTTTAAGTTGAAATAAAAATTCCTTTTACTTATTTAAAGCTCAGCATTTGCTTCATGCAGTGCCGCTTCACGTTCGGGTGTACGCACACCGCAGAAGGCCTGCTTCTATGGGTTTCTGTAGCATGCTCAGAGTGATGTTGTTATGTGTATTTCTGTTTGCATGCAAGCTTGCGAGTTAGGGCTAGGTATATGTGTGTCTATCAATTCAATGCAGTGTTAGTGCATGCATCAAAGGGGGGCCTGAGTACGTCTGCTTATGGGGTTGTTGCGTAGCATATGTTAACACCAAAGAAGTGCAGCAGCTACACTCAAGCACCAGCCCCCGGCCCTTGGGTGGCTGTGTTGAGGACGTTAGAAGACCGCAGAAGGGGTATTAAAGTTGTTTTGTTCGGAGCGTTTAGTATGAAGTGCTTCGCCCCCTGTGCCGCTTCACGATAGGCTCTTCATGAGGGCTTTCGCTGTAGTGTACTTCCACAGTTCACCGCCTCAGAAGAAATATTATTAGTTTTGTGGGGCCTTAACGCCATTACATGATATTTTTTGCATCTCTGTGTCCCTTTTATGCCCGCTTGTCGTCTCCCTTTTTACAGGGTTTGCTTGCATGCACGCCCCTCCTCCAGTCGCTTTTGTTTTACCTAGCTACTCTCTGCTCAGTATATGTAGTGGATATGCAAGTGGCCCTATATCTGCATGCAACTGTCGCCGTATTCTTCTTGTATGAATGCACCTACGCTTATTCCTTGCTAATCCGTGAACACACAGTGCAAGGGGTGTACATACACGCCATGCCTGGTTCTATCAACATGTACGTACCAACACGATCCCCATGCATACACATATATATATATATATATATATATATAGAGAGAGAGAGAGAGAGAGAGAAAGAAATACAGAAAAACGATTGAACGGAGTCACCTCTACGCGTGCATCGGGCTGCATGCACACTCCATTCGCACATGCACGTGCATGTAGACTCATGCACTACGCACATATATGCATGCACAAGCAAATATACGCCTTTCTATATAGGCATCCATACACCTTAATACATACACCTGTACGTACAGCTGTTTTGACTTCACCTCCACAAGCAGCTTCATCTCAATGCATAAGTAAGCGCTACATCTAGAGTAATATGTGCATCTTCTAGCAACAGGTGCAACTGTTAAAATAACGAAACAAAGAAAATGTCTTCTTTCATTAGTACGCCGCCACGGGCCCCACAGCAAAGCCCCAAAGAGGACCCCTTATATATCCTGAGCCAAGTGGGGGACCCCAATGCATGCAAGCAGCACCACACCTTCTGGAAAATACGAAACACTAGGAGCGTAAAATAACGAAGAACTTCCATGCAGCATTTGTCAGGGCCCACAGCGAGAGTAATCATTATTACCCCAAATAAATGCACAAGTTCAGTACAAACTTGCCGCTGCTGCTGCTGCTCATGGGAGCAAATGCAGACCCCTTCGCTGCTGCTGCTCGCACGAAATAGAGCTGCTGCTGCAGGCCCCGATCAACCCGCAGTTGCAGCACCAGCGGGTCTCTACATTTCGCGCTTAAAGGAACGGTTGCTTTGTTCGTTCTTCCTTTTCTTCTCCTTTTGAGGCTGCTGCCGCTGCTGTTTCTGCTGCTGTTTTGGCTGCTGTTTCTGCTGCTGTTTCTCTTGCTTATCCTTTGCTGCAGCAGGGGAGTTCGGCTTCACTTGGTCTGTGTACTGGCGTGAGACCCCCAACAGCTGTTTACTGAAGCCAGAGGCCCTCTCCCCTTCGACCTGTGCAGAAGCAGCAAACCATAAAGCAGCAGCAGCAACTGCAATCCTTTCTGTTATATCAGGTTTCATACTCGAGGGTGCGGCGTATGCAAAGAGCGCAGTTTCAAGGGGCAAGACATAAACCCTCAAGGGTTTAGGACTTGCAGTCAACGTACCTGGACTGATATCTTCTTCTTTCCGTCTGTTGCTCGCACGAGACAGACAGGGACCGCCTCCGGCTTCTCCTCGCAGCTGTGCAGTTTGCGCCGCCGTTTAGCTCCTCTGGAGCCACCAACCTCCGGAAACGCTGTGCAGATTCACAAGGGTTTAGAGAAGAAAATGATTAAAATAAAGAAGTGCGGCGTGCAGGGGCTGCAGAAACCCCCAGATCGGTGATCACATACACTGTACCTACACCCCACGCGCCTTCCCCGTCAACACTTCACAATAAACAGCCCTATGCATCCGCCTAACCCTATACCCTTATGCAGAAGTATGTCTACGGACGAAGGCGAACACACTGAACGTTTCTCTCGGTCTGGGTGCAATAGTACGCTGGGTATAGAAAGAGAAATGAGAAGAGCTTAGAGTTTTTCTGCAATAAGCTAAGATTATAGGGACTAGGGTTTGTTTACTTCTCTTCAATGTAATCCACACAGTTCCGCTGTTCTTGCTTCTGCTGTCCTCGTAGAGGCGCCGCAGCGCCTCAAGGAACTCGGCTTCTCCAAGCAGTCCCATCACTTTAATTGTTCATCTATTTCATTTGCTCTTGCTGCTGCTGCAGCTGCTCGTGCTGGTGGTGGTGCTGCTGCTGCCGCTGGCAGCTGCGGCGCTTCAGGCGAGTGGCTTGTCTATCAGGATCGCCTCAAGATAATGAAAGAAGAAAAGACAATCAAACAAACAAATGAACAAAACGGCGAATAAAGATAACATATCGGAAACAGAGCGCATGCACAGCAGCAGCGGCTACTGCTTCGGCTGCTGCTACCGCATTGCCCAGCGGAGAGTTAACTCCATTTGTTGATAATCATCACTTCACACTGAATCAAAAGGAATATGCTTTTAATCTGTCTTGGGTTTCCTTGATTTCTCAGTGGATTCTGCACAAGAATGTGCCTGCGATAGCTCTGGGTTCTATCGCCGCCGCATACATGAGCAACGGTGCGTAGCGCATGTGATGGTAGTGTTGTTTTTGCACTGTTGTCCTAATTGTTTATAGTTAATTGGATGAATTTAAGTTGACTTTCGAGTTCCTGATGCTGCATAGCTGGTGTGGGCTACCTGAAACCACTTTGCAGCAACGCAACATGCGATTGGCACTGGCTCTGTAGCGGACCGTACAAGGTTGGTATTCATTTTTGTGTGCACGTTAGCGCAATAAAACCACCAAAGAAAGTTCTTAGCAATTGATTAAGGTGTCAGTGCAGGCATCGAGGGGGTGTTTCGGTGTCCTTGTGCTCATGTTGTCTGGCGGCTGCACTTGCACTGCAGCACAGTGCAACTAGAAACCACAATCTTGACACAATCTTAACATTCAAATGAGATTAGCCATATTAGCCATAGTACAGCCAAAAGCCCTTAAAACAAACACCTCAAAAAGAACAGCCGAACTCCCCTGAGCTGAGCTGGGGGTGTGCGGGGGTAAGAGAGGAGAAGCAGCACCTCCTGAATTTCAGCATACCTTGAGTAATTCCTGTTGTAACGTAGCTCCAGATGCAAGCTTCCCCAACCCTGGTATTGTTGACTGACAATGTAAGCAAGTATTAGACACTTACTTGGCCCGCAGATACCAGGCTGCACGGAAGTTGAATAAGCGTAGGAACTTGAAAGACGTTTATGATATATCTGCGTTCACTACTCGAAGGACAACCCACTATTATCTGCCTTTCTGCACAACACGGAATGAAGGGAACGAGAGGATAATAGCAAAGCAGGAGTTGCGGCAGACCGCCGAACACCGAAACAGGAAGAGAAATAACAAAGGAAAGAAGCACAGCGGACTACGCCAGCGATGCTCAAATTTGCCGCTGCTGCTGCAGAGAGCATGGTGCTGCGGCATCACGAGAATACCGCAGATCGTTAGAAAGCTCCCTTTGCTGTGCGGCTCGTTTTGGTGTCCCTTATAAAGTCTGCGTCTCAACTTATTCATAAATCTGTTCATTACATCCTTTGCTGATAATAACCCAGGGAGCAGATTGTTTGTGTTTATATATGGCTGTTCATTTTAGTGTTCAAGTTTGTTTGTACCATGACCAACTTATTATAACTTCCGTCTTTATTTAAATGGCGGTGTTCGTTTTCGTTGCTGCTTCCGCTTAGATGCTTTAACTTTTTTTTCTACTTTCTGTGTGGCTGTCTCCAAGCTAATGCTCTCTCGTCCCTGTTCCGTTTTGATATATGAATATGTGGATGTGACTGTAAGTGCATATTTATTTATTTGTGCTGTCTACGCGGGTGGTGTTTTTGCTGTGTCTCAAGTCCCTTCCCCGGGCTTTGCTACTAGGGCGGCAGCAGCAGTAGCAGCAGCAGCCGAATCAGCAGCAGTAGCAGAAGCAGCAGCAGCCTTGTTGACGCGCACCAGCACCTTCATAAACACCAACAGCATATGAAGAGTTTAAATGAAGCGGCAGCAGCACTGGGCAGAGCAGCATCTCCCTCGGTGCTGCTGCTGCAGCACCAAGGGAGGTGCTGGAGCAAAAAAGGAGAGCGTGTCTTTCGTGCAAGTCTCGTCTACTAGACAGAGTGCGGAAGGGGCTGATGTCGATTTAGACCCTGCAGCAGCAGCTGCTGCTGCTGCAGGCACTTACGCGTTGCTGCGGCGAAGTGATAGATGAGAGGAGCTGTTAGCTCCAGAGGGATGCTGCTGCGACTGCAGCTGCACTGCCTTGCGAGAACCATTGAAGATAAAGAATGCGGCTGCTGTTGCTGCCAAACAGTGGGACTGCAGCTCAAGCAGCAGCAGATGCAGCAGATGCAGCAGAAGCAGCGGGTGCGATGACTACGGCTCCCGCAGCTGCTTGCGCAGCCGCTCTAGCTCCATTTTTTGTTGCAGCAGGAGCAGATGTTGCTGCTCGATGATCTGCTGCTGTTGCTGCACCTGTTTCTGCAACTGTTGCGACTCGCTGCTGCAGTTGCCGCTGCTGCTGCTGCTGCTGGTTAGCCGTTGCAAGCGCGAAATGAAGTGCAGCAGCCTCAACCAGTCAACGATGGCTTCTCTCATCAGGAGGTCTCCCTTGTACCTGCGGTGCAGCAATAAGGGTTTGGCCTTGGGTATATAAACTGTTCTGTGCTGCTGCTACTGCTGCTGCTGCTGCTACTGCTGCTGCTGTTGCTGCACGTGACACAGTGATGGAGCAGCAACGGCAGCAAAAGCAGGTGCAGCAGCAACAGCAATACATTGCAAGAAGTATCAGCAAGGAGGCATGCCAGCAGCAAGGAGATACCGCACCCCGACCAGCAACAGCGCCGGAACAGCAGCAGCAGCTGCTGCAGCAGTACTTGCAGCAACAGCAACAGCAAAAAGAACCCACCTCGTAGCACGGGGGTGTAGCAGCACATCTTCTTCATCGTCAAAGAAAGCCAAGAGCCGCTGCTGCTGCTGCTGCTGCTTTGAGCCTATTGGGTGTGGAGTGAAGTAGAGAAGGGCAGGCAGAGCAGTTACCCCCAGGCTGCGGCACAGGGATCTGGCGTCTTGCTGCAGCTGCTGCTCTTGCTGCTCCTGCTGCTGTTGTTGTTGTTGCTGCTGCTGCTGCTGCTGTTGCTGCTGCTGCTGTTGCTGCTGCGCACAGTCAAATGCTGCTGTAAGGACATCTTCTGTATGGGCCTTATCCCTCTTTCTGAAGAGAGACACCGCGAGGGAGAATACAGACAGAGACCCCCGCCGACTCTGCTGAAAAGCAGTAGCTGCCTGATGCCAGGTCTGCAGCAGAAGCCTGCAGCAGCAAACTCCGCAAGAAACCCCTCATTGTTGCAGCCCCCAGACTCTGTACCCTGAGGGGCCCTCCTGCGCCCCTTTGAGGTGTAGAGGTTTAGGGTTCAGGCTTACGTGCTACTTGAATCCCAAGAGGCGTACAGCAATACTGCAGCCTCCCTGCCGTTGTCTCTATAGCTGCTGCTGCTGCTGCTGCTGCTGTTGGTTGCACTGCTGCCGATGATTGCCTGGAGGTCTTCAACTTGCAACAGCGGGACTCCTCCTGCAGAAACACAAACACCAGAAATGATGTATATAGCGGAAACCACAAGCAGGGGGAGCAACAACAATAGCATAGCCGCAGCAGCGCCACAAGCAGCAACAGCAGCAGCAGCAGCAACAGCAGCAGCAGCGATGAAGTGTACCGTTCCCGTCTGTGCCTTCTAGAGTTCCTGTGGGGCCCTGGGGGCCCCACAGGCGCGACAATCCCGAGGCCCCCCAGCACTTCAGCAGCAACAAGAAGAAAAAGAGGGTTGTCATAGCGATGCCGTACGCCGTAGACAAGAGGCCTTGAACGGGGGGGGATAGCCACTAATAATGCATTTCCTTGCAAAGAAAAAGGCATATAATAGGGGTTTATAGTCTAGGATTTAGGGTTTAGGGTCTAGGGTTTAGGGTTTAGGGTTTAGGGTTTGGGAGAAGTATAGGACACAGAGGGCCTCAGAAGGGCCCCCTCCCTCTTTATTCAGAGCGTGGAAGACGCTGAACTCACTGCAGACTAAGCTTGAGCACCTATATAGCAAATACATTTCAAATAAGCTTTAAAATCCGTATTTAAATAAATAAATAAATATATATATATATATTTAAATAATATAATACGTTACGGGGGGGTTTGGTGGGTCTCCGATGTAAGTAGAAGAGGCATCGCATCGGTAGCAAACTAAACTTTTAGAGGTATATCCTAAGGAGAAAAAACAAATAATATAATATTGTGAATTAATTGAACAAATTATTAGATAATATATAAAAACATCAGACTAAAAGTATAATGCAGCTATCAGGGGTCTGGGGCTGTGTCTGTGAGACTGCCATTGTATACGAGGCAATCGCATTATTATTATTATTGTTATTATTATTATTGTTTATTATTATTATTAGTTTCTTCCTTTAGAAGAATAGGGCCTGGGAAACGAATGAGAGACCGTTATTTGACATGATAAGCTTATTTTAGCTATATAATATATTATAAGGGTTATATGCTGATTGAAAGGCGTACATACCGACTGTGCACTTAAATAGATATTACATAAGACCGCTAAGCAAAGGCCGCAGAAGGCACTGTTTAGTATTATAAGTGGCAACCCATGGTTGAGTGTAATAGGCGCGAGCAGCGCACTTCACATCTACAGCTGGGCGGCGTTATGCAGACAAGCGATGAGTATTAGACGCCCCCTGCAGAGAGAAAGAAAAAGAAACGCTCGATCTGTTCTTCCTAAAATACTTGTCAAAGTGCAGACCTTTTCTCCTTTAACACACGGGGCAGTGAAAAGGATCGGCTCTCTTGCGGGGGGACTATCAACAACTGGGCGTTGAAATGCGCAGAACCAAGCGCGCAACCCTCTCCCCTTCAACCTGAATATCTTTTTCTATCACTAAGATATGCAGCGAAGAATGTCTCCGCCTTTCACATATGACGGGACCCTCGATCAACACGATATAATCCTGGGCGTCCTGTAGGTGATTAATGGGAGGGAGAGCATGCAGCTTCCAGAAGACACAATGAAGGTCTATATTCCGGAAGGAAACAAGAGAGCATCTCTATCAGTGCTGTGAATATCATTCACGTTCCCCTTCAGTAATAGGAGTGGAACAACCAACTAGTGCGTTCGGAAGCAGCCAGATGCTGGCGAAGAAGGCGTGGAGGCGGCATGCATGCGCCTGGTTCCAGCCTCATAAATAAATTCGGGGTGAGGCAAAAGGCTCCGATGCTTTGAAAAGACGTCCAGACTGCACGAACACGACTCCTTGAGGAGACTGAAATAATAAACGCACCTGTAACGATGCAAATAGTGTTCTCGAAACGAGAAAACGCTAACACTTCGTTGAGTGGCCACGGCAACCCTAGTGGGCTTCTGAGGACCGCTTGCGCGAATCACTTCCTTAGGAGCATAAAGATGCTGTCACCTACTCAGCAAAGGCGAGTACATGCGTGGGCGTACACAGCGCAGCCGGTTATGACCTTTTGTTAACAAGGGCTGTCTCAGGCGTATAGGGGCGCTCACACCTTTATAGGTGCATGTTCTCAGTAGCTATCTGCTTACCCGCTGTGATCGGAGCGCGTCTTAGTCGCTAAAGTTACCTGGTTGCCACCGCCGACAACATTTCCATAATTAACACATTTTGTGGATGCGTTCCCTTCTGGGGCATCCTGCAGAGTGCCTCACGCGCACCCTGATGTGTTGAGCACTAACTGCGGCCCACAGCATTTTTAGAAAAATATTTGGGTGCTTGCATTAAAAAGCAGCTCCAAAACCGTGCGAAAGGTACAGAGCTCTCTCTACATGGCCAGCGGCTACCTCATCGGGCGAGGTAGCCACTGCATATGAGCGACGGCTGCAGCAGCAGGAAGTAGGCGACGCATCGGCATATGCAATTTTCCTTTTGCCCCGTCATTGTTATTCTCCTCTTCTGTGTTTGAGAGTCTAGCCCCTCTAGCTAGCCCGTTCCCTTCATTCCGTACACCCACGAAAGCCAGATACAAGTGCGAGTATGAACTTTGGATCCTCGTCTGTCTGAGGTTGGTGCATGCATCTTGACTTGCATGCAGCCTGACTATTAAGGGCCACATAAATGGTATGCGGTTGCCTACAATGTTAGTGCATGCATCAAAAAGCTTCTAGCATGTGGGGGTAATTAAGCAGGAATTGCCTTAAGGCCTGTTGCAGCTCATGAGATGCGGTCGCTTCTTTCACCAGAGCCAGACACCTGGGGAGCTGTACAAAGGGTGTCTGGACAGTGGAGGGAAGGCCATTCTGTTTTTGTTGAACTCTTACCTCAAATCATTTTAATTGTACTGCAACTGAATCCATTCCTCTGTTAAGATCAAGACCTCGCCCCAATGTTATAAGCCTTATGTATTATGGTCCTTCTAAAGTCGGTGCATGAACCCTTACTTGGCGTTACTGCTCGGCCTGCACGAAAACAGAAGTAAAACAAATGTCTACATTGTTAGTGAAGAAAGCGAGAGGGTGTATGTCTGTGTGGTTGCGCCTGCAAGAGAAGGTGCCTTGCAGCACTACTAACACAGAGGCCTCTTTACCAGCCCCAGGCCCTTGTGAAGCTGTGCTAAGAATGTCTGGAGACGGAAGAGGAGGTCATAGTCTTTTTAGATTAATTTAATTTAATTCTTCTGGCTCGACTGCAACTCTAGCTAAGATCAGGAACTCCCTATACACCCGAGTATCTCAACTTATGGAAAATGAGTTGAGTTGTGCTCAAAGCAAGTAAAAAGCACAGTACAGCCCTTTATATGAGTTTGATGAAGGCTTTGTAGCAGATGCTTTTAGCCTTAAAGATGTAAGATCCCCATTAGGAAGAGAAGACTGAAGCCCTGGTGTTATGGGGGGTGGGTGTCTCGACTGAGTTAGCTCTTGAGGAGTAAAACCTTTCTTTTTCCTTGAACTTTAAAGTGTATGCTGCTTTAAAAATGCATGAAGTGCTGAGTAGGTGAGAGAACTCAGAGAGAGAGGCGAAGCAGGCAGTCAACAGCCACCCTCGCTGCAGTGTTGGTGTTGAAAATCTTTCTTTTTGAGCATTAAACTTGGGTGTTAAGGAATGAAATAAATGATTTAAATGAGAAAACAACTCTTGCAATTCATTCTGGTGTACAGACAGCTCTCTACAGCAGCCATACACCAGCTGCAAACGCTCTTCTTCAACCCACTCACACTCCCAGGGCCCTATTATATATAACTAAAGGCGTAGAGGTATAAGTCCTTCTCTGTCTCTGCATTGTGTCTCTTGCTTCTTATTCCTTACTCCTATTATCTTAGCATTCTTCTCTCGCTGCAGGGTTTAGATAAGAAACTACTTACACTCTACTGTCTGCCCCAGGTGTACGTACAGCAGACCCGAAGGGTGGGTGCTGATGTGCAATCAGGTCTTTCTACAGAGGCCTTAACAAGCTGTTCTATTACTCCTCTCCTTATATTCAACAGAGGGTTTAGGGTCTAGGGTTTAGGGTTTAGGGCTTTGGGGTTTGCATCTCGACCTGCCCGGCCCCCTGGAGCTCGTGGCGAACACAGGACAGCGACTAGGGTTTAGGGTTTAGGGTTTAGGGTTTAGGGTTTCTGCGCAATACACTAATGTCTGCTGCCTCTTACACTCCAACATATTCAACAACTCCAGCCCTCGTACACTGCAGCGCCAGGACCCTGGGGCCCCAGGCCTGGGGGCCCCCCCACCGGGCCCCTCCCCTGTAGAAGCAGAAGCTGCCGCTGGTGCAGCAGCAGCAGCAGCGGAGCAGCAGCAGAGCAGCAGCAGCAGCAGGCCTTGTACCAGCAGCAGGCGCTGCAGGGCCATACAGCCCGAAGCAGCGGGAACAACGGCTTCAGTGTAAGCAGCAACAGCAGTAGCTGCAGCTGGAGCAGCAGCAGCAACAACAGCAGCATCAACAGCAGCAGCAACAGCAGCAGCATCACTCGAAGCAGCAAAAGCACCTCCGTTCACGTGGAGGCGCCTGCTGCTGTACTCGCCCTTCTAATGGGGCGTGTGAGCTTAGATCTTTCCAGCTTGAAACCCTAAACCCTAAACCCTAAACCCTAGGAGTTAAAAGGGTTTAGGCTCATGAAAGCAGGCTGCCGGGCTTCTGCTGCAGCAGTTGCTGCAGAGTCTGCTGTTACTGCTGCATCTTCACCACCAGCAGCAGCAGCAGGCAACAGCCCTGCGAGCCCTCCAGGCATTCACTCCCCAGCTCTTCCTCCTCCTCGCCGCAACAGCAGCAACTGCAGCAGCAGCAGCAGCAGCAGCAACAGCAGCAGTCCGTCCCTTAGAACGGTTCGCGCTGCTCCAGCCAGCAAGTCCCCTCCGTTTAAGGTGGGGCAGTCAAAGCCTGCAGCAGCAGCAGCAACAGCAGCAGCAGCAGCAGCAACAGGGGGACAAGCGTTGCAGCATCGCAGCAGCAACAGACTTCATGGGACCTCTCCCCTACCAGTGGACTTCAACTCCACAACCCGCAGCAGCAGCAGCAGCAGCAGCAGCAGCAAAGGCGAGCCCGATGGAGCGCAGCAGCACTCCAAGAGACATTCTTCAGGCGCCGACAACGCTGCTGCTGCCTCAGAAGCAGCAGCAGCAGCAGCAGCAAATAGTGGTTCAGAGGACTTGGAGGGAGGTGCGCAGGAGGAGGAGACTATGACAGAAAACACTGATAGCCTTCACAGCGATTCTGCAGCAGCAGATGCAGCAGCAGATGCAGCAGAAGATGCAGCAACAGATGCAGCAGTAGATGCAGCAACAGATGCAGCAGCAACTGAAGGCGACCTTGAAACGGAGGAGGCAGCCGAGGAGGAGACAGGGGGCAGCGACACAGAGACAGCAGCAGCAGCAGAGCAGCAGCAGCAGCGCAGGTGCTCTAGCCGACAGCGTCGAGGTACGCTCGCCTCCAGCTGCAGCAGCGTCCGCAGCAGCAAGACGCCTTCAGCCCGCAGCGCTGCAGCAGCAACACCACCGGCAGCAGCAGCAGCCGCAGCAGCAGCTAGAGGAGACAAAGCGACGACGGAGACCGATGAAGCGGGAGGCAGCTGGGGAGACACCCCATCTACAAAGGGCAACGCCGATTTAATAGCACTAAACGATGCAGACAAAGGTGCGCCTGCTGCTGCTGCTGCTGTTGCTGCTGCTGCTTCTGCGGCGAGTGCTTTCTGGTGATGGTGCTGCTGCTGCGAGTGCTTCGTGGTGGTGCTGCTGCTGCTGCGAGTTATTTTGCTGTTGCTGTTGCTGCTACTGCCGTTGCTGCTGCTGTACATGTTGCCGCTGCTTGTGCTGCTGTCGCGGGTGGTGGTGTTGTTGCTGCTCCTGGTGTTGCTGCTGCTAGTGTTGCTGCAGTTGCTGCTTTTGCTGCTGCTGCTTCTGTTGCTGCTGCTGCGTGGACCTGAGGCGTCTCGCGTTGTCTCCTCCTCTTCTTTCACGGCTGTTTGTGCTGTTGCATTTGCTGCATATGCTGCTGCATATGCTGCTGCATATGTTGCTGCATTTGCTGCTGCAAATGTTGTATTTGCTGCTTTATGTTTGCTGCTGCTGCTGCATGTGCTGCAGAGAAGCACCCCGAGTGGTACAGTGGGGCTGTGAGTGCATGCGAAGCGACGCATCGATGTTTGTGTTGGTGGAGGTTTCGGCCTACGGGGAAGCATCAGCCTGGACTTGTTATTAAAGACTTAGACTCTGAAGTCGAGGCTAGTGCGCTAAACCCTAAACCCTAAACCCTAAACCCTAATCTCGAATCTCTGGGTCGGTGGGAGGTTACCTACCATAAAAAAACAGACAGACTGCAGCGAAGAAAGGAGCTCTTCACTCGCCAGGCTGCCTTTCAGGGTTCAGGGTTTAGGGTTTAGGGTTTAGGGTTTAGGGTTTGTTGTGTGTTCGAGTGTATGACGGCAAGTATGCGAGAGACTCTTCTAGGGTTTACGGTTTAGGGTTTAGGGTTTATTTTGTGTTAGAGCGTATGACGGCAAGCGTGCGAGAGACTCTGCTAGGCCTGCACGGCTTAGTGCTTAGGGTCTAGGGTCTAGGGTTTAGGGTTTGTTGTGTGTTAGAGCGCATGACGGCAAGCGTGCGAGAGACTCTGCTAGAAGGTGTAGCAGGAAGAGGACAGCCAGGGCGTGCAGGTGTATGCAAAGGCAGCGGGGCGAAAGCAGAGGTGGTGGTGGTGATGAGTTTAGAAGATTTAAAATACTCCCTTTGTAACTGGACCACTACTAAACCAATGGTCTGTCTCCTTTCGTCTGTCTCCTTTCGTCTGTCTCCTTTTGTCATTCGTCTGTCTCCTTTTGCCTTTCTTCTGTCTCCTTTTGTCATTCGTCTGTCTCCTTTTGCATTTCTTTTGTCTCCTTTTGCTTTTCTTCTGTCTCCTTTTGCATTTCTTCTGTCGCCTCTTGCCTTCCTTCTGTCTCCGTTTGCTTTGCTCGTCTCTTTTCTTTTGTCTCCTCTCTTGTGTCTTCTGTCTCTTTTTTCTGTCTCCTTTTGTCTTTCTTCTGTCTCCTTCCTTTTGTCTTACTCTGTCTCCTTTCTTTTTTCTGTTATCTCTTTGCTTCTTTCTTCTGTCTCCTGTCTCCTTTCTTCCTTCATCTGTCTCCTTTCACCTTTCTTCTGTCTCTTTTCTTCTGTCTCTTTTCTCCTGTCTCCTTTCTTCTGTCTCCTGTCTCCTCTTCTCTGTCTTCTGTCTCCTTCCTCTGATTTCTTCTGTGTCTCTTCCCTTCCAGTTCCAGGGCTTGCCAAACTAGGGTTTAGGGTTTAGGGTTTAGGGTTTAGGGTTTAGGGTTTGTGTGCAGCCATTCCCCGCTGGTAGTCAACAGGGTCGCCTTGAGAAGATCGCAGGTTATTCGTTGAAGGCCCTCAACGCACTCGCCAGAGCTAAAAAAATCCTTCAGCTTAGAGAAAAATATAAAGGCAAGAACTTAACTTTAACTGCATGCATGCATGCATGCATGCATGCATGCAGGTGTTTGCATGCACATGTTTATACATGTATGGAGGTGTATGCATGCATGCATGCATGCATGCATGCATGCATGCAGATGTTTATATGCATGCAAAGGCCAGCAACACGGGTTGTGCAACTCCTCCTGCTGCTGAACGCGCTGATGCTGCTCATGCTACTGCTGCACTCGCTGTTGCTGCTGCAGCAGCTACAGCAGCCTGTTGCCACAACCCTTGCTGTTGCTGCTCTCGTTGCTGCTGCTGCTGCTGATGCATGTTTATTTGTGCTGCTGCTTGCTGCAGACATGAAGCACGGCTGTCCCGCTGCACTTGAAAATCAGCTGCTCGATACTTTAGCGCGAGAACAAATTAAACCAACTCACGACATAGTGAAGCATCTCTTGTCTGTGAGTCTCCTTCTGTCTCCTTATCTTTCTTCTGTCTTTTTTTCGTCTGTCTGTCTCCTCTTCTTTTGTCTGTCTCCTTTTCTTCTTTGTGTCTCTCCTTGTCTTTCTTCTGTCTCCTTTTCGTCTGTCTGTCTCTTTCTCTTTTTTCTGTCTCCTTTTGCCGTCTCCTGTTGTTCTGTCTGTCTCCTCTGGCTGTAGGGGGCCCTCTGCAGCCCGTGCCGTTGCTGTCTCTGTCTCCTCAGCTTTGCTTTGGTTGGTTGTTTCTGTCTCCTCTTGCCTGTCTCCTTCTTTGATCTCTTTTCTTCGTTTGCATCTGTCTCCTTTTATATCTGTCTTTTGTCTATATTTTATGTTTATTTGCTGTCTCCTTCCTTGTTGATTTATTATTAGTTGCGGTGTATCTCTCTTCCTATCTATCATTTCCTTCTGCAGCGTTAAGGAGACAGTTGGGCTCTGTCTCTGCTGCTGTTCACTGTCTCCTTTTGCCTCTCCGTCTCTTTCTGTCTCCTCCTCGCTTGTGGCGTCTCTCTGTTGCTGTTTGCTGCTGCTGTTGCTGCTGCCGCTGTTGCTGCTGCTGTTGCTGTTGCTGTTGCTGTTGCTGTTGCTGTATGTTGTTTGTGCGTGTGCTGCTGCTTTTTCAGGTTTCGGCGGATACCATCATTCAAAGTTACACCACAATGCCCCCAGGCAAGATAGGGTTTAGGGTTTAGGGTTTTGGGCTTAGGGTTTAGGGTTTAGGGTTTAGGGTTTAGGGTTTAGGGTTCCGGGTTGGGTGCGGCTTCTCTAGCTGGGGTTTAGAGTTTACGATAGGGTTTATGGCTTGGTGTGACTTGTAGATTCAGGAGTTGGGGTTTAGGGTTTAGGGTTTAGGGTTTAGGGTTTAGGGTTTTGGGGTGTATGCGCAGGTTGGGACTGGGATGCATATCAGAGGGAGCAGGAGGAGGCAGCTCAGCGGAAGCGGTCTCGGGAGGAAGCAGCAGCAGCAGCAGCAGCAGCAGCAGCAGCAACGGGTAGTCGTAAGCGGCGAGCAGCAGCAGGAGTTGCATTACTTGCTGCAGCTGCATTGGAGGATGCTGAGGAAGCTGAAGAAGAGGGTTTAGAGTTTGCTGCACGTACACCTAAACCCTCAGCAGCAAAGCACGGGGTAGATTATTATTATAAAGGAGGTCGTAGGATTGTACTAGCAAGGACGCCTCCTCTAGTAAAACAAAGAAGAGGAGAGCTGATGTCAGCAACTGTGGGGTTGAGTCTCCTTGACGATCCCCTGATGGCTGCTGCTGTGGGGTTGCTGCCTGAGCAGCAGCAGCAGCAGCAGCAGCAGCAGTTGTGGCCGGGTCACCCTTCCGCCGCCCATCATCAGCATCAGCATCAGCAGCAGCAGCAGCTGCTGCTGCTTCAGCAGCGGGAACAGGAGGCCCTGCTGCAGGAGAGAAGAGAGCAGCAGAGACTCAGCGGGCTTTTGAATGGATTCTCAGGGCAGTGGCTGTCTATGATGCGGTCGTTAGTGCTTACAAGGAGACAGTTGCTGCAGCTGCTGCTGCCAGTCCCTTTAGATCTGCTGCACAACCCCACAAACTTGTTTGCTCCTCTGCCTCCGCTGCTGTCTCCTGTGCTGCTGATGGAGGTAGCTGTAAGACATCAGAACCCTGCTGCTGCTGCACACCTTCTAGCAGCAAATCTGCTGCTGCATCGCCTTGCTGATACTATTGCTATAAGAGCCCTAGACCCAGCACAAAAACGCCTGGCTATTGCCTCAAATATTCAAAAGGAGACAAAACTAACGAAAGGAGACACCACACGCATGCAGCCCCAACGCACCCCACAGGGCAAGTCTACCCCAGGCAAACAAAGTAAGCCTATATATATATATATATATATATATATATATATATATGCTGCTGATCTTGCTGCTGCTGCTGCTGCACCTGATGCGGGCGGTGCTGGTGCTGTTGCTGTTGCTGGTGATGTGGTGTTGCTGCGATTTCCGTTGGTGTTGCTATTCTTTGCTGCTGTTGTTGCTGTTGCTGCTGCGTTGAAGGTGCTGCTGCTTTTGCTGCAGGTGGCAGCAGCAGCAGCTCCGCCGTGCGCTTCGAGATGGGGTACTCTGTTTGTCTATGTCTAGGCCTTCTATACGGAAGGATTAACCCGAACCAGCTGCCTCTTTATGCTGCTACTGCTGCTGCTGCTGCGGGGTCGCAGCAGCAACAGCAGCAGAAGAAAAAGAAGCAGCGCTTCTGCTGCGCTCCCTGGATCGGTCTTATGACGGGAGAACAAATGGCTGCGCGCAGGAGGCAGGCTAAGCTGCAACAGCAGCAGCAGCAACAGCAGCAACAGCAACAGCAGCAGCAGCAGCAACAGCACCAAGAGTCGTCTGGTGGCTCTGCTGCGTCCAGCACCGGATCTGCTGCTGCTCCGGCTTTTGCTGCTGCTGCTGCGTCGACCAATGATGTTAAACCTCTGCTGCAGTGTGGCGGTGAAGGAAATGTCTGTTCTGTTGCTTCTGCTGCTGCTCCCAGTGCTGCTGCCGCTGCTGCTGCTGCACCTGAGGGCCCAGCGGGTGGCGAGTCGCTGCCCACCGGTGCCCCCTGCAGCAACGACGTTTGCAGCAGCAGCAACAGCAACAGCAGCAGCAGTAATAATAATAATAACGGTGATCCTGCTGCAGCAGCAGGAGCTCCTGCTGCTTCCGGCGAGTCGTCTGCTGCAGGAGGAGACGGGTGTTCAAGCGGCAGCTCCCTACCGCCAACAGCAACAGCAGCAACAGCAGCAGCAGCAGCAGCAGCAGCAGCGGCAGCAGCAGCAGCAACAGCAGCAGAGGGCAATGTAGAGTGGGAGCCTCCTTGGCCTTCTGCTGCTGGCGTGCAGCCATCGGTGCCTTTGAATTTATGTCTTCTAACAATTCATTGCAGCTGCGATGATGAAGACTTCCTGCTGCGAGTCTCTCTAGATAAGGTACGCTTGCTGCTGCTGCTGCTGCTGCTGCATTTGCTGCTGCTGTATTTGCTGCTGCTGCTGCTTTATTTGCTGCTGATGTATTTGCTGCTGCTGCTGTATTTGCTGTTGCATTTGCTGCTGATGCTGTTTTTTTATATCTGTAAATGCTGCCTTCGGTGGAGCATCCCTCGTAGCTGCTGCTAATGTTGTTGCTGCTGCTGCATTTGCTGCTGCTGCATTTGCTGCTGCTGCGCTTGCTGCTGCTGCGCAGGTGAGCGATCAGCCTCCTTCTTTATCAGAGCTGGAGCGTTGCTACACCACGCATGGGGAACGCTTCTCTTTATCTACTTTAGATAGACGTCTTTCTTCTTTAAAAGAGATAGAGACACAAAGTAGATTGCTGCTGTCGCTGCTGCAGACAGCAGCAAACTGTGCAGCAAGTAGAGCAGCAGCAGAAAAAGAATTAGCAAACAAAGGAGGCAAACACTTCATCCTCGTTAAGGTCCCAACCCGCAATATACCAGACACCACGCACTGCTGCGGTGCTGCATGCACCAGCACCTGCTGCAGCAGCAGCAGCAGCAGCAGCAGCAACAGCAGCAGCAATAATAATGCCGCATGCAGCACCGCACTAGAGGCCACCACCTCAAAGAAACGGCTGCCCGCAGGAGACGAAGTGCTGCAGCAACAGCAGCAGCAGCAGCAGCAGGATTGCTCTGAGGCCTTGGCAGGAGCAGAGGACGCTGCAGCTGGTGACAGCAGCAGCAGCAGCAGCAGCAGCAGCTACAATGAGGATATGGTGGTGGATCGCAGCGAACTACGCTTTGATTGGCAGCTGCGTGGCGTTGCTGCGCGTCTCGAGGCAGAGAAGGGTGCAGCAGCAGCTTCTCAAGAGGGACAACCTGCTGGTGCTGCTGGTGCTGCTGCTGCTCCTGCTGCTGCTTCCCTCTCGCAAAGCTATGATGCTCTCTTCGTGCTGCTGGAGTCAATCAGCAGCCATATACTCCGCGCTAAAGCAGCACACCTCAGCCTCCATCTCCGCTGTTTAGAGAGAGAGCTCAGCAACACAAAGGCGCAGCTGCTGCTGCTGCAGCAAAAGCGGCAGCAGCACGAACAAGAACAGCAGCAGGAGCAGCAGCAGATGCCAGAGACTCAACCACAGCAACAAGAACGTGAAGACACACAAGGAGACAAAGCACGGGCCCCGCAGCAGCTTCTGCAGCAAATGAATGCAGCAGAAGAGGAGCTGCAGCAGCAAGCAGCAAGACAGATGGAATTGCTGCAGCTAGGGAAGACACTGGTGAATATGTACGCAGCAGAGCAGCAGCAGCAGCAGCAGCTCCTAAGCCGCTGGCGCTCTGTCTTTATCTCTCTCGTGCAGCTGCCTCCTGGGACCCCCCCAAACCCTCATATTCGCAATGGCAGGAGGCTGCAGCGCCTTCTCTAGCAGCACCACATCTGCTGCTGCTGCTGCTGCTGTTATTGCTGCAGCGGTTGCTGCAGCCGCAGACGCTGCTGCTCCTGCTGTCGTGGTTGTTGCTGCAGCTGCTGCTGTAGCAACAGACGCTGCTGCTGGTGCAGCAGCAGCTGCTGATACTGCTGGTGCAGCAGCAGCTGCTGCTACTACTGCAGCAGCAGCAGCAGCTGCTGCTGCTGCTGTTGCAGCTTGTGGGGCTTTTGATTGCTGCGCGGTCTAGCAGTAAGCCAGTAGTTGTTGAGGTGTATGAGGAGTTGTGTGTAGTAGCGAGGGAAAGGGAGAAGAATTTAGGGTTTAGTTTGTGGGGTTTGGGGGCCTCGTTCGGGTGTACGTGCAGCTGCATGCACACCCTAGAGGCAAGCAACACACGACGAAGCGCCTGAAGCAGCTGGGGCTGCTGCCTGGGGTCGGGGGGAGGTGGGATCGATCGATCCCACCAGGTGGGATCGATCGATCCCACCTCCCCCCACCAGCTGGTGAGGCGCTAGAGGGAGCCATCTGCAACTTAATTTATTTCTTTCTTCTGGCTATATCAGCCTCTTTAAGAGGTGCTGTTGAGTCCTGCTACTGCTACTGCTGCTGCTGCTGTTGCTGTTGCTGCTGTTGTTGCCTGTCTCTCCCCGCTGCAGCGAGTGCTGCACACAGCAGTCCCCACTTCCTTGACGCAGCAGAAGCTATTCTGCTGCTGTTGTTTCTGCTGCTGTTGCTGCTGTTGCTGTTGCTGCTGCTGCTGCAGCAACAGAGATATAAGGTGTGCAGAGCTGTTTGCATTTA